GATTTTGTCTATTTCAATCTGTTGACAATAACAGCGATCAAATGTCTATTTCTGTGACATAATATATTATGATTATTATCATGTTTTTAAAATTGCGAAACTTTTTATCAGGAAGTAAAGGGTCTTTGATGTCCATATAAGGTAAACAAGATCACCCCCTTCGTCACGAGACTTTGCGCAATTTGTTCAGTCATTTGGAAAGCTCTAAAGATGCAGTTTTACACCACAATGAAAGAAGCTATATTGCCACCGTGAATGTAGTTCTCGCGACATTGTTTGGTAAGTGTGTTTACATATTTATTTTAGTCGAGATGTGAGCAATCTTAAATAACAAAACGCACGCATTGACACGATTAACTCTGGCGCAATATGCTGATAATTTTGAGTCGCGTTCAACGATATTTTAGTCAGGTTTCATTCGTTTCAATTCGTCTCGATTCCAAAATCTTAATTCATTGTAATTCGCTGTGGATATTTAGGATTCAGCGTAGCACAAGCCAGGAATTGTGACATGTGTACTGTATTAGTAAACACTCAGGGGCCGGTTGTATCAAGCCCGTTTAACTTAAACGGTGGATAAGTCAAAATTAAATAACACTCTTACATCTTTCTTGAATGAGTCAACTTGAATATTATGCACTGAATATGTAGTTGCAAACAATATCTTTGTATTAAAGTCAAAAACATTTAGTTCGCTTGTTAAATAAAACGATAAACTTGCTTTCTATTTTGAACTTAAGCTAAACGGGCTTGATACAACCGGCCCTTGATAATTTAATAATTTTGAGTCGCGTTCAACGAGATTTTAGTCAGGTTTCATTCGTTTCAATTCGTCTCGATTCCAAAATCTTAATTCATTGTAATTCGCTGTAGATATTTAGGATTCAGCGTAGCACAAGCCAGGAATTGCGACATGCGAGTTAGTAAACACTCAGGGGTCGGTTGTATCAAGCCCGTTTAGCTTAAACGGTTGATAAGTTCAAAATAGAAAGCAAGTCTGCCGTTTTATTCAACAAGCGAACGAAACATGTTTTTGACCCTAATATAAAGCTGCTGTTTACAACTACATATTCAGTGCATAACATTCAAGTTGTCTCATTCAAGGGAGTTGTAAGAGTGTTATTTAATTTTGACTTATCCACCGTTTAAGCTAAACGGGCTTGATACTAGCTTGATTTTAACCTACATCATAATATTCTTGTAGATTACTGTACATACATTTTGACTGCTTTGGCGTCAATAGATTCCAAATTTTGCAGTGATGAGGAAAGGTTAATTATCATTAACACACAACTATAAAGCGATTGTTCAAAAATAACGTGCAATAAACTGCGATTATTTTGAAACTGTCCTCAGTCGTATGAAATGTTAAATTACAATCAATGAACCATCATGAACCATAAACATACATTCAAATTAATTACACGCACAAAATTCGTAGTGAACACAAATACAAACGCCTCTCTCAAAGTGCAAAATTCTTTCCGTCAAATTTGTGGAATCCAACTCTGACAAATCTTGTCTAAGGAATGACACAAATCAGTCACATTACTTTGGGTCTTAAGTTGATAGTTGGACTACACAGTGTCTGTGTGATTACATAGAGCAAGGCATCCCAACTAAGCGAGATAGTTTCTTAGACGCTAAACCAGACTAGATTAAACTCACTAAACTAAGTCAAATATCAGTAAATATTAAATTACAACAACCCAATAACACTCGAATCAAAGGCACAATATCCGTAGTAGATTCAAGTGCAAACGCGTTTCTCAAAATACAAATTAATACTCGCAACATGATTCTTGAAATGGTATTGTCAAAACAAAGACGTTTTGATAAATTTTGTGTTCTTGTGAACAATAATAATTCAGTCAATGACACGACCATAATACTAGTAATCTCACGTTGACACTGGGATATCAATGAATGCAAATGAATTCAATGAATACAACTTTCACAGCATGATGACAGAATGACGTAAGTTATGAAAATGTCATGGATACAATAAATATTGCACAAGGTATCAAGGTGTTGTCTTTCACAAAATATCGTTTATCGCGTTAGCAGCAGCTTACTGCAGAATATTTAAGCGAAAATTATAATTCATCAGCATTGGTAAGCTAATTTGATTATAATTTTGTTGTATGATTGCATGGCGACTTTAGTAATTATAATAACTTGTAGGTACACCACGTAAGTATTAAATACTGCAAAGCTTAAATATTGCACTGATGAAGGTCCGGGTTAACGGACCGAAAGCTTTGCAGTATTTAATACTTACGTGGTGTACCTACAAGTTATTATAATTAATTTGATTATCTTTGTGTGGTTTAAGTTGCATGGTCTGTCACTGTCAATATCAGCCTCGCTACCAATCACTGTAGGTTTGATAGTTCCACTGGTCGCCACGTTTACACTTTACCAGATTCCCGAGTCATGAGATTAACACTTGTCGTTTTCGAGTAATTTTGTCAAAAAATCTTAGTTTTTTCGCAATTATTGTTTGATTTTATCGTAAAATCCTAATTCAGAGCGTGTTCAGAGCGTTCTCAAACTGCAAAATACGATATCGTGTCAGAGACAGAGGGAATATTGTACAGTGTAAACACAACTATGAACTATTGGGCAGCGAAGCGTTCCTTGAGGATGATATTTAAAATCTTGTGTTACTTATAAAACATAAGAACTTTATCGATATCAATCGTTTCCCTTTGTTGCAATCGTTTTAAACAAGTCATTCCCGCCGATGTGAAATAGTCCAGATGTAAACTTTTCGTTATTGTTGAATAATAATAATTCCAATCGGTCATTGTTGATTGCACATACGTCATAGCAATATTCAAATACATCAACCACCTTGACATTTAAGGAAATAATTTATGGCAATAATTTTTTTAACTATTCATTGAAAACATGTTTCAGATTCATGTGAAGATAATGCAGATGGGTGAAGGTTATGATCCTGACCGTTTCGTTGATCGAGTTCTTCATGGTTTTAAATGCTGCATTTGCCAGTGTGTGTTAAACGAACCACGATTATGCGAGGCAGAAGAACATAAATTTTGTTTAAACTGCATATCTCAACATCTTCCTAATTCCCAGACATGCCCAGAATGTCGGCAACCCCTCACTTTGGAAACTTTGAAATGTCCTGGAAAACACCTCAAGAATATTTTATCAGAGCTGAGAATCAAGTGTGACTACATCAATCGAGGGTGTCCTGAACATGTTGAGCTTGGAAACCTACAAAATCATGTGAATAATTGTGAATACCGTCCAGTAACGTGTAAAGAGTGTCACCTTGAAGTAAATGCAAAAGATGAAGACAACCACAAGAAGAGTTTCTGTCAGCTTGGTGGAGCCAATATTCAGGGTTTAAAAGATATCAAATTGCGTCAAGAAGAAATGAAAGATAATTTCACCATGATCAGAGCAAGACAAAAAGAATTTGACGATAAACAGAAGGAACTAGAAGAAACTCAGTACGCGTATGGACAGAAGCTAGATGATATTGATGATGATTTGGATGAAATGGAGGGTAAACGGAGAAGACAGAAACGGGAACTAAAAGGAATTCGTACAAAACTAGATGAAATGGAGGGTAATCAGAATTTACAAAGGCAGGAACTGAATGAAGTCACCAATAGTTCAGAAGAAATTAAGACCTTTACGAATTCAATTCAGGATGAATTGAGAGGGGAGGTCGCAGAACTTAAAAGACGACACGATGGCATTTACGACGAAGTAAATAAAATGAAGGTAATACCATCATAATGATTGTGTTATAACATTTTTAGCAAAGGAAATGTTTTGTGGTTACAAACTTTGAAAGTATCTCGAAAATAGGAAACCGCCCTGAAAACCCCACTGTTAGTATGAAACACAGCTCTTTGATTGGTTAATCTGATAGAATTAATTGCCGCATTTGATTAATTAATAGGTGCTCAAGGTCCTAAAAATTAGTGTTTGAAGAAGTCTCTGATTTGTCTAATATTCAATTCAGGATGAAGCGAGAGGCGAGGTGACGGAACTTAAAAGACGACATGATAATATTTACGACAAAGTAAAGAAAATGAAGGTAATACCATCATAATAATTGTGTTATAACATTTTTAGCTACGAAAGTGTTTCGCCGGACTGAGAGGTACGAACGCCCTTAAAAGGCAACTAATGACAGGCAACCTTGAATAGATGATCTGATAGACGTACCGGCATTCGATTAGTTCATAGCTTTTCAAAGTTAGTCGTTGAAAAAAATGAATATTAACCTCCCTAGTATTTATAATCATGTTGCAAATACTTCTTCGGTTTCTGATTAAGTTGATACCAAGTTTTTAAAAGCGCGAAGCGTTTATCTGAAGTAGCATTTTATACAACATTAGCTAAATAAACAAACAAAACACCTTCACTAGCGCCCTCAAGAAAACAAGAAAAATGGAAAGCCTAAACAAACAGAACAATGAAATCTGATAAGATCCATATCGTAAGGTGCCGAAGGCCCCAGTTTCAACTATCACTTCATAGATTATATTCTATCATGTCACCACAGAGAAAATTTTGTACACATCGTGTTACCTCGGATCGTGTTACCTCGGATAAAATATTTTAACCATCATATTGTAATTTAGACAAATGTCAACAAACTGACACCGTCTCAAGCTGAGCTGAATATTCAGCACCTTCAAATGGGAAGAAAACAAGATCAAATCGAAGCGAGACAAGATGAGACGAAGGTTAATTTTTAACTGATATAGTCAAAGCTACATATACGAAAGACAGCGATCCCCACTCTTAGGAATTAGTATAAGATGATGTTTCTTATAAAAAAACAGCTTACAATGATGCTTCTTCTATATTCTTGCTACATAAAATTAAATCGTTTGAGATAATCATCATATTCTTCACCCAGACTCACCTCCACCTTAACTTGTTTCCATTTCCCCGTTTCCGAGGTAATTCATATTAAATGAGTATGAACGTGAGTGAGGTTGTTATTTTAGAAAGCTCTTGACGAGATGAAACAAACCCAATCAGGAATTAACGAGAAAGTAGAGAAAATGGAGGTAAGAATATATTGTGATGATATTACATAATTGCTGGTCATTGGCTGTCACGTGACGAAATTCACCCTCTCGATAATTATATCATTTGCCTGGCACACACAAACTTTCAATTTAAAAGGTTTTCTATTGTCATTGGATTTAGCGGCATATTCTTAACCTTCACGCACAAACTTGCACAGTGTAAAAAACCGCGGCATGTGAACCCTAAAGCCCCATCTGTTGCGATGGGCCTGCTTAGATTGAAGGTGACGACAGCGCTCAGATGATCCTCTTTCAAAAGAAACTGTCGGTAAAACGCTTGGTCGGTTGATTTTACTGCGATACCACAAGCTTGGTAGAGTGATTTGCTGTGAACACTTTGCAACGCTAACTACAACACTCTTAGAAATGTCGTAAAATACAATTCTAAGCTTTAAAAATGCATCGTTTATTCACAAGAGCATGCCAAAGATGCAGTTACACTTTAGCCAACATCGTCAGTAAATCCTAGAATCTGCAGCCCCAGTGGTCACTCTATGTGTCAGTACAGGAGATTTCAGAGCACTAATGATGCTACACCGTAACTCTTTATTTACAATTCAGGATAATTATGAGGTTATAAAGCAGCAGTTGGAAAGACTTGAAGGATTATTGGGTCATCTATTCCAAGAAAATATTGTCAACAGAAATGGGGCTCAAGCTACGGATCCCACAATTCCAACTAACAACATAGACGTCATTATTCTTGGTGGTTTGTATGACTTTGGGGAAGCACCCCCTTTGAATACTGTTGAAAAATATAATATTGTTGAAAAGAGGTCGACTATGCTACCACCATTGAATCATCCTCGAGTAGGATCAGCTTCGTGTGTTTACAACAATGACGTTCTGGTCGTTGGTGGTTTCGATGGTAAAGATGCAACTGACACGATCCAAGTTTTGAAGATGAACCACCATCCTTTGCGATGGACAATGTTTGATGGTAAACTGCCTGTCAAAATATCTGTTCATGACGTCATAGTTTATCAAGAAAAATTATATATAACAGGAGGACATGACTGGAATGAAAGAGAAACATCGAACGCCATTTATGAGATTGCTCTTACCCCACCTTATACTGCCAAGCTGCTGACGAGAATGCCTGGGCCAAGACAAATTCACAGAGCAGAACTTGTTAATGGAAAACTATTTATCTTGGGTGGATCAACAACTGGCGATAGTGAAGATGCTCTTGACAGCGTTGTTTTTTATGATTTCATTAAGCATGAGTTCAAGCCATGTCCATCGTTACCTCAGCCTGTTTGTAGTATTTCCACAGTCACTTCGGGTGATAAGATCATTGTTCTTGGTGGTGAGAATAAGAATGCTCAGGCATTAAATGACGTCATCATGTATGACACTGAGACTGGGCGAAGCGAGAGACTGCCCTCCATGATTCACAAAAGGAGCGGCAGCTCAGCTGTCATTATGAATGACGTCATTGTCGTGTTTGGTGGATGGAATACTGGGCAGGAACATCTCAACTCAGTGGAAACCTTTACCATTGGTGGAGATGGCTGGAAAGAACTGCCAGGAATGATAGAAAAAAGGTGTAATGCAACTGCTGTTGTAAAACCTCACATCTGAAAGTTTTCTCACTATAAAGTTCTTATTGTGTCCTTGCATGAATATGATAATATTTTATGTCGTGATGGTCAATCATTGTCCCGGCGCTTTCTTGATATATGAGCAACCATCGGCCGGTTGTATGAAAGCCGGATAGCGCTATCCACCGGATAATGTTTTAAAGTCGCTTTAAAGTCACCCGTTGTTGGGTATAACTTTGATTAAATCTTAGTATTCCTAAATTGAGGATCCTCTTAAATAATTGTTGGTTCCGAAGATGAAATTTTATTGCTTTTCGAGCATTTTTAAACGGTTGAAAAAACCACTATCCGGTGGATAGCGCTATCCAGCTTTCATACTACCTGCCCCAGAAGCACAGAATACCTATCAGAAGAACAACTCCATTGTTTTTTTCGTAAGTGACTCAGCAAGTACCGTTAATGGAAGCAATCAGGTTAGATCTAAATGTAAATAAATTTCGCTCGATTTTTCATCAGCCAAAATCCTTCTTATGTTAATGTAATAATATCAAAGATAAACATTGTTTAATTTGTGACTGAAATTAAAATGTATAGAGGCTGTGTGTGTCTTAACTGGATAATCCAGATATTTCTTATTCAACCATGTTTTTCGTTGTCAGCGAAAGGTGATATAATTCCTGATCTCGTATATGCTGGAGAACTGGACCACGAGGAACCTGACAACAAAACAAAGTTTCAATTTTCAACGAGACACAACGAGAGATGGAGAGAAAACCAAGTCAGGCCTTGGTTAACCAGACCAGGCTCAATATAAAACATTCCAGTTGAAACAAGATAAACCACAACATATTAAGAACAAATGGCATTGTTTACTGAAGGAAAGAGCAAGTCATGAGATCATTCTGATGTTCAACAAAAAATTTGGTGAGTTTCTTCCAATTTTTATGTATTTGAGTTTCACCAACTTTTCTCAAACACCCGGCAGTGCCGTGGTCATCTCAACCACTCTAACATATTATCCATTAAACTTTACATGGACCGACCACATGGACCGATCTAGCCTGTTTCCTATATTATCGCAAGCAATTTTTGACGTTTCGATTATGTAATCGCGCTGGGAATTTGTCAACGCATGCGCAGTGTTACACACATGCATAAACAACAATGGCTTCTGCGTTTGCTTAATTTTCTTCGGTTGCTAAATTTCAGCCCGGCAAAAATTACTCATATAATCGTTTGCTAAATTTCAGCCCGGGAAGGCGGGCTAGCCCGGTCCATTAACCAGCCCCTTAGCATCATATGTGGTATAACAACTGCCTAAAATAGGATTAGTCATTATCGACCTATGTTTACACAAATTATTATATGAACCTTTAAAAGATTATTCCAGTATTCTTTGGCTAACAAATAACATATAAAGTTGAGAACTGTTACTTATGTGAAATATTAACTCGACTAACTTCAATAATTGTTTAATTTCCGGACAGGAAATGAATCTTTGAGGATTATGGTAATAAGACAAGGCATTGTACTTCGTATTATAACTCAAAGAGAAAGGAATTGAGACAAGAAAGGGAGAATTTTGTCGCTACGAAAATTACTGGTGAGTTTGTTTATATTTTAAGTGATCTCGTGTGCAAAGTTAGCAGCATTTAGCGAACTTTTCAACGTGTTTTTAACCGGACATAATTGCTGGCTATTTGTCTGAGTTCAAACAGCGAGGTGACGAATGTTGTTTGACTGTCTTTAATAATTCACGCGACTTCTCGCCGTTGGTAAAACATTGATTATAAACAAGCGATTATATCACAAAGTATTTCGTGATGAGTGAAGTGTTATCATTAATTCACAACTATAATGCGATAGTTTAAAAATATGGTGTAATAAACTGTGTTTAAAAGTTGTCATTTGGTATTTTGGTCGCAATCTTTCCGCCTTTTCCTCGTTATAAGGAATCACACAGGCAGGAGCGGGTGAACCAGGGACTCCTGTTGATAAATCTCTGTGCCCATATTTAATAATTTAAATTACATGAAGTTCTTGATGGGGAAAATCATGTGTTATCATTAATGCACAACTATAAAACGTTCAAAAATATTGTGTAATAAACTGTGTTTATTGCAGAACTATCCTCAGAGATATAAAACATTGAATTACAGTCAATGAACCATCGTAAAATTCGAATCAAAATGCCACAATCGTTGTAAACAAAAACAAAAGTGCAAAAGCTTCTCTTAAAATGCAAATGTGAAAATGACTTTCAATATTGCCCAGAAATGGATTGTTAAAACCGAAACCAGTTCTGAAAAATATTTTATTACACCGGCAGATAATAAATAAATCAATTAAACGTTTAATGTTACTTGGAATCTCAAGTTGATAGTTGAAATTTTCAGATCAGAATTTAGCGAGCACATTTATAAATTATTGACCAAGCTTGCCGACTATGATCGCAACTTTCTCAAATACAAAACCAGACAAAACAAACTCGCTAGCTAAACTTAAGTCAAATATTAGCAAATATTAAATTACGATTACCCAGGATAACACAGAATAATCAAAGGCACAATATCCGTAGCAGATTCAAGCGTAGCGTCTCTCAAAATGCAAATAAATTCTCGCAACATGATTCTTGAAACGGTATTCTCAAAACAAATACGTTTTGACAAATCTTGTCTTCTTGTGAGCAATATTACTTCGCGGTTAATGAATCTCTGGTTGATACTTGAACATCAATGAAATGCATGATAATAAAGATTTTTTGTCGAAGCCAGACAGTTAGTTCCTTATAACGATATTGGTAGACTTCCTTTAGAACCACGGGATGTTTTGAACACAATACACCTACGTCATATCAAGGTGTTGTATCTTAGACACAAAATACCGTCGAGACGATGCTAACACCAGCTTCTTGCTGAATTTCAAAGCGAAAATCTGTCATAATTCATCAGCTTTGGTAAGTCTAATTTGATTATCTTTGTGTGGTTTAAGTTGTATGGTCCGTCAGTGTCAAAAATGCCTCGCTACCAATCACTGCAGGCTTGATAGTCTCACTGGTCGCCACGTTTACACTTTGCCAGATTCCCGAGTCACGAGATCAACACTTGTCGTTTACGAGTAATCTTTGTCAACAAATCTTAGTTAATTCACAATTATTGTTTGATTTTATTGTAAAATCCTAATTCAAAGTGTTCAGAGCGTTCTCAAACTCCAAAATACGATATCGTGTAAGAGACAGAGGGTATAGTGCACAGTGTAAACACAACTATGAACTATTGGGCAGCGAAGTGTTCCTTGAGAATGATATTTTAAATCTTGCGTTATTTATAAAATATAAGAACTCTGTAGATATCAATCATTTCTCTTTGTTGCAATAGTCGTAAACAAGTCCTGCCAATGTGAAATAGTCCAGATGTAAACTTTTCGTTATTGTTGAGTGGTAATAATTCCAATCGGTCATTGTTGATTGCACACACTCCATAGCAATATTCAAATACATCAACCACCTTGACATTTTCATGACAATTACGTCCAAATGAAATCCAGGCTAAGGAAGTAATTTATGGCAATAATTTCTTTAACCATTTATTGAAAACATGTTTCAGATTCATGTGAAGATAATGCAGATGGGTGAAGGCTATGATCCTGACCGTTTCGTTGATCGAGTTCTTCATGGTTTTAAATGCTGCATTTGCCAGTGTGTGTTAAACGAGCCACGATTATGCGAGGCCGAAGAACATAAATTTTGTTTAAACTGCATATCTCAACATCTTCCTAATTCCCAGACATGCCCAGAATGTCGGCAACACCTCACTTTGGAAACTTTGAAATGTCCTGGAAACTATTTCAACAACATTTTATCAGAGCTGAGAATCAAGTGTGAATACATGAATCGAGGGTGTCCGGAGCATGTTGAGCTCGGAAATCTACAAAATCATGTGAACAATTGTGAATACCGTCCAGTAACGTGTGAGGAGTGTCACCTTGAAGTAAATGCAAAAGATGAAGACAACCACAAGAAGAGTTTCTGTCAGCTTGGTGGAGCCAATATTCAGGGTTTGAAAGATATCAAACTGCGTCACGAAGAAATGAAAGATGATTTCAAGATTGTCAGAGCGAGACAGAAAGAATTCGACGATAAACAAAGGGAACTGGAAGAAACTCAAAACGCATATGGACAGAAGGTAGATGATATTGACGATGATTTACATGAAATGGTTGGTACTCAGAAAAGACAGAAACGGAAACTCAAAGAAATCATCGATAATTGTGAAAAAATTCGTACAAACCTGGATGAAATGGAGGATAATCAGAATTTACAAAGGCAGGAACTGAATGAAGTCACCAATAGTTGTGAAGAAATTCAGACCTTCACGAATACAGTTCAAGATGAAATGAGAAGCGAAGTGACAGGAATTAAAACAATGCATTCTAATATACAGAAACAAGTAAAGAAAATTAAGGTAAGGAAAGATTTATCTGTTATGACTATTAGTATTGTTTTATTAATTTTTGAATGTCATCAATATATTCTATATTTTTGAATGCTTTGAAAAAAATGGTTGAAATATAACTATCTGGTACATAGCGTTACCCAGCCCTAGCCGGTATCCCAGCAGATTTGGATCCCCCTAAAAAGGACCCCCTTGGACATATTTGCCATCTAGCAGATATGGACTAGGGGCCAATTTAGAGGGGGGCATATTCGCTGCCAGAACGTATTTAAGAACACACTCTCAGATGAGTTAGATCGTGTTACTTCGGAGAAAATTTTTTAACTGTTGAACTGCAATTTAGACGAATGTCAACAAACTGACACCGTCTCAATCTGACCTGAAATATCGTCAACTTGAAATGGCAAGAAAACAAGATCAAATGGAAGTGAGACAAGATGAGACGAAGGTTAATTTTTAACTGATATAGTCAAAGCGATATGTACGAAAGACGGCGATCCCCTCTCTTAAGAATGAATTAGTTTAAGATAATTTTTCTTAGAAAAAAACAGTATAGGATGATGTTTCTTCTATATTCTTACTATATAACATTTAGTTTATCATGATAAGTAGTTTCATCTTTAAGATAATCACCATATTCTACATCCAGACTCATCTTCACCTTAACTTGTTTCCATCGCCCAGTTTTCCGAGGTAATTCATGTTAAATGAGTTTAATGAACGTGAGTGACGTTGTTTAGAAAGCTCTGGATGAAATGAAACAAACCCAATCAGGAATTAACGAGAAAGTACAGGAAATGGAGGTTCATCACCTTGAAATGGCAAGAAAACAAGATGAGACGAAGGTTAATTTTTAACTGATATTTTCAAAGCGATATATACGAAAGACAGCGACCCCCTCTCTTAGGAATTAGTATAAGATGATTTTTCTTAGAAAAAAACAGCTTACAATGATGTTTGTTCTATATTCTTGCTACATAAAATTTAATCCTTTGAGATAATCAGCATATTCTACATCCAGACTCATCTTCACCATAACTTGTTTCCATTTTCCCGTTTCCGAGATAATTCATATTAAATGAGTATGAACGTGAGTAAGGTTGTTATTTTAGAAAGCTCTTGACGAGATGAAACAAACTCAATCAGGAATTAACGAGAAAGTAGAGGAAATAGAGGTAAGAATATATTGTGATGATATTACATAATTGCTGGTCATTGGCTGTCACGTGACGAAATGCACCCTCTCGATAATTATGTCATTTGCCTGGCACACACAAACTTGCACAGTGTAAAAAACCGCGGCATGTGAACCCCCAAGCCCCATCTGTTGCGATGGACCTGCTTAGATTGAAGGTGACGACATTGCTCAGATGATCCTCTTTCAAAAGGAACTGTCGGTAAAACGCTTGGTCGGTTGATTTTACTGCGATACTACAAGCTTAGTAGAGTGATTTGCTGTGAACACTTTGCAACGCTAACTACAACACTCTTAGAAATGTCGTAAAATACAATTCTAAGCTTTAAAAATGCATCGTTTATTCACAAGAGCATACCAAAGATGCAGTTACACTTTAGCTAACATAGTCAGTAAATCCTAGAATCTGCAGCCCCAGTGGTCACTCTATGTGTCAGTACAGGAGATTTCAGAGCACTAATGATGCTACACCGTAACTTTTTATTTACAATTTAGGATAATTATGAGGTTATAAAGCAGCAGTTGGAAAGACTTGAAGGATTATTGGGTCATCTATTCCAAGAAAATATTGTCAACAGAAATGGTGCTCAAGCTACGGATCCCACAATTCCAACTAACAACCAAGACGTTATTATTCTTGGTGGTTGGTATACCTTTAGGGGAGCACCCCCTTTGAAAACTGTTGAAAAATATAATATTGTTGAAAAGAGGTCGACTATGCTGCCACCATTGAATCATCCTCGAGTAGGATCAGCTTCGTGTGTTTACAATAATGACGTTCTTCTCGTTGGTGGTCACGATGGTAAAGAACGAACTGACACGATCGAAGTTTTGAAGATGAACCAACATCCTTTGCGATGGACAATGTTTGATGGTAAACTGCCTGTCAAAATATATCGTCATGACGTCATAGTTTATCAAGGAAAATTATATATAATAGGAGGATATGACTGGAATGAAAGAAAAATATCGAACGCCATTCATGAGATTGCTCTTACCCCACCTTGTACTGCCAAGCTGCTGACGAGAATGCCTGGGCCAAGACAAATTCACAGAGCAGAACTTGTTAATGGAAAACTATTTATCTTGGGTGGAACAACATATCTCGATAGTGAAGATGCTCTTGACAGCGTTGTGGTTTATGATTTCATTAAGAATGAGTTCAAGCCATGTCCATCGTTACCTCAGCCTGTTTGTCATATGTCCACAGTCACTTGGGGTGATAAGATCATTGTTCTTGGTGGTGTGGATAAGAATTACCAGGAATTAAATGACGTCATCATGTATGACACTGAGACGGGGCAAATTGAGCAACTGCCCTCCATGATCTACAAAAGGAGAGGTAGCTCAGCTGTCATCATGAATGACGTCATTGTCGTGTTTGGTGGATGGAATGATGAGCAGGGTGGTCTCAACTCAGTGGAAACCTTTACCATTGGTGGAGATGGCTGGAAAGAACTACCAGGAATGATAGAAAAGAGATTTAATGCAACTGCTGTTGTAAAACCTCACATCTGAAAGTTTTCCCAATATAAACTTCTTATTGTGTCCTTGCATGAATATGATAATATTTTGTGTGGTGATGGTCAATCATTGTTTCGGCGCCTTCTCGATATATGAGCAACCAGGGGCCAGTTGTATCAAAGCCGGATAGCGCAATCCACCGGAAAGTTTTTAAAGTCGCTTTAAAGTCACCCGCTGTTGGGTATAACTTTGATTAAATCTTAACATTCCTATATTGAGGATCCTCTTTAATAATTGTTGGTTCCGAAGATGAAATTTTATTGCTTTTCGAGAATTTTTAGAACGGTTGAAAAAACCTCTATCCGGTGGATAAGCGCTATCCAGCTTTCATACAACCTGCCCCAGAAGCACAGAATACCTATCGGAAGAACAACTCCATTGTTTTTTGCGTAAGTGACTCAACAAGTACCTTTAATGGAAGCGATCAGGTTAGATCTAAATGTATATAAATTTCGCTCGATTTTTCATCAGCCAAAATCCTTCTTATGTTAATGTAATAATATTGAAAATAAACATTGTTTAATTTGTGACTGAAATTAAAATGCATAGATCCTGCTATGCTGGCGGTGAAGTATTTATACAGCGGCTTTAACAAGCTACAAATTGCTTCGTCTACAACTGGGGTATTTTTGTCGCTACTAAAATTACTAATGCTGTTCAGTCAAACGTGTTTAGCCTTTTTGTTGCTGTATTTACAACCACAACAGGTGCAGAGTGGCGTCATTTCACAAAATGATTGTTTTGTAACCAAGCAACCAAATTATGCGCTTAGAAATTTCGATATCTTACTGATAACCGATGGTGTAATCCGTTAGAAATCTTATCTGCTATCTTTTAATAATAACTACGTTATTAGCATGTCGTTAAACCTACTTTTCCCATGACAAACTCGTTTTTGCAGCCAATTTGTAGCTTCAAAAACACCGAAAACTTTTGAGAATAGTAAACTGTGCTTGCTTAGAAACGAACTTATGAATTTTTATGACACTCAGGGTATTATTGTAATGCTCTATCTCATTTTAAAAACCACAGGTGGTACAGCCTTCTTTAATTTCACGAGGGAGTAGATATTGTCAGAGGCCAGCTGTTAGCTCCTTATAAGGATGTTCAAGGAGTGTCGCTGTAGTCACGAGATATCTTCAACGCTATTAACATTACATGACAAGGTGTTTTAAACACAAAGTGTTGCAGACGGCGTCGACACAACAACTTTTGTGTTGAAGTGAAGAATTTCTCAACATCTATCAATTCTGGTAAGCCTGATTTAATTCTCTTTGTGAAATTCAAACTGTGCAGACTGTCAATTCATATAATAGTGAAATAAGTTTTACACTAACGATATTTTTTGCGCGAAGCGACTTTATTCTTTTGTCTTTGAGCAATTTTGTTCCAGATGACGCAGTTGACTAAATCCGGTTTTCCACTAGCGATATTTTTCGCGCGAAGCGACATTTTACTTTTGTTTCAGAGCTCTCAACTGCAACCATCTGGGAAAAATTGCTCAAATACAAAAGAATAAAGTTGCTTCGCGCGAGAAATATCGCCAGTAGAAAACCGGCCATAATCACAACACTATGGTTGCCCTAGCAACAAACTTTAAATTCGTCGAATAACCCGAATAAAGTTACACTATGTCACTTTTCTTGCAACTTGCAATGCAATTCTACATCTGAGGCATCTAAAGTTGTCAAATACGAATATTTCGTACGATCTGATGACGTTTTCTTAGCATTTCGAACACTCTTTACAAATTAACATCACTCAAAATTAAATAGCGTTGAAGTTCCAAGAACATTTTTTAGATGTTAGGAAGTTGAGAAAAGTTCCTTGAGTCAAACTAGCCGTGAACAAGTTGTAAAATGACACAGGACATGAATTTTTAAGGATTGTGGTAATAAGACGAGATATTGAAATTTTGACAAATGCTGACTTAAACAAAACCTTTAGGACAAGACAATCAGCAAAAACACAAAAGTTTTATAGCTGTATTTTCTTATATTTTATCCTCCGGAGTATAATTGCATTGCAAGTCATGCAGGAAAAATTGCATAGTATATTTGACACAACCTTAAAGAGTGTATGAAAAAAGTTAAACAGTTAGTAAATTTATTCTAGTCGTTAAAGAAATTCTTTAGTTTGTGTATAAGTAGCTATTTTGAGTCCTTCAGACGGCACTTCAAAAATTTGCGAGACGGTGAAACTTTTTGCTGGAGATTTTTCCAAGTATATAAAAGCGTACTTTTACAAGTCAATTTGAAAACGACTTGCGCAAAACAACGGGTGACGTGGCAGGCTAAAATATGGAATATATTTTATAGGTTATCAAAATTTCAGACAATTTTGTGTATTCGTTAGCGAGTGCGCGAAGTTTAAAAATTGGATGTTTTAAAACCGTTTTGAATCATTCATAGTGGTAAATTAGTATTTGGAATATCAATAGATGCAAATGTCTAAAAAAGATGCAAAAAAATTTTCGCAGCATAAAGGTAAAAATACGTTACAAATATATTTTATAAAATCATATTGAAAGACTGCGGTAGAAATCAAATCGCAAAGTTTTGAAACATTACGATGCATCAAGGTGTTGTCTTAAGCACAAAATATTGTTGACGCAACGTTAACACCAAACTATTGCAGGATGTTCAAGTGAATACCCGTCATCATCATCTTTGGTAAGTCTAATTTCATTATCTTTGTGTGGTTTAAGTTGCATGGTCTGTCACTGTCAATATCAGAATTGAATATGAATTGATATGTGGAAAAAATCTTGTGAGTTAATGATTATTTTAAACATTCATCGAAATAATATTTTAGATACATTGAACATATTGCTAATGGCTGGAGGCTATGATCGTGACCGTTTCGTTTATCCTGTTGCAGAAGATTTCTACTGCATTATTTGCTTTGGTGTGTTAAGAAATGCGCGATTATGCGTGGCAGGAGAACATCATTTTTGTTTTGATTGTATATCACAATACCTTCCTAATAATCCAACGTGCCCAGAATGTCGACAAACTCTCACTCCAGAAACTTTGCAACGTCCTCACAGGTTTCTAAGGAACTGCTTGTCAGAGCTGATAATCCGGTGTGATTATCACAATCGAGGGTGTCACGAAGGAGTTCAGCTTGGAAATCTAGAAAATCACGTGAATGCCCGTTGTGAATATCGTGATGTTACGTGTGAGATCTGTGGTTTGAAATTTATTGCAAGAGAAATGGACACCCACCAGGTTTACTGTCAACTTGGTGGAGCCGAAATGCCGCAAGTGGACGACTTTATGCATAACTATGAAAAATTTTGCACGTCAACGGATACGAGAGTTACTAGAATTGAGGTAATATTAAGTTTCTTTTTGCCTATTGTAGTTGCTTTAAAGTTTATGACATTACAACTCTAGATTCGGTATTTATTGAACCTCTGACACAGGTCTTTTCAAAATCTTCGGTTTAAGGTTTCGATCAAAGCAACACGGTTGTTGTCAGAAAAGAGTATGCGCAGTCAATGAATAACTTTTTGCTAGGTCGCCTGAAAAACTAGATATAAGAAACCGCACTGAATTTTTATTTGTTAATTACCAGCGCCAATAAGCTTTTATTTCCAATGCAGGTTTTTGCCTCCATTTAATTGATATCATCATTTATATAGGAATATTTGAACCAGTCGTTTGGATTTAATCCGCAATGAAACAGAGGTGAGAAAATATGGCACCAATAAATTGACACTAAGATATTCAAGCACGATTAACGTTTATAATTTGCAATTCAGGATATGTTCTAGGTGACGAAACAACATTTTGGAAGATCTGAAAGAATTATCGGATCGCCAAGTACAGACAATGATATCAAGTTGATAATGCTTAAGTTACAGTCTCAAAACTCAAGCCAACAACCACTGCAATTATCCTCGGAAGTTGGCATTGTCATGCAATAGTTTATGCCTATGCTTTAAACACTGTTGAAATTCAATTAATATTTATCACTAAACTCAATTAATATTATAATATTTAATAAACAAAATGTATAATTTTCCACCACGATTGAATCACTCTCGAGTATTCTGAAAATGTGTGTCTAGCAATGAAGTTTTTCAATGTGAAATTATTAATTACGCCGTTTAACATTGCAAAACCTTTGGTCTTTAGTCTGAAGTATACAAGTCTTTATAGCAACCTTTACTTTAGTATCTCTGTCTGAAAAATACTTTTGTACCTAAGACGAGGTGCTCAAGTGATGAAGGCTTGCAAAATATAGTAAACAATATCAAGCAGTCATTGTTCACTGACTGAAAACATTTTGTTTAAACGAGGTTTAGCGAGTTTGTTCTAGTCTGGTATTTGCATTTGAGAAATTATCTCAGTCAGCATGTAGAACTGACTTCGTTGGTGCAAGTAATTTATCGGATAGGAGGACGGGGGGGAGGGAAGACATATGATTTTAGCAAAAATTGCCCAACTCTAGTATCCCTCAAGTACAGCCTTATTTATCACCATTGTTGTCCAAATCGCCCTACTCCCAGCGATTTGCGTGTACGGACTTCAGTAGTTCCGAGCAACAAGCTGGTGTTTACGTCGTCAACAATATTTTGTGTCAAAATATCACATCGATTTGTGGCAATGTTTGTTTCCAAGTAGTTTGTAAAACAGTCTTGCAGTCCTACGCAATTAGCTTTAACAATATCATTTTTAACATCACGCTGGGAAACTTGCATAATGATAAAACATTTTATTTGCATTTCTTTGATGTTTCAAGAATCAATATGATATTTCAAGTACTATCAGATTGAGTTATCCTTCTTAGAAGATTTGTAAAAACAAGTTTCGGTTTTGACAGCAACAAGATTTATCGAAACTGTAGTTTCGATTTGCCATTTGGCATCATGCTGTGAGAGTTTTAAACATTTCAGATATTTGCATTTCTTTGTTATTTACCAAGTATCAACTCGAGATTGGTATTATTGATAGTTGAGTTATTATCTCGCATACAAGATTCAAAAGTGGTTTATTTTGACACTAACAGTTTGCTAAAGAAGGTGCGAAAATTGTGTTCATTTCAGTCTCTCAGACACTTTCATTTCTTCGATGTTCCAAGTATCAACATGAGTTTCCTAGTATTATTAAATGGTTCATTGATCGAGTCATTACCGCAAGATTTAAATCTGATTTGTTTTGCAATATCAGTCCAGCCTCATGCTGAGAGAATCTCTAGCGCTCTCTCTCGCTATATTTAGTATTTAAAGTGGTTGTTCTTTTAAATTGAATATCGTGCTGGGGTCTTAATTAAATGTTTAATGCTGTGTAACAAAGTGAATCTATGAATCTCGCTTTGGTTCGAGTGATTATTGATTTGTGTCCATTTCAGAGCTAGTCTCCCGGACGGACTCGACTAATCGATAACAATAACACAACTGTTTGACAAGGGTTTAAATTATGTCCATCGTGATTAAATATTTCATACTGTGGCCCAAACTGAAGCTATGAACCTCGCTTTGGTTCGAGTAATTGATTTGTGTTGATTTCACAACCAGTCTGACAGAGAAAGTCCAGACATGAAATAACACAATTGTATTTGCCTTCATCGATAAACAAAAATACAACTTGCTGAACACAAAGGTTTAAATTCTGATAAAAAGTATTCAATAAAACTTAATTTCAAGTGGAATGTTTTCCAATCGAAATTAAGATCTATCAACCCTTTAAAAATTAGCCAACATCTAGTGAAGTGGCACAAAATCTCGATTGATTTATTGAGAAATTAGTTAATTTAAATTGAATATCGTGCTGGGGTCATCGTGATTAAATATTTCATGCTGTGGCCCAAACTGAAGCTATAAATCTTGCTTTGGTTCGAGTAATTGTGATTTGTGTTGATTTCACAACCAGTCTCACAGAGGAAGTCCAGACATGAAATAATACAAATTTATTTGCCTTCATCGATGAACAATAACACAACATTTTGAACACTAGAGTTTAAATTCTGATAAAAAGTATTCAATACGAAGTAATTTCAAGTGGAAAGTTTTCCACTCGAAATTAAGAGCTATCAACCCTCTAGAAATTAGTTGATTTAAATTGAAAATCGTGCTGGGGTCATCGTAGTTAAATATTTCATGCTGTGGCCCAAACTGAAACTATAAATGTTGCTTTGGTTCGAGTAATTAATTTGTATTGATTTCACAACCAGTCTCACAGAGGAAGTCTAGGCATTAAATATTAAAAAAGTTATTTTACTTCATTGATGTACAATAGCACACACATGCTGAACAATGGGGTTTAAATTCTGATAAAAAGTATTCAAAAAGAAGTAATTTCAGGGGAAAGTTTTCCAATCGAAATTAAGACTTATCAACCCTCTAAAAATTAGTACAGTCATACTAACTCTCCTGACAAAGACCTTTAGGCCGAACTGACCTCGAGAATTTTTCCCGGTCTAACATGCAGTTTTTATATCACATTTGATGAGAAGTTAGTCAGACGTTTTACTAAAGAATTTGTTCGCTGTACATGGTCATTGCTGATGTTAACTGATTAATATTGACAATACAGACATAATTAAATCAGATATGTTCTAATAAAATTAAAAATATCAATACATCTTGTGTACTCTTTGTGGGCGCAACTCTTTCGTCAGTAACATTCAATTTTGTCCTTAGCCTTCCTATGCCATCTTTTTGTCGTGTTGAGTATTTAATTTACTGTATGAATAGAGAAATAATAATAACCTTGACTTCAAATTAATGATTGTTTTAGAAAAAGAAAAGTGCGAAATGGAGCAAGGTTATGATCCAATCCGCTTCATTTTTCAAGTTAAACGAGATTTGCTTTGCTGCATTTGCCACCGTGTGTTGAAAGAGCCACGATTATGCGAGGCGGAAGAACATTGCTTTTGTCTGAGTTGCATAACACAACACCTTGATAAAGAGGCTAAAACATGTCCGGAATGTCGGGAACCCCTCGCATTGGAAACTTTGAAACTTTCCCAAATGTTCTTAAAGAAGGTTTTGTCAGAACTAAGAATCAGGTGTGATTACAACGATCGAGGATGTCCAGAGCAAGTTAAGCTTCGAAATCTTGAAGATCACGTGATTGATTGCAAGTACCGCCCAACACTGGATGCCGAAAAGTATAACACGCAAGTGAGTCAGAAAGACCAGCAGAATTTCTGTCAGATGAAAGCTGAATTTTCTTCTGATGGAGCAGAACAAAATGAATTGAGCCAAAAACGAATTGAAATTAAAGTGGAAAAAAAGGTAAGTGAGAGAAGTACAGTGAAAAATGTTGATACTCAAGTCGGGTGTGATCATCGTCCTAAAAAGTCGAGAGAAAAATATGATGATATGCGTGATGAAATGAAAAGAATGAAGGATATTAAGAAATTAATTTTACTTCGATCATCTTTTAAAATATTGTTTAAAAGAAAGTATGACCCTCCTCTTATATTAGTTCTTTATTTTAAAGAAATTACGACGCTCCCAACTACTTTGAAAAAACCTCTCTAATGACGTCATGGTTCTTGTTTTTACTAAATAAGAGGGGGAGGGCGGCGCAACTTCTCAAAGTGACCCTAACATTTAGCTGAGCGAAAAGAGCATTACAATTTTATTCCAGCGCGAATTACCATCAATAATTAATAAGTCCTGAAAAATTAGTGTTTGAAGAAATCTCTGATTTGTCTAATATTCAATTCAGGATGAAACGAGAGGCGAGGTGGCAGAACTTAAAAGAAAATACGATGATAATTACGAAAAAGTAAAGAAAATGAAGGTAATAGCATCATAATAATTGTGTTATAACATTTTTAGCTATGAAAGTGTTTCGCCGGGTTATAAACGCTGAAAGAACCTGGAAGACTGAGAGGTAGGAACCCCCTTAAAAGACAAATAATAACAGGCAACTTTGAATGGTTGATCTGATAGGCGCACTGGCATTCCATTGGTTCATAGCTTATCAAAAGTTAGTCGTTGAGTAAATTAAATATTAACCTCGCTAGTATTTAAATTAATGTTGCAAATACTTCCTCGGTTTCTGATTAGGTTGATACCAAGTTTTTAAGAGTGCGAAGGCTTTGTCTGAAGTAGCATTTTATACCACATTGGCTAAATAAACAAGCCAAACATCTTCACTAGCGCCCTAAAGAAAACAAGAAAAGTAGAAAACCTAAACAAGTAGAATAATGAAATCTGATAAGGTCCATATTGTAAGGTGCCTAAGGTCCCCAGTGTCAACTATCACATAGATTATACTATATCATGTCACCACAGAGAAAATTTTGTACACATCAGTTGGATCGTGTTACCTCAGATAAAATAATTTAACCATCGCATTGTAATTTAGACAAATGTCTCTCAAGCTGAGCTGAATATTCATTACCTTGAAATAGCAAGAAAACAAGATCAAATGGAAGTGAGACAAGATGAGATGAAGGTTAATTTTTAACTGATATAGTCAAAGCGATATCTACGAAAGACAGCAATCCCCTCTCTTAGAAATTAATATAAGATGATGTTTGTTATATAAAAAAACAGTATAGGATGATGTTTCTTCTATATTCTTACTATATAACATTTAGTTGATAAGTAGTTTCATCTTTAAGATAATCACCATATTCTACATCCAGACTCATTTTCACCTTAACTTGTTTCCATCGCCCAGTTTTCCGAGGTAATTCATATTAAATGAGTATGAACGTGAGTGAGGTTGTTTTAGAAAGCTCGGGATGAAGTGAAACAAACCCAATCAGGAATTAACGAGAAAGTACTGGAAATTGAGGTTCATCACATTGAAATGGCAAGAAAACAAGATCAAATGGAAGTGAGACAAGATGAGACGAAGGTTAATTTTTAACTGATATATTCAAAGCGATATGCACAAAAGACAGCGATCCCGTCTATCATAGTTTTACCTTTGAGATGATCACCATATTCTACATCCAGAGTCATCTTCACCTGTTTCCATCGCCCCGTTTCCGAGGTAATTCATGTTAAATGAGTTTAATGAACGCGAGTGAGGTTGTTATTTTAGAAAGCTCTTGACGAGATGAAACAAACCCAATCAGGAATTAACGAGAAAGTAGATAAAATGGAGGTAAGAATATATTTGTGATAATATTTCATAATTGCTGGTCATTGATTATCATATAAGCTGTCACGTGACGAAATGCACCCTCTCGATAATTATGTCATTTGCTTGGACGGCCTCGTTCAAAAGTAAACGTGCAGTGCGCGTTGAATCCCTCGCAAAATGATGTAATTATTAAACTGATGTATCGAAATGCAAATTTTAATGCTTTAGAAGACCCATCGGAACAAAATAAAATTTGAATTTGGGGAGCTGCATTTGGGAAAAAATGCGTGGTTGTAACTTGCAGTAGATTTCCCTCCCCTCCCATTGAATTTAGTTTAACACTTATGCCTTAAATTGCAAATTTGGTTCATCTTACATCAATTTAAAAGGCTTTCTATTGTCATTGGATTTAGCGCCATATTCTTAACCTTCACGCACAAACTTGCACAGTGTAAAAAACCGCGGCATGTGAGCCCCCAAGCCCCGTTCAGATGGGCTTGTGTAGATGAAGGTGACGAAAGCGCTCAGACTGTTTCATTTGTCAGTAAAATGCTTCGTCGGTTGATTTTCCTGCGATACCACAAAAATTAAGATTTAGATTAAAATTAAGATGAAAATTAAGCATTCTAATTTAGACAAATGTTAGCCGATTAATACCGTCCCATGATGAAATCTTGTCGTACCTCTGTTTGATCTTGTTTTCTTAAATAAGATCAAATAGAGGTAAGAAAAGTTGAGATTGCAATTTCAAAATTTGCTCAGACAGATGACATTAGGAGTTTTCTTTCCAACATATCTCGCTGTAACCATGCGAGTATATTTCTTATGTGCTAGATACCTTAAAACAAAACGCCCTGAGCAACTAAAACTAAAAGTTAAAGAGGTCGTCTTTGGATGAGACGTTCACCCAATTTAAAAGACGCCTCCGAAAGCTCCGAACGTGTTAACTTGCTTCTATCCCCCAGGATAAGAAATGATTTTTATTGAATGAGTTCGAACGTTAGCGAGGTTTGAGAAAACAGACGATTGTTGTAACACTCTTGTTATATATACTGTATATCATTTGCTGAAAACCATTTATTGCTCGATATTAATATTTCTGTCAAAGATACGGTCAAAGCGATGCTTTTGGGTAAAACTACAAAATTACTGCATTGACGTGTTAAAATGCCGCAACTCCGTTAACAGCGGAGGATTACTGTAACTCGTAGCGTTTTGCCCACAATTATACTTTGATGTAAAATTTTACAACTGTAACAACAAAACACTCATAAAAACCACGCAAATTGGTCACTCTGTGTTGGTACACGGCTGCTACACCGAATTTTTTTATCTACAATTCAGGGTGATTTTCAAATGATGAAACGGCAGTTTGAAAGATTCCAAGGATTATTGGGTCATCAATTACAAGAAAACATTGTCAATCAAGATGTTATTATTATTGGTGGTTCGTGTACTAGTAGAAACAGACCCCCTTTGAATACTGTTGAAAAATATAATCTTGTTGAGAAGAGGTCTATGCTGCCACGATTGAATCATCCTCGAACAGGATCAGCATCGTGTGTTTACAAAAATGACATCCTGGTCGTTGGTGGTTTCGATGGTGCAGAAGGAGAAGCCACGATCGAAGTTTTGAAGATGAACCAGCATCCTTTGCGATGGACAATGTTTGATGGTAAACTGCCTGTCAAATTGTCTGATCATGACGTCATAGTTTATCAAGGAAAATTATATGTAATAGGAGGACATGATGTGGATGAAAAAAAATCATCGAATGCCATTTATGAGATTGGTCTTACCCCCCCTTATACTGCCAAGCAGCTGACGAGATTGCCTGAGCCAAGAGACGATCTCAGAGCAGAACTTGTTAATGGAAAAATTTTTATCTTGGGCGGAAGAACAACCTACCATTCTACAGATACTCTTGACAGCGTTGTTGTTTATGATTTGATTAAGAATGAGTTCAAGCCATGTCCATCGTTACCTCAGCCTGTTTGTGAAATGTCCACAGTCATTTGGGGTGATAATATTATCGTTCTTGGCGGTAAGGATAAGACTGATCGCGCATTAAGTGACGTCATTATGTATGACACTGAGACGGGGAAAAGTCAGCCACTGCCCTCTATGATTTACAGAAGGTACGGCTGCTCAGCTGTCATCACGAATGACGTCATTGTCGTGTTTGGTGGATGGAATAAGGAGCAGGGATATCTCAACTCAGTGGAAACCTTTACCATTGGTGGAGATGGCTGGAAAGAACTGCCAGGAATGAAACAAAAAAGGTGTAATGCAACTGCTGTTGTGAAACCTCACATCTGAAAGTTTTCTCAATATAAACTTCTTATTGTGTCCTTGCATGAATATGATAATATTTTGTGTCGTGATGGTCAATCATTGTTTCGGCGCTTTCTTGATATATGAACAACCAGAAGTCTGTCCCTAATCATAAACCTGAATCTAACATGAAGTATTTTGTTTATATTTTGGTTTCCTCATATATCAAGAAACAACCATTGTTCACGTCACGTTGATAACTGCTGTTGTCATCTATAATATTTCTATATTCTTATACTGTGACGTCTGGTGAGGTTTAACCAATATTATTAGTGTGTAAATATATAACATAAGATAAATAGATATTGATATATAATGTTTTGTTCATATAGTCAATATTTTACCCTAACCAGTGTTGATAACTACTGTTGTCATCTATAATATTTCTATATTCTTATATTGTGACGTCTGGTGAAGTTTAACCAATATTATTAGCGTGTAAATAGGTTCAATTTGACATTTTAATCTTAACCAATGAACATTAGCAATAAGCAGGACATTAGATTCATTAGTGAAATAAGTTTGATGATAAATATTGATCAATAAAAGATAGATGCTTCTAAACTAAGCCTAATTATTTTTACGATGGTTATTCAGGGTAATTCTTGCTAGTTGCTATCAAGCGTTTTAACGAAGCGTGAATTGACCAGTGGTTTTAACCCAAAAAGCCCACAAGGCATGGCGTTACAAGCTTAATAATAAAAAATGAATTCGTATAATAATTGCAAACGTGATTTTTGAAAGTTCTGGCTTCTGATTGGTCGAGCGACCTCGGATTATTACGCGATAATCAGCTGAGCGGATTTTTCAAAATGGCGGTGAGTTGTTTTTGTCAAAATGACAGATGAAGAAATCTGTAATTTAAAAGAAAAATGGTCTAGAATAATTTTTTAGCTAAAAAAATACGTTGTCGAAACGTGCCCAACATTATTGCACAAAAAATTGTCAAGATATTTGCGGTTTACCGTTTACGTTCGCTTTTAACAAAAACTAAAATAGTCGTGTTTCATGCAAAAACTGGATTGTATGTCACAATAATATTTCACTTTTGGAAATATGGCTTACATATCCACTGAGCTGCATAATCTATACCATATAATGGATCGATCACACTGCCTATCTTCGTAAAATCTCGTGTTTCCGAAGTGGACTCGACAGTGTGGCGAAAATGTTTCGATCACTTGCAGGAGTTCCCTCTGACTTCCTTCTGTGCAAGAAACCTTTAAACTCTGCAAATTCATCGAGAAATTGTGCTATTTGGAACGGTATGTAACTATAATAACTATAATCTTGCTATTCTTATTGCAGTTTTAGTCGTGTCTTGTTACTTTAAACACAGAATACCTAACAGAAGTGGAACTCTATATTATTTTTTCGTAAGTGTGATTCGTCATGATTCGTCACTTAGCAAGTGCATTTTTTTTAGGTAGTCACCCCCCTGCCAATACTAAAAATGGGATAATTTTAGACATTAGCAGGGGGGTGACTGCCTCAAAAAAATGCACTTGCTAAGTGACGAATCATGACAAATCACACTTACGAAAAAATAATATAGAGTTCCACTTCTGTTAGGTATTCTGTGCTTTAAAGATGTGTGGTTTGTTGATTCCGGTCTGGTCTGATTAATTTAGGATTTAAATGGACCTACTTTTTTACAGTCTTATAACTTTGCGAATACGCGGGCGAAAAACACAAAAATACCACCAAAATATAGTTTGAAAAAAGCACTATAACCTAACCTCTTCTGTTCAAGAATTAATCAAAGTTATAACCAACAGCGGGCGATTTTATAGCGATTGAAAAACCCACTATCCGGTGGATAGCGCTATTCAGATTTCATACAACCGTCCCCTGGCTTTTAGCTGTTGATAAACAAATACGAGTTGGTTGAAGAATCCTGATCAAATTTAAATATTTTCACCTCTGCGCTATGATAAAGAAAAGAACAAAGCAATTAATCACGGATTTGTCAAACTGTCTTTTGTTAAACGATGCTTAGAATAATTATTATGCATGGACGACAAACGTGCATCAGGATGTGTGTTGAAATTCAATCATTTTCTTGCCACGATTTTTCATCGACTTATATTTCCTTGTTTATTTTCTCAACGCTGTGAAAATCGATTCATTCAACAGCCAAATGCTTGTTCTGTCTTCATATCCGAAAGTTATTCTCGTTGATCAAGTAAGTTACGTACAATATCTCGCGAAAGTGAGGTTACTTTTTATACACCCGTATTGTAAAATATAACCAGTAATCATTTGAATGTAATATTTTATATCTCTGAGTGCATTATAAGCTGATGAAGAGACTTTAATATCTTGAGTAAGAAACCTTTTTTATGATCTTAAATAAAGAAATGAGTTTCATCGCTTTTGTATGAAAAGAATTGTTGAAACCGACAGAGAATATCTTCCATATTATCGCAATTCTACTGGAGGGTAATTATATTCAGAGCTGGATTAATTTATGCAGAGCATTAATTATATTTGTTTACATAAGTTTTTCGTCCAGATTTTTTACCAAACGCAATCGAACTTTTAAAGATGGCTTTTGGACCTATGTCGAATAACTCTACGAAATATCGTAATTTACGTATTATTGTATTACCTTTTCACCAAAACAATCCATAGATGCTTTGCGGTTCCAGACCTGACCCAATACCCTGCTCGATTTGAGAGAAGATTTTTAACTTTTTTCGCTTACGAAATTCATCATTGTAGTTAATGTTTAAACTTTTTTAAAATCTCAGGTTAAAATGGGGACAATTGAGATCATTGAAGGAGACTTCCAAGGATGGATATGGATAGCTCGGGGTATTTGGTGATGTAATTTTCTCGGCTTATCAAGGTAAGGAAAGTTATTTCGAATTCCAGGTGATACACGAGATCAATCTAATTCTAAATCTATCCCTAAATCACTTTATTATTAGGAATTAAATAGATTAATGGTTGGATTAGGATTAAGTTTAAGATTAGATTTAGGATTATAGTATAGCTCTGTTGTATTTATTGACGTGTAATTAATTATTAGTGTAAATATGTGTGTGAATATATTGTTGATGTGTTGATATAGTTGCATATTATGATGGTTCATTTCAACACTTCAATATTAATCGGTGAACATCAGCAATAACCATGTGCATCGAATAAATTCTTTAGTAAAAAGTCTGACTAACTTCTCATCAAATGTGATATAAAAACTGTTAGACCGGAAAAAATTCTCGAGGTTTCGACCTAAAGGTCTTTGTCAGGAGAGTTAGTATGACTTTACTAATTTTTAGAGGGTTGACAAGTCTTAATTTCGATTGGAAAACTTTCCACTTGAAATTACTGCTTTTTGAATACTTTTTATCAGAATTTAAACCGTATTGTTCAGCATCTGTGCTATTGTACATCGATGAAGTCAAATAACTTTTTTAATATTTCATGCCTGGACTTTCTCTGTGAGACTGATTTTGAAATCAACACAAATCAATTACTAGAACCAAGGCGAGATTCATAGCTTCAGTTTGGGCCACAGCATAAAATATTTAATCATGATGGACTTAATTTAAACCCTTGTTAAACAGTTGTGTTATTGTTTGTCGATTAGTCGAGTCCCTCTGGGAGACTAGCTCTGAAATGGACCCAAATCAATAATCACTCGAGCCAAAGCGAGATTCGTAGCTTCACTTTGCGACACAGCATGGAGCATTTAATTAAGACCCCAGCACAAAATTCAATTTAAAAGAACAACCACTTTAAATACTAAATATAGCGAGAGAGAGAGCTAGATGTTCTCTCAGCATGAGGCTGGCACTGATATTGTCGAAACAAACCAGATTTAAATCTTGTGGTAATGACTCGATCAATGAACCATTTAATAATACTAGGAAACTCATGTTGATACTTGGAATAACACAAAGAAATGAAAGTGTCTGAGAGACTGAAATGAACACAATTTTTGCACCTTGTTTAGTAAACTGTTAGTGTCAAAATAAACCACTTTTGAATCTTGTATGCGAGATAATAACTCAATTATCAATAATACCAATCTCAAGTTGATACTTGGAATAACAAAGAAATGCAAACATCTGAAAATGTTTAAAACTCTCACAGCATGATGCCAAATGGCAAATCGAAACTACAGTTTCGATAAATCTTGTTGCTGTCAAAACCGAAACTAGTTTTTACAAATCTTCTAAGAAGGATGATAACTCAATTTGATAGTACTTGAAATATCATATTGATTCTTGAAACATCAAATAAAAGCAAATAAAATGTTTTATCATCATGCAAGTTTCCCAGCGTGATGTTAAAAATAATATTAAACCTAATTGCGTAGGACTGCAAGAATGTTTTAAAAATTACTTGGAAACAAACATCGCCACAAATCGATGTGATATTTTAGACACAAAATATTGTTGACGACGTAAACACCAGTTGTAAGAAAAACGGGCAGGTTGTATGAAAGCCGGATAGCGCTATCCACCGGATAGTGGTTTTTTTAATCGATTCAAAATCGCCCGTTATTTGGCACAACTTTGATTAAATCTTAGTATTCGTAGGTCGAGGATCCTCTTTAATAATTGTTGCTTCCAAGCTGAAATTTTATCGCTTTTTAAGCATTTTTAGAACGGTTGAAAAAATCACTATACGGTGGATAGCGCTATCCAGCTTTCATACGACAGGGGCCAGCTTGTTACTCGGAGCTACTGAAGTCCGTACACGCGAGTCGCTGGGGTATGGAGTAGGGCGATTTTGACAACAATATGTGATAAATAAGGCTGTGCTTGAGGGATATTAGAGTTGGGCAATTTTTGCTGAGATCATATGTCTTCCTTTCCCCCTTCCTCCATGCAAAGTCTAATAAATTACATGGACCAACGAATTAAGTCAGTCCTACATACTGACTGATATTTCTCAAATGCAAATACCAGACTAGAACAAACTCGCTAAACCTCATTGAAACAAAATGTTTTCAGTCAGTGAACAGTGACTACTTGATATTGTTAAATATATTTTGCAAGCCTTCATCACTTGAGCACCTCGTCTTAGGTATAAAAGTATTTTTCCAACAGAAATACTGAAGGTTGCTATAAAGACATGTATGTTACAGACAGGCGAATGATAGCATAGGCAGCCCAGACTTTGACTTGCGCGTGTGATACTCGCGCGTGTGTCGCGCTTACGTTGTTTACTTCGTCTATATATTATGACAAGGTAGGAAAGAGTTTATCAAAATATGACAGATATACCTTCGTAAATGTATAATTATCAAAAAAAATACTTGAAGAAACACCACAAAAACTACAACCTAATAATTACCGATGATTAAACTACATTATCCTGCAGTTTCCGTGTTTTTAAACAACATCTAAAGCCTTGAAATCAGCGAAATAAAACAGGAATTCATACGGATTTTTGAGAAAACTATCCGAGGGTCACTCCGCCTAAGGAAACGTCATCTTTTTTGAGATATTAACTAAACGCTCATTGGCTTACCTGCAGGACCACCAATGAGAACCAATGAGCGTTTAGTTAATATCTCAAAAAAGATGACGTTTCCTTAGGCGGAGTGACCCTCGGATAGTTTTCTCAAAAATCCGTATGAATTCCTGTTTTATTTCGCTGATTTCAAGGCTTTAGATGTTGTTTAAAAACACGGAAACTGCAGGATAATGTAGTTTAATCATCGGTAATTATTAGGTTGTAGTTTTTGTGGCGTTTCTTCAAGTATTTTTTTAGATAATTATACATTTACGAAGGTATATCTGTCATATTTTGATAAACTCTTTCCTACCTTGTCATAATATATAGACGAAGTAAACAACGTAAGCGCGACACACGCGCGAGTATCACACGCGCAAGTCAAAGTCTGGGCTGCCTATGATGATAGTCGAAGATTAAAGACCAAAGGTTTTGCAATGTTAAACAGCGTAATTAATAATTTCACATTGAAAAACTTCATTGCTAGACACACATTTTCAGAATACTCGAGAATGATTCAATCGTGGTGGAAAATTATACAATTTGTTAAATAAATATAATATTAATTGAGTTTAGTGATAAAAATTAATTGAATTTCAACAGTTTTTAAAACATAGGCATAAACTTATGCATGACAATACCAACTTCCGATGGTAATCCCGGTGGTTGTTGGCTTGAGTTTTGAGACTGTAACTAGAGCATTATAAACTTGCTATCATTGTCTGTACTTGGCGATCCGATAATTCTTTCAGATCTTCCAAAATGTTGTTTCGTCACCTAAAACATATCCTGAATTGCAAATTATAAACGTTAATTGTGCTTGAATATCTTAGTGTCAATTTATTGGTGCCATATTTTCTCACCTCTGTTTCATTACGGATTAAATCTAAACGACTGGTTCAAATATCCCTATATAAATGATGATATCAATTAGATGCAGGCGAAATAAAAACCTGCATTGGAAATAAAAACTTATTTGCACTGGTAATTAACAAATAAAAATACAGTGTGGTTTCTTATATCTAGTTTTTCAAGCGACCTAGGAAAGAGTTATTTATTGACTGCGCATACTCGGCAAGCGTATTAACACTGTTCCAAGTTACAATTTTCTGACTACAACTGTGTTGCTTTGATCGAAACCTTAAACCGAAGATTTTGAAAAGACCTGTGTCAGAGACTGAAGCGATTCTGCTTATTCCTTGAGACAATAGGTTCAATTAATACATACCGAATCTAGAGTTGTAATGTTATAAACTTTTAAAGCGACTACAATACGCAAAAAGAAACTTAATATTACCTCAATTCTAGTAACTCTCGTATCCATTGACGTGCGAAATTCTTCATAGTTATGCATAAAGTCATCCACTTGCTGCATTTCGGCTCCACCAAGTTGACAGTAAATCTGGTGAGTGGCCATTTCTCTTGCAATAAATTGCAAGCCACAGGTCTCACACGTAACATCACGATATTCACAACCATTCTCGTGATTTTCTAGATTTCCAAGCTGAACCCCTTCGCGACACCCTCGATTGTGATAAACACAACGGATTATCAGCTCCGACAAATAGTTCCTTAGAAGCCTTTGGGGACGTTGCAAAGTTTCTGGAGTAAGGAGTTGTAGACACACTGGGCACGTTGGTGAATTAGCAAGGTGTGGTAATATACAATCAAAGCAAAAATGATGATCTCCTGCCTCGCATAATTTTGCATTTCTTAACACATCGAGGCAAATACTGCAGCGGAAATCTTCATCAACAGGATGAACGAAGCGGTCTAGATCATATCCACCAGCCATATCATATCCACCAGGTTATAGAATAATCTAAAACTTTAAATGCCAGTTCATTAAAAACATTAAAATCTCTCATCCTACTTAATAATCAATACTTTACAGCAAAGTTTTATATATAAATTAAGATAAAATATCAAAATCTTTGTAACTATCAAACCTACAGAGATTGATGGAGAATTCTTGTGTTTTAAAAGAACACAAGATTTAGACCATCAACCTTCAGAGATCTAGTTCACTGCCCTAGCTACCTGTTGGCCAATCAAACATTCAGAGATTGATGGAAAGTTTTTAATTTCTTAATTTTCTTTTATAAGTACAAAAGATTTAAACGTTCAACCTTCAGAAATTTATTCTGCCGCTCTACTTGTTGAACTGTTATACCAACAGACGCGATGCAATCTATAGTCAACCGCTGTACGAGATCGCGTTTACACCTCACTCGAATTTAGACGCAACATCATATTTTGCAGTTTAAAAATGCTCTAAATGCATGAAATTATGTTTTTGCGATAAAATCAAACGAACACTGTGAAAATATCAACGAGAGTGCGAGAATCGGAAATCTGGTAAAGTGTAAATGTCAGGCAACCAGTGGAACTATGAAACCTGCAGTGATTGGTAGCGAGGCTGATATTGACACTGACAGACCATGCAAATTAAACCACACAAAGATAATGAAATGAAACTTACCAAAGCTGATGAATTATGACAGATTTTCGCTTTGATATTCAGCAACAAGCTGGTGTTATCGTCGTGTCGATTTTGTGTTAAAGGTAACGCATTAATTTAATATGTCGTAATAATGTTTTTTTTTATGTTCAAGACATCGCGTGATTTAATGTCAGACTTTAAAGATCTTTGTAAAAGCCTAACTGCTTGTTGTGCTTGAACAAACAACATTCCTACCTTAAAAAATTTTTACCTGAGACATTTCATTTATTGCTGTTCCAAGTATCAACATGAGATTCTCAGTAATATTTAATAGTTCATTGATTTAGTCGTTATTTCACACATGAGGTCTGAACTGGGCTGAGGTTCGACGATACGATTTGAAGGAAGCATCATGCTGAGAGAATTTACTTTCATTTTGAGATGACGCATCTGTATTTGCATTTGTATTTGCTACGAATGGATGTTGTGCTTTTGTTTCGAGTGCTACGCGGCTGGATCATTGTAATTCAAAATTTTGATTTACTAATAATCCTTCGGCATAGTTAGTATTGTCAAAATCGAAGCCAACTTTGACAAATCTGGTGTAATTGTAAAACACAACTTAATATATCAATAAAATCGAAATGGATAAAATAATTTTCACAGCTTGATAGAAAGAATGTTATTATCTAACTAACAGGTTATAAATAAAGACTTCTTATACAAACGTTCATAGCCTAATGCCTTTAAGGCCATTTAACACAATAAATATTACGCCATATCAAGGTGTTGTCTTAAACACAAAATATTGTTGACGTCGTTAACACCAATCTGTTGCAGAATGTCAGTGAAATGAAGTGAAAATTTATTTAGTCATCAGTAATTCATCAACTTTGGTAAGTCTAATTTGATTATCTTTGTGTCGTTTAAGTTGCATGGTCTGTCGCTGTCAATATCAGCCACGTCGTCACTATGATTAGATACCTTTAGCTTGTCAAACGCCAAACTGCTAACAAACTTTGTGTTTTAACTCCACTATCTTAAAGTGCGCAACAATCTCGCTAAATCACAAATATTCTGCCTAAAACTCGCGATGTTCAGAAGTAATGTAAGAAAGCAATACGCTATTAATGATGCATTTAACAAAGCAAGCAGTAAATTCAGCTTAATTTAAGCAGTGGAGTTAAAACACAAAGTTTTTTAGGGGGTTTGCGTTTACCGCGTATAAACGTCACTCTAACTAAAGGTCTCTATTTAATGTACCGGCTTCACAGCAGAATTGGGTGCTTACCAGATCGAAACTTGTTATTTGATTTGATTAATTTAACTTAAATAGCCTTATTTTCTACACTTTCAAACTGAAATCAAACTATATTTGGTTTGATTAGTTTTTATTTCAATCGTTAAACGTTTTAATGTTTTCAATTCATGAAATCACCCACCACTAATTTCTGTAGGTTTAAGAGTTCAACAGGTAGAGCATTTTACTAGATTTCTGAAGGTTGACAGTAAAAATGTTGTGTCAGTTTTGTAAGATAAGAGCTCGCCATAAATACCTGCAGTTTGATAGTGTAACAGATAAAACAGTGGTCTATAAACCTTGGAAGATTGATATATACTTTAATCTTGATCATGAACCAAAATACAAAAATAGCTAATCCAAAACCTATTTTAAATATTTGCTCTAAAATGATATAATATTTGACGCAACCACGATTTTTTAATGACTTTTGAAAGCTTGGTGATATGAACATGGGAGGGTTATATAGGCAAAAGTACCACATACTTACAAGTTTGACATCTAAGATCGACTGGTATGTAATAACTTTTAACTTTCAATTTCAATGTTTCAGGTGCATTAAAGATATCGCTCAGGAATTGGGCGTCACGATCCAAACATTTGAACCGGTAGCTTCAAGGGTATTGTGCTGTATTTGCCTATGTTTCATGATAGATGTCTACGGTAATAACACGAGATTTCGCATCAAAAGATAGAAGATTTAGATAGTGATTTCGTCGCTATGGAAATTGTTGGTGAGTTTGTTTATTTTTAAGCGATATCGTCTGTAAGATTAGCAACATTTAGCGAACTGCGCGTGTTATTAGCCTATGAAATTTTTGTCCAGCGAGGTAACGAGTGTGGTCTCAATTCGAAACTCAAAACAATCCTCTGAAATATATCGTGTTAAAGGGCGGGCATAAATGCAAACCTATATATTAAAAGCGAAAATTAATGGTCGTGTAGCTGTTTCAATGCGTGACAGTGACAGACTATCAGCTTCACGTCAAAGAGTCGCAAAACATTTGGGGAAATGTTATAATTTATAACACTCTCCAAATCAAATACTTAATTATCATCAATGGATACCTAAGCAATACACTGTATTTGTTTCGAAAGTTTTCTTAGGAATATGAAATGTTAAATTACAATAAACTATTCACTATTTTCACCAAATCCCATGATGCTTTGCGCGCGCATTCCTTGGGGTACTAAATTCGGCCACTATTTTAGTACCCCAAGGAATGCGCGCGCACAGAATCATGGAATTAAGTGAAAATAGTGAAAAATAGCGTTAGAGCCAGAGGAACGACATTCGTAGTAGCTAAACATTTCAAATGCTGATGTGTCGAAATGACATCCTGCAGTTTAAATTGCTGCATTTTCTCGCAGCATGACGCTCGTGAATTAAATCGTATTGTTAAAACAAACCACCTTTAACAAACCTTGCGTGCGTACAAATAAAAAATAACACAATAATTATATGATTATAAATACTGATAATCTTAATTATTCTTGGAATGCCAATGAAATGCAAATAGTGATGATGCAAAGACTCAGGTGTGTATATTAAATGTATATATGTGATGTTGCTACTCTGAGTCACCAACCGGGCAAGCTGAAAAATTAGCTTCACCACGGTGGTCAAGCTAATTTTTCAGCTTGCCCGGTTGGTGACTCAGAGTAGCAACGTCACATATATACATTTAAAATGCAAATGTTTCATAGATAAAAGCAATGTGTTTGTACACTTGTGTTTATAATCTTGGAACAAAATGAGACGGTGCTTGACCGTTCATATACCAAGATCATTAAGGTGTCGTGACTCCTGTGTGCTTATAGTAAAGTGGACAAATTCCTTGTGTTTAACGAATATTTGTTTTAAAAATACAATGTCGTGTTGAATATTTAATTTACTTTATGAATAAAGAAATAATAATGACTTTGACTTTGAATTAATTATTGTTTAGAAAAAGAAAAGTGCGAAATGGAGCGAGGTTATGATCCAAGCCGCTTCATTTTTCAAGTTAAACGAGATTTACTTTGCTGCATTTGCCACCGTGTGTTGAAAGAGCCACGATTATGCGAGGCGGAAGAACATTGCTTTTGTCTGAGTTGCATAACACAATATCTTGTTAAAGTGTCTCAAACATGCCCAGGATGTCGGGCACCCCTCACATTGGAAACTTTGAAACTTTCCCAAAGGTTCTTAAAGAAGGTTTTGTCAGAACTAAGAATCAGGTGTGATTACAACGATCGAGGGTGTCCAGAGCAAGTTAAGCTTCGAAATCTTGAAGATCACGTGACTGATTGCAAGTACCGCCCAACACTGGATGCCGAACAGTATAACTCGCAAGTGAGTGAGAAAGACCAGCAGAATTTCTGTCAGATGAAAGCTGAATTTTCTTTTAGCTAAGCGAAAAGAGCTTTACCATTTTATTCCAGCGTGAATACCATCAATAATTCATAAGTCCTGAAAAACTAGTGTTTGAAGAAGTCTCTGATTTATCTAATATTCAATTCAGGATGAAACGAGAGGCGAGGTGACAGAACTTAAAAGACGACATGATGATATTTACGACCAAGTAAAGAAAATGAAGGTAATACCATCATAATAATTGTGTTATAACATTTCTCGCTATGAAAGTGTTTCGCCGGGTTATAAACGCTGAAAGTACCTGCAAGACTAAGAGGTAGGAACCCCCTTAAAAGGAAACTAATAATAGGCAAACTTGAATGGTTGATCTGATAGACGTACCGCCATTCGATTGGTTCATAGCTTTTCAAAAGTTAGTCGTTGAGGAAATTGAATATTAACCTCGCTAGTATTTATAATCATGTTGCAACTACTTCCTCGGTTTCTGATTAGATTGATACCAAGTTTTTAAAAGCGCGAAGGCTTTATCTGAAGTAGCATTTTATACCACATTGGCTGAATAAACAAGCCAAACACCTTCACTAGCGCCCTCGAGAAAACAAGAAAAATAGAAAGCCTAAACAAGTAGAACAATAAAATCTGATAAGGTCCATATCATAAGGTGCCTAAGGCCCCAGTTTCAACTATCACTTCATAGATTATACTGTATCATGTCACCTTGGAGAAAATTTTGTACACATCAGTTGGATCGTGTTACCTCTGATATTTTAACCATCATATTGTAATTTAGACAAATGTCAAGGAACTGACACCGTCTCAAGCTGAGCTGAATATTCAGCCCTATATTCAGCCCCTTCAAATGGCAAGAAAACAAGATCAAATGAAAGTGGGACAAGATGAGACGAAGGTTAATTTTTAACTGATATAGTCAAAGCGATATGTACGAAAGACAGCGATTCCCTCTCTTAGGAATTAGTATAAGATGATGTTTCTTGTAAAAAATCAGCTTACAATGACGTTTCTTCTATATTCTTGCTACATAAAAATTAATCTACCATATTAAGCAGTTTTACCTTAATTTGAGATAATCAGCATATTCTGCATCCAGACTCATCTCCACCTGAACTTGTTTCCATCGCCCCGTTTCCGAGGTAATTCATGTTAAATGAGTTTAATGAACGCGAGGGAGGTTGTTATTTTAGAAAGCTCTTGACGAGATGAAACAAACCCAATCAGGAATTAACGAGAAAGTAGTGAAAATGGAGGTAAGAAAATATTTGTGATAATATTTCATAATTGCTGGTCATTGATTATCATATAAGCTGTCACGTGACGAAATGCACCCTCTCAATAATTATATCATTTGCCTGGACGGCCTCGTTTAAAAGTAAACGTGCAATGCGCGTTGGATCCCTCGCGAAATGATGTAACTATTAAACTGATGTGTTGAAATATATATTTTTAACGCTTAATTAAGAAGACCCATCGGAACGAAATAAAGTTTGGATTTTGGGAACTGCATTTATGAAAAAATGCGTCGTTGTAACTTGCAGTAGATTTCCCTCCCCTCCCATTGAATTTAGTTTAACACTTACCCTATTGCAAAATATGGTTCATCTTACATCAATTTAAAAGGTTTTCTATTGTCATTGGATTCAGCCCCCTTATTGTTAATCTTCACGCACAAACTTGCACTGCGTAAAAAACCGCGGCATGTGAACCCCTAAGCCCTATCTGTTCCGACGAGCCTGTTTAGATAAAGTTGATGAAAGCGCTCAGATGATCCTCGTTTTTAAAGAAACCGTCGGAAAAATAGTTGGTCGGTTGATTTTACTGCAATACCACAAGCTTGGCAGTGATTTCCTGTGAAAACTTTGCAACGCTAACTGCAACACTCTTAGAAACGTCGTAAAATACAATTCTAAGCTTAAAAAATGCATCGTTTATTCACCACACCATGCCACAGATCCATTTACTCTTTAGCCAACCTCGTCAGTAATTCGTAAAATTTGCATCCTCAGTGGTCACTCTATGTGTTATTACAGGATTTCCGCTGAGTTTAAAAGCACTAATGAATAAGTAATGATGCTACAATCCTGGAAAAAAATTCGTAGACTTTCCTAATTTTGATATTTCCCCCCCCCCCCCTTCCCCCCATTACAATGTTGAACTAGTGTTGTATCTCTTCCAAATTGTCATTAAACCGAACAACATTGTAATTGGGGGAGGGGGGGGGGATTTATGGCAACTTGCCTTTTGGTTGAGAGAATTGGTACATTTGCTGTACATAACTGGAAATCTGGTTAGACTTCGAAAAAAGTCTCCCAATATTTTTTCCAAGATTGTACACCGTAACTTTTCATTTCCAATTTAGGTTAGTTTTGAGGTTATAAAGCAGCAAATGGAAAGACTTGAAGGATTATTGGGTCATCTATTCCAAGAAAATATTGTCAACAGAAATGGTGCTCAAGCTACGGATCCCAGAATTCCGACTAACAACCAAGACGTTATTATTCTTGGTGGTTGGTATGCCTTTAGGAGCACATCCCCATTGAATACTGTTGAAAAATATAATATTGTTGAGAAGAGGTCGACTATGCTGCCACCATTGAATCATCCTCGAGCAGGATCAGCATCGTGTGTTTACAACAATGACATCCTGGTCGTTGGTGGTTACGATGGTAAAGACCTAACTGGCACGATCGAAGTTTTGAAGATGAACCAACATCCTTTGCGATGGACAATGTTTGATGGTAAACTGCCTGTCAAATTATCTGCTCATGACGTCATAGTTTATCAAGGAAAATTATATATAATAGGAGGAGATGAGGGGGATGAAAGAAAAACATCGAATGCTATTTATGAGATTGCTCTTACCCCACCTTATACTGCCAAGCTACTGACGAGAATGCCTGAGCCAAGAACATTTCACAAAGCAGAACTTGTTAATGGAAAACTATTTATCTTGGGCGGAACAACAACTGGCCTTATTAAAGATGCTCTTGACAGCGTTGTTTTTTATGATTTGATTAAGAATGAGTTCAAGCCATGTCCATCGTTACCTCAGCCTGTTTGTGACATGTCCACAGTCACTTGGGGCGATAAGATCATTGTTCTTGGTGGTTGGGATAAGAATAGTCACGCATTAAATGACGTCATCATGTATGACACTGAGACGGGGCAAATTGAGCCACTGCCCTCTATGATTTACAAAAGGAGCGGCAGCTCAGTTGTCATCATGAATGACGTCATTGTTGTGTTTGGTGGATGCAATAATGAGCAGGGATATCTCAACTCAGTGGAATTTTTCACCATTGGTGGAGATGGCTGGAAAGAACTGCCAGGAATGATAGAGAGAAGATGGCGTGCAACTGCTGTTGTAAAACCTCACATCTGAAAAGTTTTCTCAATCATTGTTTCGGCGCTTTCTTGGTATATGAGCAACCAGAAGTATGTCCCTAATCATAAACCTGAATTTATCAAGTTCACGTCACGTTACTGTTGTCATCTAAATAGGTATAGAGTCAACATATAGTCAATATTTTACTATGACCTTTATATTGTGTTCTTATATATGTTCTTATAAACTTCTTATATGTTAATAACTGCTGTTGTCATCTATAATATTTCTATATTTCTATATACTGTGAAGTCTGGTGAGGTTTAACCAATATTATTAGTGTGTAAATATATAACATAAGATGAATAGATATAGATATATAATGTTTTGTTCATATAGTCAATATTTTACCCTAACCAATGTTGATAACTGCTGTTGTCATCTATAATATTTCTATATTCTTATACTGTGGCGTCTGGTGAGGTTTAACCAATATTAGTAGTGTGTGAATAGGTTTAATTTGACATTTTAATCTTAACCAATGAACATTAGCAATAAGCAGGACATTAGATTCATTTGTGAAATAAGTTTGATGATAAATATTGATCAATAAAAGATAGATTATCCATGTTTTAATTGCGATCAATACGATTCGTTTCTGACCTTAGACCAGACCATATGCAGGACACTGAGGGTTAGATGTTTTAGGAGGGGACAGGGAGGGATAAAGAGCAGTATTATGAAAATAATGAAAACCTTTCGGTTCACGGGCCAAAAGCTTAGGAAAACTTTGGTGTAAGTTCCTATTGTGTGAAACAAAATTGAAATGTTATTTTTGCAGAAAACTACCCATGGAAGGTGAGTATAAAGAATGTGAAATTGATCGCAGTTATCAAGTTGCAAATACATCTTGTTGATTAACGATTTTTCTGCGTTAAATACAGGTGAAAATGAAAATATTTGTTCAATTTGTTCATTGTTGGTTGCTTTCTTTGGAATGGTCGGACCGCGTTGGTACTTTTCAAGCTAAAATTTCGAAAGGCTTAGTTTAGAGATAGTATTGGAAGCCGCCGAACGAGCTGGAAATGTTGTTCATACGACATTTTATCGTCGTAAAGCAAGTTCAAACTGGGCTGTGAAGTTGATCAAATGCTTATTGATGTGGGTGCGATTTGGAGGTTAATCTTGGCCAAAGCTTCATGTGGTCCCCTTTACAACAAAGTTATTGCTGGGTAATTCTCCCCTTCAATGTTCTCAGTTCTCACCTTTACAAAGCCAGGTATTGGAAATTTCATACGAATTTGTAATCTACAAGGGTTCTTCCTAAAAAGCTCGTTTCATATATTCATAGTCTGCCCGATCAATTCCCCCCCCCGCGAGTATTAAAAATGGTACTGTTGGCAGGGGGTGGTTTCTTCCCATATACATCCATCACTCAGCAAGTACCGTTAATGGAAGCAATCACCCCCCTCTCAACAATAAAAATAGGGCTGTTGGCAGGGGGGTGATTGCCTCCATTTACGGTACTTGCTGAGTGACGGAATCCACTTACGCAAAAAACAATAGAGTTGTTCTTCTGATAGTTGGTATTCTGTGCACACTGATTGTAGTGAAAAGAGTGCACAAGAGCCGAATTTTATAATGAATTTTTCGTAGTTTCCCCACCCCGTATTTATACTAACAGACAAATGATTCGTCAAGACGAACTGGCAATTGAAATTCGTTTAAATAGACAAACTATGCAGATAATTCATGTTGATGGATGCATGATCCGTCTGTTCGCCCGTGTTTATACACAGACGAACAACACAGACGAACTGGAAGACGAACTATCTTTCGCCTGCCCAAGTTCGTCCAGACGGATGATAGAATATATTTTATATTCCACAAACCAGGGGCGGTTGTTCGAAAGGCGTTTAGCTTAAACGGTGGATAAGCCAAAGTTTAAAAATAGTCTCATAGATCTTGTGAATGACTGTACCTGCATCTTATGCATTTAATATGTACTTTCATTGACAATGAACGTTCTAACGGATCCTAAGGCAGTAAGGCTCACATCAGTACAATAGCACACCAGCTCTAACACTATATTTTGCCCGCTGCCGATCGGTAGGGATGGAGACGGTATCCGAGCGAAACGATCGGGCTAGGGGTGAAACGGTGTTTCTTTTGAGTTTGCTGTTTTCGGCGCAGATAATAACTCAACGAACCATGCTATTTTAACGGTACCTCCTCCATCCCGTGATCAACTGTCACACGTGAGCCACTGAAGTGAAACCGTGGAATAAACGATACGAACATCAAAGTACACACACACACAAAAAAAAAAGAAAAATACCTGTAAATGTGGCGATCATTAATGAATTTACCTTTACCCCAAACACCAGTTCAACGACCAAAACGGGTGTGAAAAGAACTGTGCTTAATCCTGCAAAACAAACTAACAAAAAAAAACAAACCCAGCGAGATTAATAAGACGCTTCTCCCGTAGAGTTCACAACATCGCGTGAAGTCATTTGGGAAAAGGGAGGGATGGGTCACGCAAGCAACTAACAAATAGATCAGGCAAACTGGGCTCATATTTATACTCACTGGAGGGGGCAAGTAACCGACCGGACCAGCGTCCTAAGACCCGAGACACTACGACACGAAGACCCGTATAACATTAACTTCCTTTATTATTTAATAATAAATACATTTAAACTATTTACATTGAAATATTTCCGCTCAGTTGTTCAATAAATATAGATAATCTAGTTTTCCATTTTTAATCTATCCACCGTTTAAGCTAAACTCCTTTCGAACAACCGGCCCCAGACGGTCTGTAGAATATAAATCAGGCCGTTTTAAATTAATCAAACACAAATCTTTCGCCAGTATAGTACAGGGTGACTGGGTGAGTAAAAAAAACTGACACCTTTGAAATTCAAATTAGCCGCGAACTTATGGCTGGAATTTGACAATTCCCATACTAATTCAACGTTCTTTTTTATTACAGAGCTTAATTAAAATGCATTTTAACTCCCAAAGGGAACAAACTTTATGTTCAAGGTTAATTAATGGTTCACCTATTTGATATGCTTCGTATACCCATGAGATATTTTAGGCAACTTCTGTCACATTACAGCCGATTACAGACACATTGCAGCTAATTTGAATTTCAAAGGTGTCAGGTTTTTTTTACTCACCCTGTACAGAGTGGAAAATGCATAATTAGATATTCGCAATCTTCTAGTCCAGGCGTTTTAACGTTGTCTGTAAAGTATGAATTCGTTTCAACATTAATTTCAACAATATCATAGTTGAACTGATTTACATCGAAGAATCTCTTGTCCTTTTGTCAGGCAATGATTCTCAATTGATGTGGGGAAAGCTGGCTTGTTGCCGAAGACAACATGGAAAATTTACGGCGATTATATTAAAGATTTGCAAACGTGAATGGGCTTCGACAAAACAGCGGTGTGGGACTGTCCTTTGTGATGAACACGATTCCGAATAGATTGTCGTCTTAACAGTGCTTCTATAGCAGAAATTCTGGTGGCTAGCATCGCTTGTTGTCAATATTGGCTCTGTTTGTGAAATAGCGAAGTAAATGGCGAACATTATCGGGTTGTTTGTTGGGTTAAATCATTTCTCACAAACAAAGGATTGGATTAATATTCTCGATGAACGGGAAAGTTGGTATGTACAAATTTAAATATCATTTTAACTGTTTACAATATGCAATTTCTTGCAAATTTATCGGGTAGTTTGGAACAACAATATTTGTGTAATTCGGCCTAAATTCTGGACGTGCATCACGATTTCAACGATTTTCGACTTTTGGTTTGTCACTTTTCAGGGTGATTTTTTGAGAACACGTACCATTGAACAGCGGTTTCATGCTATGAAAATGCGTCATACTTAATATTCGCACTTACGTAACTTATATGCGATCTCGGGAGGGAATTTTCATCAGCATAACCGCGATAAAGTATTCTATAGTTTGTCATTATATAATATAAACAAGTTTAAGTTTTTTGACACCCAATATTGCCATTACTTACATGAAGACTACCCAAGAGGTGACTGGGGGAAGATAAAGGTACAATTTGTAATTCTGGTTCACAACAGTACTTCTGGTAATAAATATTGAAGTTTGACTTCGAGGCCTTGCTGCATGGGACTGGGTCAAACGTCGCCATTTCTCATGCGCAGGCGCAGAACATAAAGGCAGTTCTTGAACTGTCACGGAACCCTGACATTTTTTACCAGTTGCGATCCGATGCATCGACTAATTTAAGTGTTTACCAGAATTTTTGTCGGAGTTTCACTTCTCATGGATGTTTTATAGTCTGTTTCCTTGCAATGTATATGGGCGGCAAATCAACCAAGTCAACGTAGTTCTGCTTTCTCAGTGTGCTTTCAATAACACTTTACATTCTATACGTCAGAATGATGGAAAATAAGGCCAATTTCAGACGTCAAACACTTCATATGCCGAATCGAATTCAAATGACTTTGATTCAATATACATTAGGTTCGCCATATGAAAAGTTTGACGTCTGAAACAGGCCTAAGTTATTGAATCTTTTGAAGTGTAGTGAAGTTATCTTGTTATTCTCGTATTTAAGTTAACGAATATTTTTAAAAAACGAGGCGTTAATAACAAACGGCAGTTTCCAATTTTTCAATTCGCTTCAATTGGTAAACATACTTCGTGATGATTTGAACTTTGACATTTCTGTGAATCGCATCCTGTTTCTGCGAAAAAGTTCTAAGAGGCTACAGGAAGGAATGATAACATTCATACCAATATCTTACTCGTGAACGGAAGCAAAACAGCTATTAAAGGTATGTAACAAATTTATTCTATAGAATAACGAATAAATGTATTATTGTAGAGCTATCAACCGTGCATGTATTGATGTCAAATAATGAAATATATAGCAGCATTTTTATCGATTTACTTAAATATTGTTAATACCACTTCCGCACTTGACTGTCTCGTTCAAATCTGTCAGACAGTCTAGTTTAAATTTAACTAGAAACTGTGTCGATTTCCCCAAACAATACAATGTATACATAGAACACTTTTCGGCAAATCTTTGGTCGTAATTTTAGAACGTTTGTCAGGCATATGGAATAACTCCGAATAAGTCATGAAATTCAATATATCTTTCGTAAATGTCTGTTTATTCCGTTTCGAGGTCGTATTGAGCTTAATCTTAACTTTGATCAATTAATTTTGCGTTAAATTTAGGTTAAATTAAGTTCGGTGGTTTACAAATTTTCATGCCCTGGGTGCTCCAAAGCATACATGTATAGGAAAGACAGACAGATGCCTCTATACGATGCAGACTCAACGAACATGCAACAACAGACAAACAATCAGAAATTTATAAACATATCAACACTTGTGAACAATTTAACCTCCTGACAAATCTATTACAACTTAACATAGACGAACCCAGCACTGAACAATTTCATTTGACACTCTTCTTATTGAGCAACTGTCATATCATAGTAGGGCTAGGCATTGGTCAAATCTACTGTTCAAAGAAGCACTCGCCATCCGTTAAAACCCGGAGCTTAATCATGGCACAAAGGCATCCAAAGAACTATCGGTTTCCTCTTGAACAATATCAAATAACATATAGTATATACAACGCATGCACATGTAAATTAATCATTCCTGATGATGACTAAATGAAGTCGAAACGTTGAATGAAAATGCTTACTTCATTCGGAGTTACTATTGTTGTGTATTTTAGGTTGAAATGGGAGCTTTTGTTCAAAGACTACTCCTTGTCTGTGTGTTCGTCGCAGTTCGAGGTTCCATGGTTGACGTCGAGGAGCTTGACTTTCGAAGAGCTTTTAAAATAGTTGAGAATGCGGCGAAACAACCAGGAAATATCGATTACAACACATTTTGCAGTAAAAGAGGTCGTGGTACCTTTAAATTTTCCTGTCGAATGAAAGAAATGCCTGATATTGGTTTGCTGGTCTGTCTTGAAGCTGATTTTTGCGAATATATTATTCAAAGAGAGTTGCTCACTTTGAGTATCCTTACACAAGAAGGTCTCAAAGTCCTGCGTTTTTATCCGAAGATTATCAGTGGGTAAGTTTAAGTCGATTTAATAATCCCCTTATCGTTGTATTGTGTTTTGGGATTCTTGCTTCGTATTTTGACCTAGATAGCCCAAAGGTATTTGTGTTTTAATCTAAAGCGTCCATCCAGTTTAATATCGCGGTCTGTGACGTGTGGTTGGGTAATGCATCCAGTCTATTGTTAGATCAGCCCCAAGACACTGATCTAGCAATACACGTGCACTGGATGCATCACGCAACCATAGAAAAATCGAAGCCAGACTCAATGAAATTTAACAAATTTCCTTGTTCAAGTGATGCATTAATTCTTTTCAATTGTCTCATTGAAAGTTCATTCTTTCATAAGTATACATAATCGCTCTCTCCAGTTTATTATCAGATCAGTGGTCTGCCGATTTTGCCGTTCTGCGCATTGGTTCTGCGCACAACAGTGTAAAATTTTGTTCACATTCCAAACAATGAATGTTTGGAATTCTTATTAATATTAACTCTACTTCGTATATACTTTGAGCGTATTTTCCTTGAGATAATCATAAAGTACGTCGTGACATTATTCAATTAATTCATTAAATAACCTTACAGCAATTCTATAATTGCCAGTGAACTCTAATAATTAGTGAGTTTAGGAAATACAACGGCAACTGCAACCGCAACGGCAAAATATATTCACCTAATATTGTGGTATTCAAAGAAAATACGAGTTAGTGTCGACTTGATTTTTCTCTTCAAGTTTCCTCTTTCTCTGAAACAGTTATTAATTATTATAAATATGGTCGATCAGCGAAATTGCTTCTAAGACTCCAAACAACATCGAACTGTTGCAGCGTTGTCATGCACCGTGAAATTGGTGTAAGTCACGTTGCTGTTTCAGCAACTACGGCAGTGGGCAACGTTAAAGGCCACGTAATTTACATTCTCTTTTATCTTAAAGGATCAATGCCATTGATGATAAGGACGTTGCGGTTACCGTTCACGTTGTATTTCCTAAACTCACTAATAGCTGCAACGATACCTTCTCGTTGTTTTTGTGAAGCACAACTTCGAGGGACTTTACCTCCTCAAATTTTGCCTTCATTCGCGAGAAAATTTGCGGAACTTTACCTCAAACACGCGTGTCACTATTAAAGCCTTTGTTTTCAATCGGACTTGACTTCCACTTTACGAAATCTCTCTTTTTTCAAACCGCTAGGCTCAGGTGCGGTAAAAAAGGAAGCAAGAACGTTAGCTGTATGGGTTTTCTGGAAGAATGGATGTCACACGAGAAAGCGAAAGAAAAGTCGCTGAGAAAGGTAATTTTGGCGGAAAAGACCCAAGATTTGGTGACGTGGTTAATGAATTATCAGAAAAATTGTTCAGCACGTTTTTTGACCGCCTGGCATCTTGAAAAAATTCGCCAATTCACGGACCCAAAAACGGGTGTTTACTCAAGAATCTGTGATCTTCAGGGGTATTTTATGAAAGATGGCGGGTTCACAATTGCGGATCCTGACGATATAATAAAGAATCAACCTTTGAATTATACGTGTTATAGTGACGAGTACCCTACCACTCTGATGGTCATTAAAAGTCTGAAGAAAATCGTCGACGACCTGGTGTAAATTAGGACGTGTAGGAGTAGATATGGACAGTAATTGACATGTCTTAATATAATATCCTATCCTTGCTATCGCTTAAATGATTAAAAATCGCAGTGAAATGTAACTGATTTAGTTTAGAAATGAAAGGCCAGTAAAGGGCAAAGCAAGTTATGATTAAAATCAACCTAAATATATTTTGCTTTTACAGTCAAACCGGATGTTGTCTTGCGCACGAAATTGCAATATTGCTAGGCAGTGTTGCAATATTGATTGGCAGATTGCGCCATTGCACAGATTGTGGTATAAATCATTGACTGATCATGAGAATGGTACAGTTTTTGGTACAGTACATTAAAATCGAAGTAGATCGATTAAATAAATTTCGCAAACTATGACTAACATTGTTGTTTGAAAAGGGTCTGTTATGTTTTTCAAAATCTGAGAACACGATGTTCGAAAAGTTCCATTTGCTTTCTGTTGAAATAAGTTTGACGCCTTTAGCGAGTGTGAATATAATGTTGCTATCGTAAATCAGTTTCTACATAGAAAACACCATGTTACCAGCGCTCAATCTTGCAAAACGTAAGCAGCGCTTAATCTCAAAACGTAATTATAAGTCTCAAAAGAAGACAGCCATTTTGCGGTTTATTTATAATATTTTTCCCACTTTATGGTCAACGCACCTCGCAAACCAAAAGCGTATGCGTTTCTGTGAAGTATTAATTTCAGGCATATGACGGAAATGAGAAACAACGTGTCCTATAAAAATTGACTTATATAAATCAGCTCTATGGTACACGTTCGTACCTAACCTGAAGTGCTGAATCGTTTAAACCGAATTTCAATCGTTCTTTATCAATTGATGTTTGCAAGAACGACATTTTAAGAATGACAAATTGTTTACTCAAGGAAGGACAAGATCACATAATCATTGCGTGGTTGTCGATAATCGAGGTAAGGTCTTTTGAATTTTGTACGTGTAAGAAATATACAATTCACTTCAATTTCACTTCTAAGCATTCATTCGTGGAAGGAATTATCATTGAGATACACTACATTGTGTTGAAATCTGGGAGGGATTCACAAAACACTATGCCCATATGAATGACAGATAAACAAACCTAAGAGTTTCGACTTTGCTTTGTTTTGGAAATCTTTGAAACTCATTCAGTTTGCCAATTTCTTGTTTTGATAGCTATATATAGTTCAAGATGAGACCATTTCTTCGGGAATTAGTGTTCACGACTTTGCTGGGCGCAGTCGTAGCTGCTTCAATCGGGCGCAATCGAGATGTGTTCATCAACTCCGAACCTGATTTTCAAAAAGCTTTGTTGGTTGTTGAAAAGGCCGCAGAACAGCCAGGAAACATCGATTACGAGACCTTTTGCCTTAGTAGAGGACGAGACTCATTGAAACTACGCTGTCAAATTAAGGAAGTTCCTGATGTTGCCTTGTTTGTCTGTCTTAGGGCGACTGAGCTCTGTGTGAATATTACGACACGCGTGGATGATGTTTTGCTAGGTCTTGGAAATTCCGGCATCAAAGTAATGCAATATTCTAACGATAGTTACATTGGCGGGTAAGTCGTGCGACGTCTGGAAATTTGTTATGGTTTTTTAGTATATTTGAATAAGGATATGGTCGGATTGTTCTCGCAAAATGCCGAACATTTCTGTGTACATTTAACAATTATTAAATGCGGTTGAACATTATGAAGAATTATGGAGCTTGACAATTCTTCGTATCATGTGGAGACCGAATTCAATATTTGTTTTATTGTTTATTTAAAAGAATGAACGTTACAACTTTGTTCGCTCGAATTGATGTCGATTTCACATGTCCCTTGGGACATCGATGTCTTCGCCATTGGTGTGACGTCAAACGTTATGACGTAAAAGTCGTATCACACGTTATGACGTCACACGTTGGATATATCAATTTCACATATGCCTATTAGCTAATCAGAGGCTGCGAATTCTTTTAAATAAATAATAGAATGTATTATTGTAAATCAATACTGCTGTACATTTTTAATCATCAGGTTAAATTGTGGCGAACCAGGAAATCCGAATACACGATGCTATGGATATCTGGTGGAATGGCTCTCAGTTGATCAGGCACAGGAAGCATCGCTCAGAAGTAATATTTATATTGGCACAATCCCAACCTTGGTGGAATCGATAAAAAGTTATCAAGTAACGCAGGAAGCGCTTTCGCTGACCGCTGACGACTTGGGGAAAATTCTCAATTACACCCACGATCAAGGGACTGGTTTCTACTCACGAATCTGCGGGCTGCAAGGTTTCTTCATGAAGAAGGGGGGATTTTCGATTTTTGATCCTGATGATATACGTATAGTGAGTAGTTTGGATTACTTTTGTCACGATGAATATATCTATCCGACTACAGAGATGGTTGTTAAATCCTTGAAGCAAATGATAGTCGATCTACGGCCTTCAAACTCCAGTCTTGCATGGTTGAAATCCCCAGGGAAGAATAACTGAATGTAGTTTTTTGGATTGGTGTGATGTGAAATGATGTTATGCGTGGTAATTGACTGTTTACAGATATTAATTTTGAACATCCAAACTCAACGTTTCTGATCCTTACTAGAACGATAATCTTTCAACTCAATTTAAAATAAGTATATGATTAATTATTTTTAATATTTCTGTACACCTCTCTGAACAGGATTCGTGTACTTTTATAACATTTTTACTAATGTTTTTACTGCATGAGAAATGCACCCTGATTCATATATTGTTTACTTAATTACAACTGCTTCTAAAAATGCTTCGAACGAACAGAATAAATCGACAAAAATCAATAAAGGTGTGTTTCCTCTCAACAATGAGTGCTCAGTAATAAAATTGGATTGAAATGTAGATTTTTTACACGTACAAAATTCAAAAGAACTTCGACAACAACACAATGATTATCTGATCTCGTCTTTCCTTGGGTAAACAATTTGTTATTCTTAAATGTTGCTTCAAGCGAGGCTTTAAGCATCACTTGACAAAGAATCGTTTAAAATTAGGTATAATAAATTATTAGTACTTTAGGTTTGATAAACAAACGTTTGTCAAATCAAAGCTGATTTATTATTACTCATTTTACAGCGGGCATGTCGTTTTTTATTTCCGAGTTCACATAAGATTAAAGAACTTATTTTATTGCATTAAAGTTTAAGTCAACTTCGTATCATGTAAACAAACGGTTTGTTTATATTTTGAACTTGCAATTGTGTACTTTTTGAAATACGTTGTGTTCATTGTCTGAATATCTAACAATATTTAGGTTTTCTGTGCCTTTAAATGAATACGAACTTGTGTTTTTGAAGAAAGAAACTCGAACATGCAAAATTTGAGCCTGAAAATTTTCATCTGAGGACCTATATTTATAATAAATTTTTTATATGAGAATATTTTACGACAATTTAGCAACGTTGGCAATTTAATGTTTTGTTGAATTTCTTTATTCGATTTAAATTTTTGAACTTAATCATTTACATTTATCATGATCCATAATGATGAATTCACAACAACATTACATCAAGACAAGCATGTCATGCAAATATTGTTCAAATCTATTCCAATTCTTTCACCATTTTCTTTAAACCTTCGACGACCTGCCTCGTTTTCGGGTAATCGTCTGGAGTGTGACATGTGTAATCCAAACTTTCCCCAGATTTAATTTCGTCTGGATCTGCAATCTCGAATCCTCCGGCTTTCATGAAGTATCCCTGAAGGTCACAAATCCTTGTGTAAATACAACCGGTATCAGGTTTGGTGAATTTGAGAATCTTTTCCAAATCAACGCGCGTTATCGAGCGTGCTTCCTGGGTCGTCTGAAAACCTTTTAACCATTTCAGCAACGTTTCTGTTGTACCAATACGGAAATGACTTCTAAGGTGTTGTTCTTTACCCTTTTCAGGCGCAACCCATTCGACCAGATACCCCGAGCAACTGACGTCCGTACTTCCTCGTTCCGCACACTTTAACCTGGGAGAATTGAAAAGTGAAGATTTCGTGAATGGAAGAGTTTGAGGGGAACTTAAAGGTAGGTTACAGTGCCTTGTGCGCATCGCTTCTGCTCATACCAATGGGTAGAATATCTGATTTAAAAAATTTTCGATATGCAGCACGTTTTGTACTTTTCTAAACAAAAACTTAAACTTATACTCATTTGGAGCTACAAAAAACCAAAATAGCATCAAATATTCTGACTGTTTTTTTTATATTTCTAGAAACTTATAGCGATTGAAAATGTGAACAAGGCGTTCGTTTACATTAGCGATTGTAAGCTACTTCTAAGAAGCTCTATGAGAAGGGACGTAGGTGTAAAGAGTTGTGGGTGTTTTAGGAGGGGAGATTACCTACCCCAACCGCTGCACTACAGACACCCCACCGATATTATGCCGGGACGTTTGATGAAATTGTGCAAGATTGTCCTGGGAGGAGATCTCGTTAAAATCTGGACTAACAAGTGAGTATGTTTGTATATGGTCGAAATTCACTCATTGCGTTTTTGACCAACAGTTGTGTGGAGGAATTACCAGCAAATTTTATTCAACAAAGAAAAACTATATAATTCCATTCCTGTAGGGTTTTTTTGGGGGGGCGTAGGTTTTTTTTGGGGGGCGTAGGTTTTTTGGGGGGGCGTAGGTTGTTTTTTGGGGGGGGGCGTAGGTTTTTTTTTGGGTGGGGCGTAGGTTTTTCTGGGTGGGGGCGTAGGTTTTTTCTTGGGTGGGGCGTAGGTTTTTTTTTGGGGGGCGTTGGTTTTTTTTTGGGGGGGGCGTAGGTTTTTTTTTGAGGGGGGAGTGCAACTTTCGCCCAAGAGAAACTGGAACCTATTCGACATAGGATGCGATTTATATACATTTAGTTGGATTTGACTTACCCCTTAATAAGTTTGTCATGATATGGCAGAACCTTGAGTTTCGCTTTCACGAGTGTATTCAGACTGTTTAACTCGCGCTCCAAAGTTAAATCGCAAGTATTAGCACCGTTAAAATTAAAATTTTGGAGACAGACCAGCAAACCGACGTTTGGCATTTCCTTGATTTGACAACCCTGTTTGAACGTACCAACACCTTTCCTTTGGCAAAAATCATTGTAATTTATATTTCCTGTCGCTTTGGAGGCCTTCTCGACCAGTTCAACTGCTCTTGAAAACACCGGCCGACCCGTATCGACGGCGGCCCCATTGACTGTCATCAAACATGCAGCGATAAATACGATTCTTTGGAAATAAGACTTCATATTTTACCTAAATTCGATGCAAAATTACTTAATTAGTTTCTTTGCGACATAAAATTCGGGAGCCGGTTGTTCGAAAGGTTTTTTTAAATGGCGGATAAGTTCAAAATGGAAAGCAAGATTATCTATATTTATTTATTTAAAAAACTGAGCTTGAATATTTCGATGTAAATAGTTTAATATTCAATGGAGGTATATGTTTATATGGGCATTAAAGTACGAACTTTGTTTTCAACTGTATTTGCCAAAATTCACGCACGTTAACCGTTTTGACGACAAAGATATACGATAACTGGTAGCTTTTTAAAATGACAAAAGCACTAAAGCAGTTATCTTGAGAAATTTTCCAATAGTATAAACTGATATGTCAATTGCAAATAAAGATGACGCGGGCTTTTAAAGTGAAACGCTTTTTTTAATGAACGGCTTAATTGTTTTGTTGATAAACTTTTCAGTTCCAGTGTTGCCGTGTTTAAAAATAAATGGTAAACGTTGGCGTTGCCATATTTTTGGTAAAATTTGGAAGGATATTGACTACTTTCTAACGTGCATAAGTATACTAGAATTTGTAACTTGTAAGCTTACGATAATCTGTCCTGCAATTGATAAAGTTTAGTCAAAGTGAAGATTCATTGAGTCTATAAAATATTATTCGCTCTGTAGTTGTTATTTTATGTTTTCCCGCCTAAATGGCTAAATACTGCGAACTTTTCATACGAGATATGGCTTAGAATATAAACTAACTTACCGATTTAGCTTTTTCGCAGACAATATGCTGTCTTTTCAAATTAAAGCGTTCTTTTGGGTTATATAAGGAAATGTTGGCAGTTTTCAATGTCTCGTCTGAATGCAACCAGTTGTCCAGCACGACTTCATCACCGTGTCTTTTTACTTCAAAGTTTTTTCTTAGTTTTACCGGTGTCTTGCAAACAATGCCACACGCTTCTTTTTCATTAAAGATACGCTTCAAATGAAAAAATGCCCCCCCAAAAAGCGCCTGAGTCGAATATAAAAAATGTTATGTCTTTGATTTAGGCAATTTTAAGCTTTTGTTTACAAGCGTAGCCTTTGGCTTTAGCAATCAATGCGAGTTTTAGTTCATTCATCTAGCTTCATAGCTAGATGTTCTTTGACTTTGAAAGTAATGCTATTATTTGCCATAATTGCAACGGTTTGGGAAAGATTTAGCGTCTATTTTGAGGCTAATTTTAACTGGTACTGTTTATTCTGACACTGCATGATGCTGCATGTTTACAATTGTTAAACAAAGCGACAGTTTTAACTTTCCAAATCATTGCTATTCTATTATATCTATTTCTACAATATTAATATTATTATACACCTAATGTATGCTCCCGAGGGAAATAGTGAGTTTTGTTTTCCCAAGAGGCAAAAGTATAAATGTTTTCCGAGACGAAGTCCGAGGGAAACATTGAGACTCGAGGGAAAACAAAACTCACTATTTCCCGAGGTGTAGCGAACATTAAGTGTTTTGTTATATAGGAACAAAAACACATGTTACACGACAATTTCATTTCAAAAAACTTTGTTATGACAATATGAGGACAACAATTTTTCACTTGTTTCCTTGGCGGGAAATATTGCATTTATTTAAAGTCATGTGACTACGAATGAACCAATCACATTTAAAATACACAGCACCTATATAACAACATAAATTACATAATTTAATCTATATTTTCAGCTGAAGCAAGGCTGAATATATAGTCACCGCTCATGTGATGTGCCCTCGAAAAATAAAACACTAGATTGAAAAGAGTTATTTGATTGTTTATGATTACTTTACAGTTATGATTTTTGGCACTTCACTCGATGTAGGTAAGTACTAATGGTTTAAAGGGTCTTAATTTCGAGTGGAATTATACACACTTCAAATTCAAGCCAGGAACTGTTGATGAAAAAATGAGTCAACTATAGGTCCTCCGGCAGGAATCGAACCTACGCTTTTGCGATGCCGGTGCAATGCTCTTGCCACTGAATTTGAAGTGTGTAAAATTTCACTCGAAATTAAGACCTTTTGAACCATTATGATTACTTTACAATTTAGCTATCAAAAATTCAAACTTCAAAGACTTTTATCACCATCCAGAAATACAACTAGAGATCATTTGCCCGGGTATATTCGTTCCTCACCCCACTTTTCACCTATCTTAGTTCCTTATAATCCCTCTCGGTCCTTTGGTATCCGTTCTCGAATTCTCGGAAGCAAACGGCGGGCGATTCCTTGGAACAAAAACTTCGCTTGCCCGCGCTCGGGTGGAAGTGAAGCACAACTGACCGTTCATACAATTTCCTTGCAAGACGGAATTGCTGAAACGTTTAAGAGATGCCGTTACTAAAGAACCTGAAGGAATTCTAAGGAAATCGAGGAACTTTGAATTTTTTGTCAAGGAATTGGAAGCTGAGCTCGTTTGATAATTCACTTTCAAAATAAACAAATTACAAATTCTCGAACGGAGCCGTAGTAAAAAAATCGTTGAAGATTTTAGGCGGAAATATTTTAAAACAGCGTCCACAAAACAGCACAAAAAACAAAGCAACGTTCGCCGGGGATAGACCAAAGGATGTAAAGATATTTCCTCTTCAAAAAGAAACCATGCAATGTCCTTTGTGCAGAGAATCTGTGGCGGATGAAAACGCTTTGCAAGTTCACTATCTCATGTCGTGTTTGGGATATCTCGATAACGCTTCAACAAATAAACAAAACGAAGGTATTTCGGATCAAAAAAACTACACATAACGTAGCTTTTAATCGAGCTTCAAGCCTTGTAAAGCTTTCTTTACGCAAAGCACGCTCAGGTGTTGTCGATGTTTAATTTCTGTATTTTACAACAGCTCCTCCGAGCAAAAAGTTGGTGCAGTTCAGATGGATCAAATCGAAGCCAACTCTTGCTAGAGAAGTCTATTTGATCAGCTCTTTGGTACGTATTTTAGTTGTCTTTGAACTGCTTCTTTTGTGTGGAGTTGAATCTTCAGTTAGATCAGTCAAGATTGACAACTGTATATAATATAAAGCGATGAACTTCTGTACAAATTTTGTACAAAAGCGGTGTTTGTTCAACAACTGTGTATATTTGATCTGCGTTTGTTGTAGCTAATTTTTGAAATTTTGCGCGATCGCAGTCGTAATATACACAGGTGGCTTTTTCTAAATTAGGAGAACCACTTTGGATTAGATATTTATAGTTCAACAAGGCTTGATTATTGAGTAAAGCTTGCCACAAATTTTGCATGATTCAAACGTGTTTCCCAGTATGAATTTCCTGTACTGTCCCTTACCAACCATGCCACATAGACTGGTTGCTATGAGTTATGGGTCATTGCATACCATTTGGGTAACGAGGAAGCTGAATTGTCACCTTTGAGTAAAATCATCTGATATTAGACAGAGTAAAATACTAAAGTAGGCCACATCTGGGTGTATTGCAAGCAATGGGTTAACAAGAGACACTGACAGATAGTTTTGTTAACTTATTAACTGACAGTACTCTTCCACTGATGAGTAAAATCATCTGACATTAGACAGAGTAAAATACTAAAGTAGGTCACATCTGGGTGTATTGCAAGCAATGGGTTAACAAGAGACACTGACAGATAGTTTTGTTAACTTATTAACTGACAGTACTCTTCCACTGATGAGTAAAATCATCTGACATTAGACAGAGTAAAATACTTAAGCAGGTCACATCTGGGTGCATGATCCACCCTGGTATAAAATTGTGTCAATTAATTCACATTCAATCTTCATTTTAGGCTGGATCTGTGAAGCTAGATTGGCGAGTAATTGATGAATGTTTTCTGTCAGATCAAGTGGAGGTACCCCAGGGTTTGCATGTGTGTCAATTGGTTGTGGATGGAGATATGATGTCAACGGATGATTTCAGTGTTTCTGATACAAGTCGAACTATTGATGTTCTGATCTCTAAAGGTAAATTTGTTACTCAACTGAATTCAATCCATAAACTGGACAACTGAACCTATTATGTATCTTAATGACTTTATACAATCTTATTTGTTTTAATGTCAGATGATTTTACTCATCAGTGGAAGAGTACTGCCAGTTAATAAGTTAACAAAACCATCTATCAGTGTCTCTTGTTAACCCATTAGCTTGCAATGCACCCAGATGTGACCTACTTTAGTATTTTACTCTGTCTAATGCCAGATGATTTTACTCATTAGTGGAAGAGTACTGTCAGTTAATAAGTTAACAAAACTATCTGTCAGTGTCTTTTGTTAACCCATTAGCTTGCAATGCACCCAGATGTGACCAACTTTAGTATTTTACCCTGTCTAATGTCAGATGATTTTACTCATCAGTGGAAGAGTACTGTCCATTAATAAGTTAATGAAACTATGACTATCTGTCAGTGTCTCTTGTTAACCCATTAGCTTGTAATGCACCCAGATGTGACCTACTTTAGTATTTTACTCTGTCTAATGTCAGATGATTTTACTCATCAGTTGAAGAGTATTGTCAGTTAATAAGTTAACAAAACTATCTGTCAGTGTCTCTTGTTAACCCATTAGCTTGCAATGCACCCAGATGTGACCTACTTTAGTATTTTACTCTGTCTAATGTCAGATGATTTTACTCATCAGTGGAAGAGTATTGTCAGTTAATAAGTTAACAAAACTATCTGTCAGTGTCTCTTGTTAACCCATTAGCTTGCAATGCACCCAGATGTGACCTACATTTGTATTTTACCCTGTCTAATGTCCGATTATTTCAACTTACAATGAATGTTTTAGACTCTCCAGTTGATGAAACAACAGGCAATGTTTCTGAAGAAGAACATGAAATGGAAACCACATCAAATCCAGGCAATGTTGATGAAGCAGGTAACTTAAATTATGCTAGCTTATAATTCAAACAACAAGAGTTGAGAACCAGCGATACTGGTGCAATAATCACTTCAATCATGAGGCACTGATGAAAATAATGGGTTAAAAACTAAATCCCAGGGCCGTAGCTAGACCGCTTAATTGGGGGGTGTATATTCATATATTCGTCCTATGCCCGATTGATTTCTAGTTAATTGAACGTTATTGTTCCTACGGTATATAAACATGAATATATAAATATACACCCCCCAATTAAGCTTCTAGCTACGGCCCTGCTAAATCCTAATTAACTAACACTAAACAACAAATATTCAAGGAGACTTTAGTAATTTCATTGCTATCTTCCTCGCTTTTTGCAAAACTTTGTTATTTTTGGGGGGGCATTAATACAATTCCCACCACAATTTTTAAAAAACCGGTTGGCTTAACCCTGGGTTAAAGCAAATCTTAACATGAATTTTTTTCATTACTTCTTTACAAAGTTGAATATCTTTTTTCATGAATATTCTCGGGACCGATAGAAGTCATGTTTTCAAAAGTTTTAAAACAAACAGTGGTTCAGAAGCACATCAACTAAAACACTGGGTTTTGGGAATAACCTAATATCTTTGAACATGCAACCAGCCCGGCAGCCCCTGTACAATCATTGCATTGACAAATGACAAATCAGGTACTCTAGTATTATCTTTAGCTTTACAGTACAATATTTTCTTGCAGACGGAGAAACTGAAGTTCCATCCACAGAGGCAGAGACAAACAGAAAAAGTTCTTTGTACAGAGAGCTTATAACTCATCAAGTAAGGGAAACATTATACACTTCATGTATGCTCCCGAGGGAAATAGTGAGTTTTGTTTTCCCAAGAGTCTGAATGTTTCCCGAGACAAAGTCGAGGAAAATATTGAGACTCAAGGGAAAACAAAACTCGCTATTTCCCGAGGTAGTGTACATTAAGTGTTTTGTTATATAGGAACGAAAACATACATGTTATACACAACAATTTAATTTAAAAAAGAAACCCACTTTACTTTGTCATGACATGAAGCGGGCAACAATTTTTCATTTGTTTCCCTGGCGGGAAAGTCATGTGACTACGAATGAACCAATTACATTTAAAATACAAAGCACCTATATATTATATAAGTAATATAACAATATACATTTCTCGTCATGAAAATCAAACGAAATGATAGAAAATCTTCGTCGGCAGTCATGATAACAAGGAATACGATTTAACTGTTATCATTTTCAATGAAATTTAGTTCAAAATAGTAATAATTGTTGGAAACGAAAACACTTTAATATTAGATGCGATTTTCTCCTTTTGGTAGATGTGAACGAGTGAGTAGTTAGGAATACTCTGATGTTAAGAGCTTTTATTTGAATATCAGTAACTAACTCACTCGTTCACATCTATCAAAAGAAGAAAATCGCCCATAAAATCGCAAGTGTGAACGGGCCTTTTTAATCTCAGATTCTTCACGGGGATTCTTTTGAAACTCTAACGGGTACTACTCGGCCGGATCTCGGGGAAAGTTCGGGCTCACGGAAGGAAAGATCGGGCTCACGGAAGGAAAGATCGAGAGGGAACGGCGTATCTTCGAGGAAGACTCGTGCTCCGATAGTCAGGGACACCCAGGATACAAGTGGGATTGACGCGGCATTGATTGGCAGTGAAGAAACAACTCGGAGAAATCCGGATGATTCCGAACTTCCACGAGAAAGGTAGGCGACTTTCCATCCGAATAGGAAACAGTTTAGAACTGATAGAGCTATCCAGTATAAATAAAGTTGGTTTAGTTTAGGTTTCCTCTTGTAGTAACACTGGATCAATAGGAGATGATCCTTACTGGACCTCTAGGAAGAACAGTTTAGAACTGATAAAGCTACCGGATCAATAAGAGATGATCCTTACTGGACCTCTAGGAAGAACAGTTTAGAACTGATAGAGCTATCCAGTATAAATAAAGTTAGTTTGATTTAGGTTTCCTCCTGTAGTAACACTGGATCAATAAGAGATGATCCTTACTGGACCTCTAGGAAGAACAGTTTAGAACTGATAGAGCTATCCAGTATAAATATTATCAGTTCTTCTTTTTCAAAAACTAAGGTAACAACAAACTTTGTTGCCAGGAATAATGACGCTCCATATCACTCGTTGAGCCCAGAGGAACTGCAGGAGTTCCTCCAGCCAACAAGACCTCGGCAAGAGATCAGTGGTGGAGATGACGACAGCCCTAGCATAGTAACAGAAGAGAGAGAATCATCACTTTCGGACATCAACGGTACTGAAGGTTCGTTTGAAATGTTCAGCATTCTAAGCACAGCATTTTAATCAGCGTTTCAATCGGTATTTGCTGACTCAGCTTTTCATAAAATGCTGAGTCATCATTTTTTCAAACTTTGTTTCCTCATTCTAAAATGGTCGAAAATATTATTTCTGAAATCGGATATGTTCTGTTTAGGAAACTTGCTAAATCTTTCACAAGAGGATTTTGATGCTCGGCCGGAACTTCTCGGCCAATCAAATGGCGAGAACGAAGGCGATCACGTTCGGCCTGGAACTGTTCCCCATCCAGATACATCATCAGATCAGGGCGGCGAAGATGACGTCGTGATGACGACTCGTGAACAGTCGACGGTGGGTGAACGAGAGCGATCGGTGCGTGGTCGTGAACAACCGGGCAGGGATCGGGAACAGTCGGCTGGCGATCGTAAACCTTTGGTTGGGGAACGTGAATCATTAGTTGGCGTTCGTGAAGAGTCGGTAGACGATCGTGAAGAGTCGGCGGGCGGTCGTGAACAAGAAGCACTTCCCGTCGAACGTCGTGAGCCATCGTCAGACCGAGATAGAGAAAGTTTGACCAGTGGTCGTTCCGAGCAGTCTCCGAACAACGATGGTCGTGAAATGTCGTCTGGAAATCGTCCGAAACCATTACCGCGTGACCGTCACGTGGAATCCTCGGCTGACGATCCTGGACGTGTCGGAGACAAACGTGAGCATTCGGGTAGCGAAGATGAAACGTCAGGCGAGAATCGTAAACCGTCGGGAGACGATCGTAAAGCGTCGTCGGGCAGCCTTCGCACCGAAAACCAAGATCCATTGCTCGGCCACCACGAACTTACTTCGGCTGGTCTTCTGGGAAGATTTTCCGATGGCGACAGAGATCGACAATTCTATTCCCTCCCGGCTACAACAGGAATTTCCATCACCAGGGGTCAAAGGCTCCCCCACCAGAGTTTCCCCACCTACTCTAATGGAACTCAAGGACCAGACAACACTACCCCCGCCGGTAGCCATGGGTTGGAAAGTGATCCAATAACGACCACCATTTCAGATGATCTTCTTTTCAGAAATCATTCAAACAAAACCCATCTCAGAACCAACATCGGATCGTTTCAAGATAAAGACGCCCCCCGGCGTAATACGAAGCCTCACGACGAAGCGTTAGGCGGTCAGCGGAAACACGATGAAAGCAGGGATACAAACGGTTCCCATAGCAAAAGCGTACGCGATTCTGGTAGTACCGCTGGCCGAAGCATCGGGCGCACAATTCCTCCGAACCATCCCGGTAACGAAGGCAGGAAATCGAAGCCCGCGAGTCGCGAGGTCAGCGGACAAAACTGGGACATTGGGTCTCGAAATGAGGACGCGGATGTTCAAAGTGAAAGAAGTACACTTAGAAGTCGCCATGGTAATGCTAAAGTTCAATATATTGGTTCTCAGAACGAAGAAATGAGAATTTCAAGCACAGATGCAAGTACTTCAAGTAAGATGACTCGTGACGTTCCACGTTCCAGCAATATCTCTGTGGGTGAAAATTTTCCAGAGGTCTCCAGGCATAAGCCTCAGGGATCGTATCTGACCGACGGTGATGTCAAGCGTCCCCCGTCGTACACAACTATCCCAAGTAGACCCTATTCATCTCCACCGTATACTACATCTCAAACAGCAATCTCCCCACTGCCATCCCCTCGAGATGACGAAACGGCCGCGTCAAGTGCATTGGGGTCTGGGACCAGCGGAGTCACAGTTCGTGAGACTCGTGTCTCCTCGAAAAGCATTCTGAATCGAGACACTCCGACGGGTTCTTCACAAAAGACTGATAGAACTCAGGCTTCAAGTGGTGGCTCGCTGACCACAGCTGATAAAAAATTTACAGACGACAGCATAAAAGGTAAAATATCTAAGTTTTCTTCTGTAGTAACACTGGATCAATAAGAGATGATCCTTACTGGACCTCTAGGAAGAACAGTTTAGAACTGATAGAGCTATCCAGTATAAATAAAGCTAGTTTAGTTTAGGTTTCCTCCTGTAGTAACACTGGATCAATAAGAGATGATCCTTACTGGACCTCTAGGAAGAACAGTTTAGAACTCATAGAACTATCCAGTATAAATAAAGTTAGTTTAGTTTAGGTTTCATCCTGTAGTAACACTGGATCAATAAGAGATGATCCTTACTGGACCTCTAGGAAGAACAGTTTAGAACTGATAGAGCTATCCAGTATAGATAAAGTTAGTTTAGTTTAGGTTTCCTCCTGTAGTAACACTGGATCAATAAGAGATGATCCTTACTGGACCTCTAGGAAGAACAGTTTAGAACTGATAGAGCTATCCAGTATAAATAAAGTTAGTTTAGTTTAGGTTTCATCCTGTAGTAACACTGGATCAATAGGAGATGATCCTTACTGGACCTCTAGGAAGAACAGTTTAGAACTGATAGAACTATCCAGTATAAATAAAGTTAGTTTAGATTAAGTTTCCTTCTGTAGTAACACTGGATCAATAAGTGATGATCTTTACCTGACCTCTGGGAAGAATAGTTTAGAACTGATAGAGCTATCCAGTATAAATAAAGTTAGTTTAGTTTAGGTTTCCTCCTGTAGTAACACTGGATCAATAAGAGATGATCCTTACTTGACCTCTAGGAAGAACAGTTTAGGACTGATAGAGCTATCCAGTATTATTAATTAAGCTAATTTAGTTTGAATTTGAATATCCTTCTGTAGTAACCCTGGATCAGACATTTAATTTCGCAACATTCCTAACCCTTCGCTGTATTTCTTTTCTTTCAGAACTTCTGGAGTCTTTAAAGAAGGAGACATCAAAAGGAAAGTCATCTTCAAAGAGCCCTCGAGATGAAGTCAGCAGCACTAGTGAAATTCCTACATTGAAAACTAGACTCACAGAGCAGGAAGAACTGATCAAAAAGTTGAAAGCCAAACGCTCTGATGACAAGAAAGTGATCGAGGCACTTCGAGAAAAGGAAATCCAGTTAACGAAAGCTCTATCGTTGGCTGAGGTAGGAATTTTGTGTCTCAAGATCTGTTTCAGCTAATCTTATATTTAAATGCACAAAAGCTATCTATTTCTTCACCTTATCCTTCCCAATGCCGGCTAATTCGATATCTATGGCTTTAAGTTATTGTTAAACACCGTTTTGGATACAGAAATTTCCATTTAAAAGCGATTTAAACTCGCAATTAAACTTGCCATCGGTTTAGCAATTGTACTATTAAAGGCTATATGCACACGGTAACGTTTTCGAGGGTTTTCACGTTCGTTTTATGCCAAAACGGTTTCAAACACCGTCAAATTACAATAGATGCTGAAGCTGATATAACATATTAAACATATGTAGGACACCGCAGAAATTGGTGTTTAAGACGTTTCAACCCGAAAATCTAATCGCTGGTTCACAATTGTGCATTTCTGTATCGCCCTATCAAAGAGAAACCTTTTGAATATCTTAAAAAAGTTCAATTTTTCTTCTGAATACGCATTCTGCAATCTTTTGACAGCTCATCATACACATCTGACCGCTGTGAAATGGCCATTTTGAGGCTTAAAGTATACACAAGGTTATTAATTCAGACGATTCGTTTTTACCGTGAGCAAGCTTCAAATCTTTTGTGCAAGACATATTTTCTTGAATATTTATAAATCTTTTTCCTCACCAAGTTTGAAGCCTAAGTATCGAGAATTGCGGCTAAGCCTATACCAATTTCCGCGGTGTCCATATGTAGCTAATATAACATATTACACAATAAAATAGACAAAAACAATTCCGAAAACGCTCGAAAACGACGCTTGTGTGTTCATAGCCCTAGTAATCTCTTTTAAAAACACATTTTTAAAGCCATATTCAAAAAACGCGCGAAATATACTTGCGACCAAAACACGTATCCAAGATGGCTGCGTTGTTTTAACTTTCCCGTCTATAGCCGATGAACGAGGTCCTTTTTATGAGTAAATTTAACTTATTTCGATGACGACGTCTCTGAAATAGATTTAGGGACATGTTTAAAGACTTCTGACTCTTAGTTAATGCTAAAAAAATGACAACTATATCTTCTAAATGAAGATTTATAATCAGTATATCTTATTCTTCCGAATCAACAGTTGTTTTGAAAGATGTTCAAGAGCTTCTATTCGTGTCTAAGTACTGACGAGAACGTAAAAATATTGTCTAGATAAGAACTTTCAAGAGTATAACCTTTCTTTTAAAATCTACTGTTGCGTTTCGAGATTTTAAAGGACTTTTAAATACTTGCTGATGAAAATATTAAAGTTTGTTCATATCAGAAGTCCTTTTCGGAAATCTAAAATATCTGAATTACTTCGTAAATAGCAAATAAGGAAACATTAAAATAACGATCATAAGCTTCAATATATTTGTTAAAAAACTATGAAACTACAAGAGACGTTTAAAATCTATGTTTTTAAACGGAAATATGGAGAGACGTTCACTTTATAGTAAGATTACTCGCTGAGTTTATTGGCTTTTGTGTTAGTAATCTTAGCTTTGGGGTCGGTTGTATCAAGTCTGTTTAGCTTAAACGGTGGATAAGTCAAAATTGAATAACACTTTTAAATCTCTCTTGAATGAGTCAACTTGAATATTATGCACTGAATATGTAGTTGTAAACAGTATCTTTGTGTTAAAGTTAAAAACATTTATAGTTTGCTCGTTGAATAAAACGATAGACTTGCTTTCTATTTTGAACTTAACCACCGTTTAAGCTAAACGGGCTTGATACAACCGGCCCCAGCTTTCAAGACTATTGTATTGAGAAGCGTTTCTATAGTTGCATCTTACGTCTTTTATTCTGCCTTAAAGGGGAATAAAAAAGCGTTGAAAGACCAAGAGGAAATTGCAAGCCAGTTAATGGATGCTTTGGGTGACAAGGAAAAGGAATACGCTGAACTGGAAACACAAGCTCTTGATTTGAAGCGGCAACACAAGCGATTGATTGGCGAGATTGAAGAAATGAAGAAAAAATACGAAAAGAAAATTCATGATTTGAGGAGTATTAATGTTTCTCTGGAAGATAAGGTTCGGATTTTGTAACTAGTGAGCTATCCAGTATGTAGTTAGATCAGTTTAGGTTTCGTCCTGTAGTAACACTGGATCAATAAGAGATGATTCTTACTGGACCTCTAGGAAGAACAGTTTAGAACTGATAGAGCTATCCAGTATAAATAAAGTTAGTTTAGTTTAGGTTTCCTCCTGTAGTAACACTGGATCAATAAGAGATGATCCTTACTGGACCTCTAGGAAGAACAGTTTAGAACTGATAGAGCTATCCAGTATAAATAAACTTAGTTTAGTTTAGGTTTCATCCTGTAGTAATACTGGATCAATAAAAGATGACCCTTTCTACACCTCTAGGAAGAACTGTTTAGAACTGATAGAGCTATCCAGTATAAATAAAGTTAGTTTAGTTTAGGTTTCCTCCTGTAGTAACACTGGATCAATAAGAGATGATCCTTACTGGACCTCTAGGAAGAACAGTTTAGAACTGATAGAGCTATCCAGTATAAATAAACTTAGTTTAGTTTAGGTTTCATCCTGTAGTAATACTGGATCAATAAAAGATGACCCTTTCTACACCTCTAGGAAGAACTGTTTAGAACTGATAGAGCTATCCAGTATAAATAAAGTTAGTTTAGTTTAGGTTTCCTCCTGTAGTAACACTGGATCAATAAAAGATGATCCTTTCTACACCTCTAGGAAGAACAGTTTAGAACTGATAGAGCTATCCAGTATAAGTAAAGTTAGTTTAGTTTAGGTTTCCTCCTGTAGTAACACTGGGTCAATAAGAGATGATCCTTACTGGACCTCTAGGAAGAACAGTTTAGAACTGATAGAGCTATCACCACAAATCGTTTATTGTGGTATTTTGTTTGCTATTTAGATTAAATCTCATCATGAAACGTCTAAACCCAAATCCCCAAGACACACAGAAGAATACAAACAGCTACTTGAGTCTTGTATGAAATCTCGGGCTGTTGCCGCAAGTCTCGAAGACCAAGTGGAAGCATTAAAGAAAGAAAATAAAGATCTCAAAGATAAACTGGATTTGTCGCGAGAAGACATCTCGAAACGTACCAGAGCAAACTACTCATCTTCACCAGACAGAGGCATGGGAACAAGTCGTGAGGAGCAAACGTCTACTTCGATGAATGGTTACCTGGATACCAACGAATCGTCATCTTTCGTTGGTCGACAGCAGTTCGATAGTCGGCATAGTCCAACCGATACCCGAGCACGCGCCGAAAACGACCGATATCTATCGTATGCGTCACGATATTCGCCGAGTGATTCGCGACACCCTTACGACGATCACCGAACATCGTACGAAAGTCGACGACATCTACCGGAGAGTGCCAATACACGCCCGACTCACTCACGACCAGAATCCGAATCAACCCGAAGCCATTTTGAGACTCATCAACGAAGCCGGTCCGGAAGATCCCGAGACCGATCCGATGTTCATGCATATGAAAGTCCCGAAACAAGTCCTCGCGTTGAAAAGCATCGAAGTCGGCAGTCGAGAAGTCGCGAACGTAGCACGATGTTTGACGATCTTTCACCGTCGGAAATCGCCGGAGTGGATTTCAGGACTCCGTATTCCAGACGCAGCCACAGCACAGACGCTATTAGAAATGTTCACCGCGACCAGGACAAGATTTCGCCCAGTCAAGAAAGAGGAAGCCAAGAGCTGGACCGAAGAAGTAAAGATAGATCAGGTTTACATCGTACAGGTAAGAAAATATTCTTTATTTATACTGGATAGCTCTATCAGTTTTAAACTGTTCTTCCTAGAGGTCCAGTAAGGATAATCTTTTATTGATCCAGTGTTACTACAGGAGGAAACCTAAACTAAACTAACTTTATTTATACTGAATAGCTCTATCGTTCTAAACTGTTCTTCCTAGAGGTCCAGTAAGGATCATCTCTTATTGATTCAGTGTTACTACAGGAGGAAACCTAAACTAAACTAACTTGTATTGCAAATTGATATTTCCGCAGGCTCCTCTGGCAATCTTCGCAGTTCAAGATTTACGTCCTCAGATCTAACAGACGACTTCACCCTGACCGGCGAAGGCCTGGGTTCAACTCCCTCCCCAGAGACAGCATCATCCCGGAAATCCAGTCCCGGGAAAGGAACCCCATTCGCCCCTGATAGCCCGCGACAGTTGGATGTGGGAATGTCTGTGTTAGTCACTCGACACAGAGGAAAATTAAGTCGTGGAGTAGTTCGATATATTGGATATCTTCCTGAAAAACTAAACAAGATATACATTGGGCTCGAGCTTGGAGATTCAGGTACGATATTTCTCCGTTTAACTTATTAACTGACAGTATTCTTCCACTGATGAGTAAAATCATCGGATAGTTTTAATTTAACTGGCAAAAATTGATGTAGAATTATTTGCTACTCTTCCAGATGGTAAGCATGACGGCAAATTTAATGGCCAAAGATTTTTCAAATGGTGAGCAAACTAATTTTGTTTATGCTGGATAGCTCTATCAGTTCTAAACTGTTCTTCCTAGAGGTCCAGTAAGGATCATGTCTTATTGATCCAGTGTTACTACAGGAGGAAACATAAACTAAACTAACTCTATTTATCCTGGACAACTCTATCAGTTCTAAACTGTTCTTCCTAGAGATCCAGTAAGGATCATCTCTTATTGATCCAGTGTTACTACAGGAGGAAACCTAAACTAAACTAACTTTGTTTATACTGGATAGCTCTATTAGTTCTAAACTCTTCTTCCTAGAGGTCCATTAAGGATCATCTAAACTAAACTAACTCTATTTATACTGGATAGCTCTATCATGCCCTTGGTCTATAAATGTTTCCAAATTGGTGTTTTAAGTTTTGCTTTAATTTCGTTTCAGCAAACAAAACCACGGTGTATTTTTCTTTTGAGAAAGTTGTTATGGCTTACACGTGAAGTCAAATAAGATACGTATAAACAACTCCCATCAACAGAACATCGTTGCCAACAGACTTGTAGCTTTCTTGTCGAAAATGACATTCCAACAACATTCCTACTCGCTACAACACTGCCTCTTTTAACTTCATTATTAAGAGGAGATATTTTTCTATGTCGCGTAATATATGCTCAAAACCTCAGTTATATCTTCATGCAACAGCACTAAAATTTTCAGCATTAAAAATGTTTTGCAAAGCTGAAAAGCATCCACAAAGTATGTTTACTGTATAATCTCAAAATATTGTGAAAATGAAAAGATTTCTCGGGATACGCCGAGAAGAAAATGACACTTAAATCGAAGCTTCTTTTGTATTCATTTCAGTTATAATGGCGTTGACATTATAACATTGTTGATAGCTGCTGCATTATATTTTGTAATAACTCCTTTGTTTGGTGTTTTGCATTCACCAAATACAGTTCAAAACTTAGTTCACACAATAATCTAAAGAATAAAGGTAAAATAAATGGATTTTGAGTGGTACGCCGAAAAGATTTTAGCTTTTGAGCGTTTTCCCGCCAAAATACGCGACATAATAAAAAACCTCCTCTTAATAGTCTGACGTGTGGTTTTGTAGTATTCTTACAAAGAAGTACTCTTTCAACAACATATTTTAGCTAATTTATATACACATGCAAAGTTTTAACATATATATGTATAAAAATAACTTAACTTCAGTCTTAAGCGGTTACACTTTCACGATATTATACCAGAAGAAATCGTTAATACATCGTGTTTTTATTTTAAAAGTATTCCTATAAAGGTCTTTCTTTGTTGTATATGAACTGAAATTGCTCAATTTTCTCTAAACGGATAACTTAATCACAGTTATCGATTCAAATGATGGCTTTGTAATCGAAAAAAGATTGCATTTTGTATTTTTTTTCCGTTTTGTATCAACTTAAAGGGATCAATTTTCCCTCCACGAAGAAATTAATCATAGTTATCGAATCGAATGATGGCTTTTTATCGAAAAAAGATTGTATTTTGATCTATTGGCGGTCAGATTAACCGTGATATTACTGTCGAAATTGTTTGTGTACTTTCTCCAGGTCATTTTGAATGAGTTTGTTTCATCGTTATTGCGAAAGTGAATGAATTCCCGCCATGATCAAGAGAATTACTAACTTTGGTAAAGTTTGGGAAAGCCGGCAATCCTCTTGGACTTGGTAAAGTAAACTGTTAGAATTCTTTGAGTGATAGATATGGTTTAACGATGGTCAGGCTATAGCTAGCTTTTGAACAGCGTGATGTGTCGTGTCTAGTTTTAATGAGTTGTCTTTTTAAGTTGCCGTTTAAATATGAAGCGTTTTCAAGACGATTTCTCCTCAAATTTGGTATTGAACATTGAACAGCGTGATGTATAGTTTTAAGTTTTCTTTAAGTTGCCATTTAAATATGAAGCGTTTTCAAACGATTTCTCCTCAATTGTGGTATAACAACTGACTGAAATAGACCACAACACTTCACGACGTGTCAACTAAAAGGCTTTCGCCAGGCGAGTTAGCAAAGGTAATAATTTTTGTCTATTTTAGCAAGTTTTTCTACTGTACTTCACCTGAAAATGTTGCAAGACTCTGTCACGCGGCTCGTGGTTACATTCAAATTAAAATGCCCTTCCCGCTTTATAGTTTCTAGCGATTGTTTTGAATTTGATACTCAGATGCAGAGTGGGATTTGTAATTTAAATGTCAAGTGGAATAAACATGTGACGAACTCTCCGAAGACCAGGGCTCTCATTTTTAAGGAAATTTCCTTAAACTGAAGAAAACTAGGCTCTTTTAAGGAGACTTTTAAGGAAATGGAAGTTTTAAAGAATTTTTAAGGAAGTTTGAAACCGGGTAATTTTTTAATTTTTAGATTAAAAACATCCCCAAAACAAACAATTCTCAAAAATAACGTTACTTATTACAGTGTTTTGTCACACTGTTTTACTTTTTCTTTACGATTTTCGCCTTTTTTGAAGGACTTGCCTCTGTTTCGTTGCCTGATTCAGAACCGCCATTTTGCAAATTGCAATGCTAAAAGCTATTTTCACGCGATTTTCAGATTTTGAGGAAATGTTTTCTCATTTAAGGAATTTTTAACAGCCGAGTTTAAGGAATATTCTGCATGACGTTCTGAGAGCCCTGCCGATTGCCGAAGACACAAATCGACTGAAAACGGAAGGACTTGAATTTGTTGTGATGTGCTCGCTTTGGATTTGAATTTCTCGCTTGGTAAGTGCGTATTTTCGTTCAATATCATAACACTTTCATCCCCAGCGGTATCTTGCTGTCTGGCAGTGTGTTATCCTAAGAATAACTTTAGGCGATTAAAGCTTTTACACTCAGCCTTCGTCGGTGATTATTTTATTGTGAAGCAGGAAGTTCAACTTTGGTTAAATTTCGCCTTAGACTTAGTATAATAGCGGTTGTTATAGTTTTCCTTATCCTAGAATTACTAAAGGCAGTCGAAATTCAAAGCAGACAATCGCTTTTAAAGAATAATTTGATTTTATTTTGATTTCTGTAACGATTAACGAAATTGTTCGACAATGTAGCAATATTATTAAAACTTTGCATTCACAAGCACATTGTCATTGAAAACCCGAACGATTCGCCGTTCTCTTTCTCTCATGGGCAAAATGCTACATATAGATATAGTGCCATGCAGTAGTTCTTGATATGCTCACCATTTAAACTTAATTAACTAATTGAAGTTGCCTACCTTAAGATATATTATACTATATATAATAGCTATCTACATTGCCTTGTCTAACCATAGGTAGCCCAATGCGCTGCATTACGTACGTCACTTGGGTCACGTTTATAGTATATAATAATATTATATTATTATATACTATATACGTGACCCAAGTGACGTACGTAATGCTGCAGCACATTGGGCTACCTATGGTCTGACAAGGCAATGTAGATAGCTATTATATAGTATAATATATTTTAAGGTAGGCAACTTCAATCACAATATTCACATTGACACATGCAAACAATCCGAAAATACTTCAATTTACGCCTAAAACTAAGCTAAAATAACAAGAGAAATAAAATCTACGATGATTTTACTATACCCTGACTATATTTTAATAATGAAAATAAGTTATGGAAGCGAGAAAAATGCGAAACGTTTATGATGTTTTACTCATTTTTTGAATGGGCCGATGCTGGACCCGCGCTGTTGACTTTTAAAAACGTTTGAAAATGACGAATTTGCTATCTGATTGGCTGTCTTTTATTCTCGCTGTTGTGACAGCCGATCAGATTACAAACTCGTCATTTTCATTCAAACGTTTTTAAAAGTCCACAGCGCGGGTCCAGCATCGGCCTATTCAAAAAATGAGTAAAATATCAAAAACGTTTCGCATTTTTCTTGCTTCCATAACTTATTTTCATTATTAGAATATAGTCAGTGTATAGTAAAATTATGGTAGATTTCGTTTCTCTTGTTATTTTAGCTTAGTTTTAGCGATAAATTGAAGTATTTTCGGATTGTTAGCATGTGCCCATGTGAATCTTGTGATTGAAGTTGCTACCTTCATTTGAATAGTAATGAATACAAATTTTGACTATACTAGATTTCATAGGTAGCCCAACACTCGAGTTCCCGGCGCGAACACGCTACTCCGTGATCAGCATATATTAATTTATCCTAAGGTTGGCAACTTTATCACCAATTATCAATAATATATCACATACATACATGTCAAACTTCGATAAAAACTGAAAAACTACCATAAAATACTGCAAAATTAATAAATATAAATGAACTTGGATATATTTTCTAAATTCCGACATAGTTTTTAGCTTCAAAATGTATTGGCAAATACGGAAATTTGTTCATTTAATTTAAAATAAAGTTTTTGAAAATACATTGTTAAAATTTTCTTGTCGATAGGCGGGATCCAATTTACCCTGCATTACGTCACCTTCGGAGAAATCCCGAGTCAATCCTATTGGCTGCTTTCTCATGGAGCAATCTTCGGAAATTTTCCGACTTTTCAGCAGCCAATAGAATAAATAGGATTGACTCGGGATTTCTCCGAAGGTGACGTAATGTAGGGTAAATTGGATCCCGCCTATCGACAAGAAAATTTCGACAATGTATTTTCAAAAACTTTATTTTAAATGAACAAATTTCCGTATTTGCCAATACATTTTGAAGCTAAAAACTATGTCGGAATTTAGAAAATATATTCAAGTTCATTTATATTTAATAATTTTGCAGTATTTTGTGGTAGTTTTTCAGTTTTTATCGAAGTTTGACATGTATGTATGTGATATATTATTGATAATTGGTGATAAAGTTGCCAACCTTAGGATAAATTAATATATGCTAATCACTGAGTAGCGTGTACGCGCCGGGAACTCGAGTGTTGGGCTACCTATGTAGATACTAGAGATTTATAACTGGTCACCTCAGATTCATTGGTCAAAACACCTTTTAAGACTTTGTTTTTTCGTTCTTAATAACAAACAGAATTGATCAAAAAGAGATTAATCTGAGTCAACCGGTTTTAAAATTTAAATTATAGTTGTTTTAACGAACTATTTCATAGGAAGCCCAGACAAATGAGTTGAAGTTAATAAAAATCCGTAAAACACTTGAGATATGTGTTAAAATGAATTAAAGTATATGTAATTTGCTACAAAACTACTGTTAGAACCATGTATGTAGCGTGCTCCAATGGCGCTGCTATTTGACTATGCAACTAGCGACGTAACTTACCCAATAATATAGTATATAAGTTTTGTAACAAATTACATATACTTTAATTCATTTTAACACATATCTCAAGTGTTTTACGTATTTTTATTCACCTAAACTCATTTGTATGGGTTTCCTAGGACTATTTTCACTGAATGCGATCTTTACAAATCTTTCTTTATTGTGTAGAATATTTTCTTTGTGTTTCTGAATGGCATCATCTGTAGTCCAGGGGCAGGGGGCAGGATTTGACGAGAACCGGTTTGATGGTCCTGTAAGCGATAACTTCAAGTGCACGATATGTTTTAACGTCCTCAACGACCCGAAGAGTTGCCAGAACAACCAACATTACTTCTGTAGCGCGTGTATTCATCAATACGTTCAAAATTACTCCCAGACTTGTCCTGAATGTCGACAGGATTTGACGGTTGAAACGTTGGTCACACCTCCCAGGATCTTGTTGAATTGTATTTCAGAGCTTCCAATCAAATGTGATCACGTCAAACGAGGTTGTACCGACCGAATTCAACTTGGAAAACTTAAAAATCATCTCGAAGAATGTGGTTTTGCTCCGGTTACGTGTGCGAATGATGGTTGTGACGCGGTTGTCAACAAACGAGACAGAATTCACCACGAGACTGAACTATGCGAGTTTCGCAGAGTGCAATGTCATAATTGCGAAGAATTGAGAAATGAGATGTTGATATTGAGCGAGAAACAAGAAAATTTGAGCAAAACTACTGGTCAAAAACTAGTAAAGTTGGAAGGAAAGCTAGATCAAGTCACAACGCGGCTTCAGAATATCGAAGGGAATGTTAATGCACTGAATTTGGCTCATAACAGCGGAAATGCGAGCCTTTTTCAAGAAATTTCAGAGATCAAGAGTTTCATGAACGATGTCTTGCGTAAACTCAGCAATATCAACATTGTTGTTTGCCAAATGCAAGCCCCGGAAACCCAAGAGAAAGAAAAAAATAAAAGAGGAGACGAACGAGTTGGTGGACTAGCCGTTGCTTTGGATGATAAGAAAGATAGTTCTGCTGAAATAAAAAGAAATGATGAGCTGATGCAACACAGCAAAACACAGGTAAAATAGTTATAGACTGAAAGAGCTTTCATAATTTTTTTATTCTATGCCTATGGTATTTTACTTTCCATTCAGGATTCTTCTGTTGCTGAAAGCCCGAAGTGCAATATTCCTGCCTGGTCGCCTAAAGATTATGATGGTAATGATAATTCTGACGATGTACCTCGGCCTTGGTATGTTCCAACACTCACACCGAGAAAAGAACGGTTTAGGCTTAATAAAAAAGGCCGCGCTGCCGACGCAGTCGTCGCTCAATCTTCGCCTAGATCCAAACCCAAAACGCACAGAAATATTGAAATAGGCATGCAAGTAGCTGTTAGTGGGCTCAATGGAAATCTGAGCGACATAGGAACGGTTCGATATGTCGGAACTTTACCTCTTGACAGAGAGAAAATTTACGTTGGAGTCGAGCTGGACTTTGCAGGTACGTTTTTTACATTTTTATGTTTATTAGGAATGAAAAAATATCTCAGTAGCTTCTAAAGTTGAACCTGAATATTAACTTTTGCAATTAAACTTTTTCCTTTTAGACGGTGATAACAATGGCGTGTTTGATGGGAAACGATATTTTCAGTGGTAAGAATGATGAGTTTTAATATAATGATATATATTCAGTATTTAGACGGCCAAAAACCATGACCAGCCGACAATTTAAAAAAGTAAAGACTCCGAGAAAACCGAGAAAACCGGACATCTTGAGAGTCAAAATACGAGTCAAGCAAGACACAGGTTGAGTTAACAAAGTCCTCTTCAAGACTTCATTCTGTCTGAAAATGACTTTGGAATAAAGTCGAAAATTTACAGTCTCAACCTGTGTCTTGCTTGATTCATATTTTGACTCTCAAGGTGTCCTATTTGGAATCTTTTTTTTTTACTTTACTATATCAGTATATTTCTTAACAAGTATTACCGTGTCTTTGGTCGATAAAATTAAGTATGTTGTGACCCTGGATGTTTTTGTTCAAGTTTTTTAAGTGCAGTAATGCTTTGATAAATCAGCTTTTGATAAACTTTTTTCAGCCGACCGAATCATGGCGTTTTCCGTCCCATTGGTCATGTGACACCATGGTGATAACTATAGAACGTCAAGTATCGTATGAACTCTCTTCTATGAAATAAATCAGTTGTAAATTCTGGTAAAGTATCTCGGAAAAAGATGTGTGACGTAAATTTTTCAACAAGTAATCTTTCGCATGTTATAATTATTTTGATGATATCGATATAAACCAATCGACAAATATTGGCAATCAAGAGGAGTCGGTATAACAATCGATACTAAATACCAATGATGAAGTGTAATAGTTTTACAATGGATGATAATTAATTTTTTAAAGATTCCGTAAAAACGTGTGTGATTTGTTTGCTCTGCATATATTTGAAGATCAGTTGTATATTTTGGACAGCTTTGGGCTTTTAAACCGCGGTTCCTTGCCGCGTTCTTGGCTACATTGGAACGCATATTCAATTTCAAAATGCCCTTCCCGCTTTATATTTTCAAGCGATTGTTTTGAATTTGTAATTTGATACTCAGAGGCAGAGTGAAATTTGGTATTCAAAATATCAAGTGAATATAAACATGCAACGAACTCTCCGAAGACACAAATCGACGCGAAAACGAAAGGACTTGAATTTTTTGCGAAGCCGATGTGTTCGCTTTGGAATTGAATTTCTCTCTTGGTAAGTGCGTATTTTCGCCATTATCATAACACATCCATCCATTAGTATCTTGCTGTCTTGCAGTGTGTTTTCCTAAGGATAAATTTAGGCGATTAAAGCTTTAACGCTTGCCGTTCGTCGGCGAATATTCATTGTGAAGCAGGAAGTTCAAATTTCGCCTTAAACTTAGTATAACAGCGGTTGTTATAGTTTTCCTTATCCTAGAATTACTAAAGGGAATCGAGATTTAAAACAGACAATCGCTTCTAAAGAATAATTTGATGTTATTTTCATCTCTGTAAGGAGATTGTTCGACAATGTAACAATATTATTAGAACTTTAAATTATAGTTGTTTTAACAAACGATTTCCACAGAGTGCGATCTTTACAAATCTTTCTTTATTTTGTAGGTGATCTATTTGTGTTTCTGAATGGCATCATCGTCGGGATTCGACGAGAACCGTTTCGAAGGTCTTGTTAGCGAGAACTTCAAATGCACGATATGTTTTAACGTCCTCAACGACCCGAAGAGTTGCCAGAACAACCAACATTATTTCTGCAACGCGTGTATCCATCAATACGTTCAGAATTACTCGCAGACTTGTCCTGAATGTCGACAGGATTTGACGGTGGAAACGTTGGTCACACCTCCCAGGATCTTGTTGAATTGTATTTCAGAACTTCGCATCAAATGTGATCACGTCGAACGAGGTTGTGCCGCCAGAGTTCAACTTGAAAAACTTAAAAATCATCTGGATGAATGTGGGTTTGCTCCGGTTACGTGTGCGAATGATGGTTGCGACATGGTTGTCAACAAACGAGACAGAATTCACCACGAGACTGAACTATGCGAGTTTCGCAGAGTGCAATGTCATAATTGCGAAGAATTGAGAAATGAGATGTCGAGATTGAGCGAGAAACAAGAAAATTTGAGCAAAACTACTGGTCAAAAACTAGTAAAGTTGGAAGGAAAGCTGGATCAAGTCACAACACGGCTTCAGACCATTGAGAAGAATGTTATGGGCAAAATTACCGTGCTAAGTTTGTCACATGAGCGCGGAAATGCGAGCGTTGTTCAGGAATTGAGGAATGAGATGTCGAGATTGAGCGAGAAACAAGAAAATTTGAGCAAAACTACTGGTCAAAAACTAGTAAAGTTGGAAGGAAAGCTAGATCAAGTCACAACACGGCTTCAGAATATCGAAGGGAATGTTAATGCACTGAATTTGGCACATAACAGCGGAAATGCGAGCCTTGTTCAAGAAATTTCAGAGATCAAGGGTTTCATGAACGATGTCTTGCGTAAACTCAGCAATATCAACAATGTTGTTTGCCAAATCCAAGCCCCGGAAACCCAAGAGAAAGAAAAAATAAAAGAGGAGACGAACGAGTTGGTGGACTAGCCGTTGCTTTGGATGATAAGAAAGATAGTTCTGCTGAAATAAAAAAAAATGATGAGCTGATGCAACACAGCAAAACACAGGTAAAATAGTTATAGACTGAAAGAGCTTTCATAATTTTTTTATTCTATGGTATTTTACTTTCCATTCAGGATTCTTCTGTTGGTGAAAGCCGAAGTGCAATATTCCTGCTTGGTCGCCTAAAGATTATGATGGTAATGATAATTCTGACGATGTACCTCGGCCTTGGTATGTTCCAACACTCACACCGAGAAAAGAACGGTTTAGGCTTAATAAAAAAGGCCGCGCTGCCGACGCAGTCGTCGCTCAATCTTCGCCTAGATCCAAACCCAAAACGCACAGAAATATTGAAATAGGCATGCAAGTAGCTGTTAGTAGGCTCAATGGAAATCTGAGCGTCATAGGAACGGTTCGATATGTCGGAACTTTACCTCTTGACAGAGAGAAAATTTACGTTGGAGTCGAACTGGACTTTGCAAGTACGTTTTTTACATTTTTTATGTTTATTAGGAATGAAAAAATATCTCAGTAGCTTCTAAAGTTGAACGTGAATATTAACTTTCGCATTTAAACTTTTTCCTTGTAGACGGTGATAACGATGGCGTCTTTGATGGAAAACGATATTTCTGGTGGTAAGAATGATGAGTCTTAATATAATATATATATATTCAGTATTTAGACGGCCAAAAACCATGACCAGCCGACAATTTAAAAAAGTAAAGACTCGGAGAAAACCGAGAAAACCGGACATCTTGAGAGTCAAAATACGAGTCAAGCAAGACACAGGTTGAGTTAACAAAGTCCTCTTCAAGACTTCATTCTGTCTGAAAATGACTTTGGAATAAAGTCGAAAATTTACAGTCTCAACCTGTGTCTTGCTTGATTCATATTTTGACTCTCAATATGTCCTATTTGGAATCTTTTTTTTTACTTTACTATATCAGTATATTTCTTAACTAGTATTACCGTGTCTTTGGTCGATAAAATTAAGTATGTTGTGACCCTGGATGTTTTTGTTCAAGTTTTTTAAGTGCAGTAATGCTTTTGATAAACTTTTTTCAGCCGACTGAATCATGGCGTTTTCTGTCCCATTGGTCATGTGACACCATTGTGATAACTATAGAACGTCAAGTATCGTATGAACTCTCTTCTATGAAATAAATCAGTTGTAAATTCTGGTAAAGTATCTCGGAAGAAGATGTGTGACGTAAATTTTTCAACAAGTAATCTTTCGCATGTTATAATTATTTTGATGATATCGATACAAACCAATCGATAAATATTGGCAATCAAGAGGAGTCGGTATAACAATCGATACTAAATACCAATGATGAAGTGTAATAGTTTTACAATGGATGATAATTAATTTTTTAAAGATTCCGTAAAAACGTGTGTGTTTTGTTTGCTCTGCATATATTTGAAGATCAGTTGTATATTTTGGACAGCTTTGGGCTTTTAAACCGCGGTTCCTTGCCGCGTTCTTGGCTACATTGGAACGCATATTCAATTTCAAAATGCCCTTCCCGCTTTATATTTTCAAGCGATTGTTTTGAATTTGTAATTTGATACTCAGATGCAGAGTGAAATTTGGTATTCAAAATATCAAGTGAATATAAACATGCAACGAACTCTCCGAAGACACAAATCGACGCGAAAACGAAAGGACTTGAATTTGTTGCGAAGCCGATGTGTTCGCTTTGGAATTGAATTTCTCTCTTGGTAAGTGCGTATTTTCGCCATTATCATAACACATCCATCCATTAGTATCTTGCTGTCTTGCAGTGTGTTTTCCTAAGGATAAATTTAGGCGATTAAAGCTTTAACGCTTGCCGTTCGTCGGCGAATATTCATTGTGAAGCAGGAAGTTCAAATTTCGCCTTAAACTTAGTATAACAGCGGTTGTTATAGTTTTCCTTATCCTAGAATTACTAAAGGGAATCGAGATTTAAAACAGACAATCGCTTCTAAAGAATAATTTGATGTTATTTTCATCTCTGTAAGGAGATTGTTCGACAATGTAACAATATTATTAGAACTTTAAATTATAGTTGTTTTAACAAACGATTTCCACAGAGTGCGATCTTTACAAATCTTTCTTTATTTTGTAGGTGATCTATTTGTGTTTCTGAATGGCATCATCGTCGGGATTCGACGAGAACCGTTTCGAAGGTCTTGTTAGCGAGAACTTCAAATGCACGATATGTTTTAACGTCCTCAACGACCCGAAGAGTTGCCAGAACAACCAACATTATTTCTGCAACGCGTGTATCCATCAATACGTTCAGAATTACTCGCAGACTTGTCCTGAATGTCGACAGGATTTGACGGTGGAAACGTTGGTCACACCTCCCAGGATCTTGTTGAATTGTATTTCAGAACTTCGCATCAAATGTGATCACGTCGAACGAGGTTGTGCCGCCAGAGTTCAACTTGAAAAACTTAAAAATCATCTGGATGAATGTGGGTTTGCTCCGGTTACGTGTGCGAATGATGGTTGCGACATGGTTGTCAACAAACGAGACAGAATTCACCACGAGACTGAACTATGCGAGTTTCGCAGAGTGCAATGTCATAATTGCGAAGAATTGAGAAATGAGATGTCGAGATTGAGCGAGAAACAAGAAAATTTGAGCAAAACTACTGGTCAAAAACTAGTAAAGTTGGAAGGAAAGCTGGATCAAGTCACAACACGGCTTCAGACCATTGAGAAGAATGTTATGGGCAAAATTACCGTGCTAAATTTGTCACATGAGCGCGGAAATGCGAGCGTTGTTCAGGAATTGAGGAATGAGATGTCGAGATTGAGCGAGAAACAAGAAAATTTGAGCAAAACTACTGGTCAAAAACTAGTAAAGTTGGAAGGAAAGCTAGATCAAGTCACAACACGGCTTCAGAATATCGAAGGGAATGTTAATGCACTGAATTTGGCACATAACAGCGGAAATGCGAGCCTTGTTCAAGAAATTTCAGAGATCAAGGGTTTCATGAACGATGTCTTGCGTAAACTCAGCAATATCAACAATGTTGTTTGCCAAATCCAAGCCCCGGAAACCCAAGAGAAAGAAAAAAATAAAAGAGGAGACGAACGAGTTGGTGGACTAGCCGTTGCTTTGGATGATAAGAAAGATAGTTCTGCTGAAATAAAAAAAAATGATGAGCTGATGCAACACAGCAAAACACAGGTAAAATAGTTATAGACTGAAAGAGCTTTCATAATTTTTTTATTCTATGGTATTTTACTTTCCATTCAGGATTCTTCTGTTGGTGAAAGCCCGAAGTGCAATATTCCTGCTTGGTCGCCTAAAGATTATGATGGTAATGATAATTCTGACGATGTACCTCGGCCTTGGTATGTTCCAACACTCACACCGAGAAAAGAACGGTTTAGGCTTAATAAAAAAGGCCGCGCTGCCGACGCAGTCGTCGCTCAATCTTCGCCTAGATCCAAACCCAAAACGCACAGAAATATTGAAATAGGCATGCAAGTAGCTGTTAGTAGGCTCAATGGAAATCTGAGCGTCATAGGAACGGTTCGATATGTCGGAACTTTACCTCTTGACAGAGAGAAAATTTACGTTGGAGTCGAACTGGACTTTGCAAGTACGTTTTTTACATTTTTTATGTTTATTAGGAATGAAAAAATATCTCAGTAGCTTCTAAAGTTGAACGTGAATATTAACTTTCGCATTTAAACTTTTTCCTTGTAGACGGTGATAACGATGGCGTCTTTGATGGAAAACGATATTTCTGGTGGTAAGAATGATGAGTCTTAATATAATAATATATATTCAGTATTTAGACGGCCAAAAACCATGACCAGCCGACAATTTAAAAAAGTAAAGACTCCGAGAAAACCGAGAAAACCGGACATCTTGAGAGTCAAAATACGAGTCAAGCAAGACACAGGTTGAGTTAACAAAGTCCTCTTCAAGACTTCATTCTGTCTGAAAATGACTTTGGAATAAAGTCGAAAATTTACAGTCTCAACCTGTGTCTTGCTTGATTCATATTTTGACTCTCAATATGTCCTATTTGGAATCTTTTTTTTTTTACTTTACTATATCAGTATATTTCTTAACTAGTATTACCGTGTCTTTGGTCGATAAAATTAAGTATGTTGTGACCCTGGATGTTTTTGTTCAAGTTTTTTAAGTGCAGTAATGCTTTTGATAAACTTTTTTCAGCCGACTGAATCATGGCGTTTTCTGTCCCATTGGTCATGTGACACCATTGTGATAACTATAGAACGTCAAGTATCGTATGAACTCTCTTCTATGAAATAAATCAGTTGTAAATTCTGGTAAAGTATCTCGGAAGAAGATGTGTGACGTAAATTTTTCAACAAGTAATCTTTCGCATGTTATAATTATTTTGATGATATCGATACAAACCAATCGATAAATATTGGCAATCAAGAGGAGTCGGTATAACAATCGATACTAAATACCAATGATGAAGTGTAATAGTTTTACAATGGATGATAATTAATTTTTTAAAGATTCCGTAAAAACGTGTGTGTTTTGTTTGCTCTGCATATATTTGAAGATCAGTTGTATATTTTGGACAGCTTTGGGCTTTTAAACCGCGGTTCCTTGCCGCGTTCTTGGCTACATTGGAACGCATATTCAATTTCAAAATGCCCTTCCCGCTTTATATTTTCAAGCGATTGTTTTGAATTGTAATTTGATACTCAGATGCAGAGTGAAATTTGGTATTCAAAATATCAAGTGAATATAAACATGCAACGAACTCTCCGAAGACACAAATCGACGCGAAAACGAAAGGACTTGAATTTGTTGCGATGTGTTCGCTTTGGAATTGAATTTCTCTCTTGGTAAGTGCGTATTTTCGCCATTATCATAACACATCCATCCATTAGTATCTTGCTGTCTTGCAATGTGTTTCCCTAAGGATAACTTTAGGCGATTAAAGCTTTAACACTTGCCGTTCGTCGGCGAATATTTTATTGTGAAGCAGGAAGTTCAACTTTGGTTAAATTTCGCGTTAGACTTAGTATAATAACGGTTGTGATAGTTTTCCTTATCCTTGAATTACTAAAGGAGTCGAGATTTAAAGCAGACAATCGCTTTTGAAGAATAATTTGATGTTATTTTGATTTCTGTAACGATTAACGAAATTGACAAATTGTTCGACAATGTAGCAATATTATTAGAACTTTACATTCACAAGCACATTGTCATTGAAAACCCGAACGATTCGTCGTTCTCTTTCTCTCATGGGCAAAATGCTACATATAGATATAGTACCATGCATAGTAGTTCTTGATATGCTCACCATTTAAACTTAAAAAACTGGTAAAATCCGTTTTAAAATTGTGCTGAAATTATGTCATACCATAGGCAGCCCAATGGCGAATGGTTTTATTTGAAGTAAAAATGTACACTTTGATGAAATTCACACATATGTCATTTATTTACATGCTAATATACTTAAATCCTGTTACTTACAACGGGTGACTTGCGTGTCTGACAAGGCAATGTAGGTAGCTATTATATAGATTACCAGTAGTATTATTATATACACAAGCGCCAGATATGCATGGGAGGTATGCTGCAATTTCATTGGTTGGCTACTAGACAGATATTAGCTCATATCTGTCTAGTAGAGAAAGTAAACAAAATGGCCGAAAGATTTGGGGAGTTGAGTGAAATAGAAATCCAAGCTTTAGATGATAATAGCACACCAAAATACACCGAAAGGGCGAAAAAGTTTGTGTATATAATAAAACAGTTATTCTGCTCACTCTCGTCGTATAAGGTCGATAGCCAACTCGGCGCTACACGCCTCGTCAGCTATCAGCTCATATACAACTCGAGTTCACAGAATAACTGTTAATTATAAGTAACAGGATTTAAGTATATTAGCATGTAAATAAATGACATATGTGTGAATTTCATCAAAGTGTACATTTTAACTTTAAATAAAACCATTCGCCATTGGCCTGCCTATGGTCATACAATCAACCTAAATTTTGCTACCTTCATTTGAATTCAAATTTTGACTATACTAGATACTAAAGATTTAAAACTGGTCACCTCAGATTCATTTGTCGAAACACCTTTTAAGACTTGGTTTTTTCGTTCTTAATAACAAACAGAATTGATCAAAAAGAGATTAATCTGACTCGACCAGTTTTAAATTATAGTTGTTTTAAGGAACTATTTTCACTGAATGCAATCTTTACAAATCTTTCCTTATTTTGTAGAAGGTCTATTTGTGTTTCTGAATGGCATCATCTGTAGTTCAGGGAGCAGGATTCGACGAGAACCGTTTTGATGGTCCTGTAAGCGATAACTTCAAATGCACGATATGTTTTAATGTCCTCAACGACCCGAAGAGTTGTCAGAACAACCAACATTATTTCTGCAACGCGTGTATCCATCAATACGTTCAGAATTACTCCCAGACTTGTCCTGAATGTCGACAGGAATTGACGGTGGAAACGTTGGTCACACCTCCCAGGATCTTGTTGAATTGTATTTCAGAGCTTCGCATCAAATGTGATCACGTTGAACGAGGTTGTACCGCCAGAGTTCAACTTGAAAAACTTAAAAATCATCTCGAAGAATGTGGCTTTGCTCCGGTTACGTGTGCGAATGATGGTTGCGACGCGGTTGTCAACAAACGGGACAGAATTCACCACGAGACTGAACTATGCGAGTTTCGCAGAGTGCAATGTCATAATTGCGAAGAATTGAGAAATGAGATGTCGAGATTGAGCGATTTGAGCAAAACTACTGGTCAAAAACTAGTAAAGTTGGAAGGAAAGCTGGATCAAGTCACAACACGGCTTCATACTATCGAAGGGAATGTTATGAGCAAAATTACCGGGTTAAATTTGGCACATGAACGAGGAAATGCGAGCGTTGTTCAGGAAATTACCGAGATCAAGGGTTTTATGAACGATGTGTTGCATAAGCTAGGTGATATCAACAATGTTGTCTGCCAAATGCAAGCCTCGGGAACCCAGGAGAAAGAAAAAAATCATAAAGAAGACGAGCGAGTTGGTGGACCAGTCGTTGCTTTGGGTGATAAGGAAGAAATATTTGCTGCATTAGAAAGGCAAAACCTGCAAGAGAACCTGCTATCGTTGGAAAAGGTGCAACAAAAAAAAGCACAGGTAGAACGGTTTTATAGACTGAAAGAGCTATCATAGATTTTTTATTCTGGTGTTATACTTTCCATTTAGGCTGGATCTCTTCGTGAAAGCCGCAAGGGCACTACTGGGAAAAGCGAGGAACCATCTGTTCTCGATGGGCCGCCTGTTCTGGAAGATTATTATAGTGACGAAGATGATAATTCAGACGACGATTCTCGGAATGTTTTAGCAAGACTCCCAGCGAAAGAACGAAAAGAAACACCGATAAAAGATAACGAAAATGGCGCCGGAAATTTTAAGCCAATTGCCGGCGCTGCCGTCGCTCAATCTTCGCTTAGATCCACTCCTCTGAAAAGCAAACTATTTAACCCTAAGAAGAGTAAAAAGATTAAAAAAGGCACGCAAGTGATAGTTCGGCTCAATATCAATAATCATGTTCGGAAAAAGCTAGGAATGGTTCAATATGTCGGAACTTTACCTTTTGACAGAAAGAAAACTCATGTTGGAGTCGAACTGTACTCTGCAGGTACGTTTTTTACATTTTTTACGTTTATTAGAAAAGAAGAATATCTCAGTAGCTTCTAAAGTTTAACCTGAATATTATCTTTTGCATTTAAACTTTTTCCTTGTAGACGGTGATAACGATGGCGTGTTTGATGGGAAACGATATTTCCAGTGGTAAGAATGACGAGTTTCAATATATTAATAATATATTTTTTCAAAGCATGTTTATACTACCATTGTATATTAGCATGTGTCCTTGGTCGCCGATAGAATTAGCTGTCTGTGCGACCCTTGATGTTTTTGTTTAAGTTTTTCAAGTGCAGTAATGCTTTTGATAAACCTTTTTCAGCCGACCGAATCATGGCGTTTTCTGTCCCATTGATGATGTGACACCACTAGCTTTTCCCACCACAAAAAAAGGTGTACGCAAAGATTTCGAATTATGAGAAATCAGTTGTGATTTCTGGTAAAGTATCTCGGAAAAAGATGCATTCGGACACGTGTGTCCTAAATTTTTCTACAACATTTAACATTTTGTTTACTATGTACATCAATATAAACCAATCGATAAATATTGGCAATCAAGAGCAGTCGGTATAACAATGTTCGTCAGATTATCGTCTATCGAACAATCGATACTATCTATATACCAATGATGAAGTGTAATAGTTTTACAATCGATGATAATTGATTTTTTAAAGATTCCGTGAAAACGTTTGTGTTTTGTTTGCTCTGCATATATTTGAAGATCAGTTGTATATTTTAAACAGCTTTGAGCTTTTAAACCGCGGTTCCTTGTCGTTCTTGGCTACATTGGACCGCATATTCAATTTTAAAATGCCCTTCCCGCTTAATATTTTCAAGCGATGGTTTTGAATTTGTAATTTAATACTCAGAGGCAGAGTGAAATTTGGTATTTAAAATATCAAGTGAATATAAACATGCGAGGATTTCTCCGAAGACACAAATCGACGCGAAAACGAAAGGGCTTGAATTTGTTGCGATGTACTCGCTTTGGAATTGAATTTCTCTCTTGGTAAGTGTGTATTTTCGCCAATATCATAACACTTTCATCCCCAGCAGTATCTGGCTGTCTTGCAGTGTGTTTTCCTAAGAATAACTTTAGGCGATTAATGTTTGAACACTCAGCGTTCGTCAGGTTATATTTTATTGAGAAGTCGGAAGTTTAAACTTTGATTAAATTTCGTCTTAGACTTAGCATAGCGATCTCATAATTTTTTCAACCTCGGAATTACTAAAGTGAGTCAAAATTTAAAGTAGACAATGGTCGTTTTCACACTAGCGACGCAGAGACGCATAATGCGTCTGGACGCATCTTCAATATTTTTTGACTGGTTTTTCGTCTTCAGTATAAAGACGGACAACAGACGCATTATCCGTCTAGACGAACTATCGTTGGTTATGCGTCTCTGAGACGAAAAACTGAACATTAATCGTCTAGACGTATCATGCGTCTGTTTTCCGTCTTTATACTGAAGACGAAAAACCAGTCAAAAAATATTAAAGACGCATGCATTATGCACGCGTCCAGACGCATTTTGTGGTTATTTTGACCCCTGTAACGAAATTGTTCGACAATATATTATTATTATTAAAACTTTGCATACAAGCACATTGAACACCTAAAATAATTTTGTGAACGGTCTTTGGTTCTTCCATCTGCAAAATTAAAATTAGAAAATTTGTTTATTAAATTCGTTTAAAATTTTATCTTGTATACATATATGTCACCCTGTTTATTACCATTCCTGCATTGCAAACAAGAATTCGCCTGGTTGATCTTGACAAATTTGGCTTTGGCTTTGTTCTGTAGATAATCTCTGCATTCTAAATGGCATCATCTGTAGTCCAGGGGGCAGGATTCGACGAGAACCGTTTCGATGGTCCTGTAAGCGATAACTTCAAATGCACGATATGTTTTAACGTCCTCAACGACCCGAAGAGCTGTCAGAAGAACCAACATTACTTTTGCAACGCGTGTATCCATCAATACGTTCAAGATTACTCCCAGACTTGTCCTGAATGTCGACAGGAATTGACGGTGGAAACGTTGGTCACACCTCCCAGGATTTTGTTGAATTGTATTTCAGAACTTCGCATCAAGTGTGATCACGTCAAACGAGGTTGTGCCGACCGAATTCAACTTGGAAAACTTAAAAATCATCTCGAAGAATGTGGTTTTGCTCCGGTTACGTGTGCGAATGATGGTTGCGACGCGGTTGTCAACAAACGAGACAGAATTCACCACGAGACTGAACTATGCGAGTTTCGCAGAGTGCAATGTCATAATTGCGAAGAATTGAGAAATGAGGTGTCGAGATTGAGCGAGAATTTGAGTAAAACTACTGCTGAAAGGCAAGCAAAGTTGGAGGGAAAGCTAGATCAGGTCACAACACGGCTTCAGAATATCGAAGGGAGTGTGTACGCGTTCAATATCGCACAGAGCAGTGAAAATGCGAGACTTGTTCAGGAAATTTTCGAGATCAAGGATGTTATGAACGATATGTTATATAAACTGAGCAATATCAACAATGTTGTCTGCCAAATCCAAGCCTCGGAAAAGCAGAAGAAGCAAAAAAATGATGAAGAAGACGCACAGGTCGAGGACATGACTGTTACAACACTGAAGCAACGGTGGAACGAGCCTAAAGAAGAGAAGAAAGTGGTTGAAAAGAAAACACAAGAATTAAGAAGTAATGATACCTGTAATGAGGTTGGTTGGCTCTACTGGACCTCTAGGAAGAACAGTTTAGAACTGATAGAGCTATCCATTATAAATAAAGTTAGTTTGGTTTAGGTTTCCTCCTGTAGTAACACTGGATCAATAAGAGATGATCCTTACTGGACCTCTAGGAAGAACAGTTTAGAACTGATAGAGCTATCCATTATAAATAAAGTTAGTTTAGTTTAGGTTTCCTCCTGTAGTAACACTGGATCAATAAGAGATGATCCTTACTGGACCTCTAGGAAGAACAGTTTAGAACTGATAGAGCTGTGCAGCATAAATAAAGTTAGTTTAGTTTAATTAGGTTTCCTCCTGTAGTAACACTGGATCAATAAGAGATGATCCTTACTGGACCTCTAGGAACAGTTCAAAACTGATAGAGCTATTCAGTATAAATAAAGTTAGTTTAGTTTAGGTTTCCTTCTGTAGTAACACTGGATCAATAAGAGATGATCCTTACTGGACCTCTAGGATGAACAGTTTAGAACTGATAGAGCTATCCAGTATAAATAAAGTTAGTTTAGTTTAGGTTTCCTCCTGTAGTAACACTGGATCAATAAGAGATGATCCTTACTGGACCTCTAGGAAGAACAGTTTAGAACTGATAGAGCTATCCAGTATAAATAAAGTTAGTTTAGTTTAGGTTTCCTCCTGTAGTAACACTGGATCAATAAGAGATGATCTTTACTGGACCTCTAGGAAGAACAGTTTAGAACTGATAGAGCTATCTAGTATAAATAAAATTAGTTTAGTTTAGGCTTCCTCCTGTAGTAACACTGGATCAATAAGAGATGATCCTTACTGGACCTCTAGGAAGAACAGTTTAGAACTGATAGAGCTATCCAGTATAAATAAAGTTAGTTTAGTTTAGGTTTCCTCCTGTAGTAACACTGGATCAATAAGAGATGATCCTTACTGGACCTCTAGGAAGAACAGTTTAAAACTGATAGAGCTATCCAGTATAAATAAAGTTAGTTTTAGTTTAGGTTTCCTCCTGTAGTAACACTGGATCAATAAGAGATGATCCTTACTGGACCTCTAGGAAGAACAGTTTAGAACTGATAGAGCTGTCACAGATTTTTTGATTTTACTGTTTTATTTACCATTCAGTACAAATCTCTTGGTGAAAGCTCTGAGGGCACTACCAAGGAAAGCATGAAGCCTCCTCTTTATCCTAAAATGCAGGAGTTTTGTGAAAGGGAATCTCTGTCTGAGAACGATGAATCAGATGGCGAATCTTCGTCTGTCAAATGTGACGAATCTTTGACTGCTTCAGGCAGAACCGCGTACAATAAAGAAGAAAAAACGTTGATGGAAAACAAAACAGATGACAGTGATGATCGGCAGGGTTCAACCGACACCGGAGCAATGCATTCCAACAATATAGGATGCCAACAAAATCCGGAGGATTATATTTTAGAAGATTTCAACCCGAATCACTTCGCTTGTTTCGAGGGAAGCTCAACTCCTAGGAAAGGCTCGCTATCCGCACCGCCTAGCAATGGTGAAGGGGTTAAATTAGGCACAAAAGTGCTGGTTTGGCTCAAAAAAGGCTATAGATCCACTGGAATAGTTCGATATGTTGGAACTTTACCTCCGCCAATATCGAAGATTTGCGTTGGAGTAGAACTCTTTTTTGGAGGTACTTTCTAGTTTATACTTCTTCGATTATATTTTTGTGATTTTAAAAGTATTTCATTCGACGAGCATGATTAAAAAAATACACAGTTTGCTACTAAAGTTGGGTCTGAATATTAACTTATGCAATTAAACGTCTTCCTTGTAGTCGGTGAGAACGATGGCGTGTTTAATGGGCAACGATATTTCCAGTGGTAAGACTGCAATGAGTTTTATAATATATCAGGGGTCGGTTGTATCAAGCCCGTTTAGCTTGAACGGTGGATAAGTTCAAAATAGAAATCAAGTCTATCGTTTTATTCAACAAGCAAACAAAATGTTTTTAGCCTTAGTACAAAGATACTGGTTACAACTACATATTCAGTGAATAATATTCAAGTTGACTCATTCAAGAGAGATGTAAGAGTGTTATTTAGTTTGACTTATCCACCGTTTAAGCTAAACGGGCTTAATACAACCGGCCCCTGGTTTTTTAGGCATGTTTATATTACCATCGTATTACCATAACTCCGTGTCGTTGGTCGATAGACCATGGATGTTTTTCATAGCTAATTTTAAGAATTTCTTATCGCTGTACATATTATCACAATAGTATAGTGGAGAGGGGGACATGATAAAAACAGTCCTAACTGGAAATCGATGATTTGAAGATGGGGAAACTGCAGGGGTCTGCAGGACCTCTTGCGGAAAATTTTCTGTATTTTTGAGTCCCTATGACTTCATTTCCAGCATTTGAAGGGACAATTACTTAGTGGTCTGTTGAGAAAACACCATTTATCACTGCACATTTCTCATTTTATCACTGCACATTCTACTTTTATCACTGCACAAATTGGTTATCACTGCACACTAAAATTAGGTATGATGTTTTTATTCAATATGGCCATAATGCTTTTGATCAACCTTTTTCAGTCAACCGAAGCATGGCGTTTTTCGTCCCATTGATAAAGTGACACCGATAAAGCGAAACGTATACATTGATGTGTCGTTTGAGCCTTCTTCGAAGAAATAAATCAGTTGTAGTTTCTGGTAAAGTATATTCCGGAAAAAGATGTGTCCTAAATTGTTCAACAACAAGTAATCTTTCGCAAATTATATTTTGATGACATCGAAATAACTCTGACCAATCATTAATGGATATTGGTAATGAAAATCACTCGGTATAACAATGTTCGTGATTATCGGCGATTGAACAATCGATACTAGATACCAATGATGAAATGTAATAGTTTTACAATCGATGATAATCGTGTTTTGTTTGCTCTGCATATATTTGAAGATTTTTGTTAATTTTAGACTGCTTTGAGATTCTAAACCACGTTTCGTTTTATAAGAAGCTCTTGAAAGAAGTTTCCCGCTGCTCTCTACCTTTGGTAATATAAAAACAATACCCTCGAAATATAGCATAAAGCAACGTACTTTTTTCACAATAATGGTAAGGCTGACTTTTATTCAAAACTTGCTAACTCTTGTTTACATTTCATCAGACTTGATAAACCAATTTACAATCAAAGTCTTCATACAAACACAGAAATTAACTAGATTTTCATAAGTCATTAGTCGTTACCACATTAATTATCAATTTCTAATCTACCTGCATTTCTAACTAGGATGAACTATTGTATTGTCTTAAATTTTCAGGTATGAAATCAGTTTATATTTGAATTACTACGCTTTGCTGCCCATTCAAACGAGTTGCTCAGAGAATTAATACTGTCACTTGTATTTTTAATTCATCAAAAATACAGCATAATTTGTACTGTTTTTCTTTGTTATTCAGGAAAAAATAACTTAATTTGGTTGTAACAATGTTGTTACAACGAGTTAACCTAAGTTGTAAATAAAAGTTGTATAGAAATGCTAGTTGTAACCATATTTTGGGGTGAAGAACAGCATCTTTCAACTCAAATCAATTAGTTACAATTTCCATGCAACTAACTGAATTGAAGAATCTTCAACAATTGAGAATTATTTAGCTTAATGTTCATGCAGAATAACTCGTTTGAATTTGGCCAATGGACGACTTGCGCTTTAGACTAATTTCTTACCTCGGCAATAAAAAGGACATTTTCTGAAAGATCTTACTTAAATTAGTGCAAATGCAAAGTTTGGCTGCGAAATTTTGTAAAATACGGAAAATATAGCCACGCGAAGTTGTCGATTTTTGTATACTTTTGTATTACGTGCGGAAATGTGTAACTAAATTAGTTACACGCTTCCGGTCGTAATACAAAAGTATACAAAATTTGCCAACTTCGCGTGGCTATATTTTCCGTATTTTACAACATTTTGCAGCCAAACTTTGCATTTGCACTAATTTAAGTAAGATCTTTCTAGCTGCCATGATTTATTTTCTTCTAGTTACTTCGATCAAAAATTAGTTTAAAGCGCAAGTCGTCCATTAGTTTTCAGTCAAGTTATCATTAGTGATGGCAGTTAATTTGGTGTTTTATATACTAAGTTTTATGCATAGATTATTACGTTTTATGATATGGAAGATTATCAAAAGGCATTAAACTCGAGATTTAGCAAAACTGAGGACTTTTTGAAAAACACTCAAAATTGTAGCTGCAGGTTGGGCGCCTGAGAATTGCTGGGTGCGAGCCTGATTGGACTTCAAGAATATACTAAAATGGGGGACTCCGTTGATGCCACTAGCGCTTGCGGTCGCAGCCTCTCTTTTGACACGTGACATCACATCGGCATTCTTCATGTGGGTATCAGCTGCTGACCAGTCAATACCACAGGCCTCGGCAGCTTCTTGCAATACGTCTGAGTGGTCAATTCTCTTGGCATGACGAAAGTAATCGTTGAACAGGATCTCAGCCAGTTCATTTTGCTTTGAGACCGATTTGGCATAATCCAAGAGGCAATGAGATTTGAGGGTGTTGACAATCATACGATCATAGTTGAATTTTAAACCCTGAAGAATTATATCCAGAATTATCAATATTGAGTTCCTATTTTATACAGGTGGAAACCTAAACTAAACTAACTTTATTTATACTTGATAGCTCTATCAGTCCTAAACTGGTCTTCCTAGAGGTCCAGTAAGGATCATCTCTTATTGATCCAGTGTTACTACAGGAGGAAACTTCAACTAAACTAACTTTATTTATACTGGATAGCTCTATCAGTTCTAAACTGTTCTCCCTAGAGGTCCAGTAAGGATCATCTCTTATTGATCCAGTGTTACTACAGGAGGAAACCTAAACTAAAGTAACTTTATTTATACTGGATAGCTCTATCAGTTCTAAACTGTTCTTCCTAGAGGTCCAGTAAGGATCATCTCTTATTGATCCAGTGTTACTACAGGAGGAAACCTAAACTAAACTAACTTTACACCAAACTGACCATTTTCTCAGCCATTTGAGATAAAGGCCCTTTTCCACTTCGTGCACTTTCAGCCGCTTGTGGCCCATACTTCCTGCCAAGATATTCGAGAACTGGAACTCCTTCGTCAGGTGTAGAAGAATTAAGAAAGAACGGCAGCCAATTCACTTCAAAGGAAACATCTCCAGAGAAACCCTCCATGGCTTCTTCAAGGTGACGTTTCCCCACCCAACACCTGCATTCAAAGATTCAAAGATTACGATGCTCTGTCTAATGTCAGATGATTTTACTCATCAGTGGAAGAGTACTGTCAGTTAATAAGTTAACAAAACTATCTGTCAGTGTCTCTTGTTAACCCATTAGCTTGCAATGCACCCAGATATGGTCTACTTTAGTATTTTACTCTGTCTAATGTCAGATGATTTTACTCATCAGTGGAAGAATACTGTCAGTTAATAAGGTAACAAAACTATCTGTCAGTGTCTCTTGTTAACCCCCATTAGCTTGCAATGCACCCAGATGTGACCTACTTAAGTATTTTACTCTGTCTAATGTCAGATGATTTTACTCATCAGTGGAAGAGTACTGTCAGTTAATAAGTTAACAAAACTATCTGTCAGTGTCTCTTGTTAACCCATTAGCTTGCAATGCACCCAGATATGGTCTACTTTAGTATTTTACTCTGTCTAATGTCAGATGATTTTACTCATCAGTGGAAGAATACTGTCAGTTAATAAGGTAACAAAACTATCTGTCAGTGTCTCTTGTTAACCCCATTAGCTTGCAATGCACCCAGATGTGACCTACTTAAGTATTTTACTCTGTCTAATGCCAGATGATTTTACTCATCAGTGGAAGAGTATTGTCAGTTAATAAGTTAACAAAACTATCTGTCAGTGTCTCTTGTTAACCCATTAGCTTGCAATGCACCCAGATGGTCTGACCTACTTTAGTATTTTACTTTGTCTAATGTCAGATGATTTTACTCATCAGTGGAAGAGTACTGTCAATTAATAAGTTAACAAAACTATCTGTCAGTGTCTCTAGTTAACTCATTAGCTTGCAATGCACTCAGATGTGACCTACTTTAGTATTTTACTCTGTCTAATGTCAGATGATTTTACTCATCAGTGGAAGAGTACTGTCAGTTAATAAGTTAACAAAACTATCTGTCAGTGTCTCTTGTTAACCCATTAGCTTGCAATGCACCCAGATGTGACCTACTTTAGTATTTTACTTTGTCTAATGTCAGATGATTTTACTCATCAGTGGAAGAGTATTGTCAGTTAATAAGTTAACAAAACTATCTGTCAGTGTCTCTTGTTAACCCATTAGCTTGCAATGCACCCAGATGTGACCTACTTTAGTATTTTACACTGTCTAATGTCAGATGATTTTACTCATTAGTGGAAGAGTACTGTCAGTTAATAAGTTAACAAAACTATCTGTCAGTGTCTCTTGTTAACCCATTAGCTTGCAATGCACCCAGATATGGTCTACTTTAGTATTTTACTCTGTCTAATGTCAGATGATTTTACTCATCAGTGGAAGAGTACTGTCAGTTAATAAGTTAACAAAACTATCTGTCAGTGTCTCTTGTTAACCCATTAGCTTGCAATGCACCCAGATGTGACCTACTTTAGTATTTTACTCTGTCTAATGTCAGATGATTTTACTCATCAGTGGAAGAGTACTGTCAGTTAATAAGTCAACAAAACTATCTGCCAGTGTCTCTTGTTAACCCATTAGCTTGCAATGCACCCAGATGTGACCTACTTTAGTATTTTACACTGTCTAATGTCAGATGATTTTACTCATCAGTGGAAGAGTACTGTCAGTTATTAAGTTAACAAAACTATCTGTCAGTGTCTCTTGTTAACCCATTAGCTTGCAATGCACCCAGATGTGACCTACTTTAGTATTTTACTTTGTCTAATGCCAGATGATTTTACTCATCAGTGGAAGAGTAGTGTCAGTTAATAAGTTAACAAAACTATCTGTCAGTGTCTCCTGTTAACCCATTAGCTTGCAATGCACCCAGATGTGACCTACTTTAGTATTTTACTCTGTCTAATGTCAGATGATTTTACTCATCAGTGGAAGAGTATTGTCAGTTAATAAGTTAACAAAACTATCTGTCAGTGTCTCCTGTTAACCCATTAGCTTGCAATGCACCCAGATATGGTCTACTTTAGTATTTTACTCTGTCTAATGTCAGATGATTTTACTCATCAGTGGAAGAGTATTGTCAGTTAATAAGTTAACAAAACTATCTGTCAGTTGCTCTTGTTAACCCATTAGCTTGCAATGCACCCAGATATGGTCTACTTTAGTATTTTACTCTGTCTAATGTCAGATGATTTTACTCATCAGTGGAAGAGTACTGTCAGTTAATAAGTTAACAAAACTATCTGTCAGTGTCTCCTGTTAACCCATTAGCTTGCAATGCACCCAGATATGGTCTACTTTAGTATTTTACTCTGTCTAATGTCAGATGATTTTACTCATCAGTGGAAGAGTACTGTCAGTTAATAAGTTAACAAAACTATCTGTCAGTGTCTCTTGTTAACCCATTAGCTTGCAATGCACCCAGATGTGACCTACTTTAGTATTTTACTCAGTCTAATGTCAGATGATTTTACTCATCAGTGGAAGAGTACTGTCAGTTAATAAGTTAACAAAACTATCTGTCAGTGTCTCTTGTTAACCCATTAGCTTGCAATGCACCCAGATGTGACCTACTTTAGTATTTTAAGATGGAAAACCTCAAATTTCCCCTACGGGAGGAAAGATTTCAGTGAATATTAAAAATTACGAGTTTTAAATAAACCATTCCTTACCAAGGTCATATGGTATCAGAAGTTACATTAACGACAATGCAAGGTTTGTCCTCTGCCATCGATAAATCGTTTCAAAAATGCCCTTTTTCGATGCAAATTTCGAGATGAAATATTCTGGCGTCTTGCAAAAAATTATGCCAATGTTTACACTTTGCATTCTCCAAATTCGAAATTACGTCATGATATACAGATCGGTCATTCTCCAGTTTATATTGAAGATCAGTGGTGGATTGGATTAAGTAGTGGATTAAATGGATTAAAGTCACCATTTGTCATTTTTCATGCAACTTGCATTATAATTCTACTTTTGGTAGATTTAATTTTGGTCACAACGTTTCTTACACTTACCATTTGAAGACGTTACTAATTTACATCGATTAAAAGGTATTGCACTTTAATTATAAACTATCAAGTTTTAAAAAAGGCTGTAATTTTATTGCTTTTTGTTTTGTTTAGTTGCAAACCATCTCGAAATTATCAGACATGAAAGCAAACTGGGCGAAAATCGTTTTTAAATCATGGGTAACCACTTCTGGTAACGTTGACTTATAACCAAGTTGTTGTATGTGTCCAGTTTAACATTTGAGATCATTGGAAAGTCGGATCGTTACGATGATAGAGCGATGTGAAACGACTCCAAGGCGCTGGTCTCCGATTATGACACGATCCACGTTTCCTTCTCGTTGTTGACTTGATCACGTGCCGTTGTGTTTTGCTGAGCATCGAAAGTTTTAGTGAAAATTGTGTTGTCGTGTTTCGTGTTCAATTTCCACACGATTTCCTGCCTTTTTGGAATGGAGAAACTTTATAGGCGATCGAGAAGGAACAGCTCATGATATGAGGGTAGTTTTGCCGGGATTTTACGCGTAGTTACCTCGCAAAAACTGCACCTTTGGCGATGTCTGCCTCACCGGAAAACGAATCCACAAAAGCATACCGTCAAATGCTCCACGAATATCGTCGCAAATTCCCCGAGATTCCGGAGAAAGATCTGCTGAATATCGTTAAAAAGGTGCGCCGTTTGTGCATGGAGTTACTTCTTAATATACCTGGGTTTGCGTCTGTCAAATTAAGTTCATTTCCCATTGAAAGTCCATGTTTTTATCTGGGGGAAGAAATATTATTGTTTATTTTGTATACAACTTTGGGTTCCTAATGCTTTGTCTCTGACTCTCTGCGAGTATTTCGACGCGATTTTTCTAGAATTGCTTCAAAAAACATCGAAACTTGCGGTTTTCCGCGGGGAAATACCATCACAAGGAGTTATATTTCAAATTTACGCCAATTTTAATTTTAAATCCGTCAGCAAAACAAACCCTCTCAAGACTTGAAGTTCGAGTATTCGCTTCGACGAAGTGTTTACACATATTTTGCTTTGAATTTCTTCAGCAATCGGTTCGTTTTATTGCCTGCTTTAAACGGTGTTTATAAACACAGTATATTGATCATTTGATGAAGCGTTCTTGACAATTGAACCTGATTTATATGACAAACATCAGTCAATTACAACAACTTCGTATATCTGCCCTTGAAATGTGATATGCATAAATATATTGTATTGAAAACATTTGAGAAATTCACCACAACCAGAATCGTTTTAGCAAGTTCATCTTCATCACTTAAACCTTGAGTATATTCCTGTTGGAAGCAACTCACTCTATCCTAAATTACCTCAAAAAACTTTCCTAACTCTTTGAGCAAAATAAGTCAATTCTTTTGGTGTTATTAAATCACAATTACCAAAGCTCACTTAACACTGCAGTTAATTTATTGGCACAGCATGGCAAAAATTGGTACCCACATGCAATTTTATTAGCGTCTAGACTACGGATGCAAAGATCTGCGTCAGATGAAATGGTGCGATTTGCCCATTTTAGTCAAGCAGTTCCGATAAATCAAGTGTAGTGTATTAATCACGCTGTACTGAGGATCTCTGAGATATAGGCAAACAGTTGTTCCATATTCAGTGAGAATATAATGACCAGTCATTGTATCTCAAATTAAAAAAATTATCAGCATAATCTTTGCACATGTATGGGGAGATATTCAAGTGAAAAATTTGGGGATTCTTTATTTTCCCCTTGCAATATTTAGGACCATATATGCTATGGTCACCAATTTGGCATTTTGATTGCTGAAATAAGTCTTTTTTCTTCTCAAGGAATTAAGTTGATATTTTTATTGAAATTTCTTATTTAACTAGTTATTTCAATAAATATATCAGACTCTTGTGGGTAAGGTCATCATAGCTGGTACTTTTTGCCTTCTGGGCTGGTTGTATAACACACTTTAACTATACACATTGCATAGAGACTTTAATTTAAATCCTTGCTAACTCTGAAATACACAGCTCTCATTCGAAGCTTAACTACAGTTAAAAGTTAACTAGTTTTTTATACAGGTTCATACATTTCAAGTAAAATTAAACACACTTCAAATTGCATTGTATTTTTCCATCAACTGTTCCTGGCTTGAATTTGAAGTGTGTATAATTCCACTCAAAATCAAGACTCTTTAAACCTCTAGAATTTACCTACATTGAGTGAAGTGCCAAAAATCATAATTGATTTACACTTTGCATAGTTAAATCCTAGTTAACTCTTAAATACACAACTGTCATTGGCCAATTCTGTCCTTAGATACAGTTAAAAGTTAACTAGTCTTTTATACAACTGGGCCCTGATAGTTTAAAGCAACATATATTGAATGCACCTGAGATTCTTTCCGCAAATGGCGTTCTTTCATTGTAATTTTGATGTGGTCTTGTTTGAAGACATTTTGTTTTCGTTTCTCTAGTATGCATCTGATCCGGAAACTTGTGACCTGATGCTCCGGCGTGAAAGTGACAAGGGGATGTACGGAAGTTCGCCGACGGCAGATCCGGTGCTACCAGCCGATCCCCTCGGCAATCTGCGGCTGACCGCAGGAAGGAACAGGGTGGAGAGTACCCCTCCGTTTGACCTTCCTCGTTCTAACTCCACAGGTAGTGCTGGGTCAAGCCATTCTAGTGGACGTTCGACCCCGGTAAATCCTATACCCACACCCTGGATAGCTCCCCCACGATATCCAACCCCCGCCCCATTGCGGCAGATTACCCCACCCATGGCACTCCCACCTGGTACCCTATTCATCAATGGTAACTTCTATCAACCATATCGCCCGAGGCCCGGTCCGCCAGGTCAAGTCTCGCCCATTGACAATCAAATGGGGACCCCTTCGACCCTCCCAAGAGTAACCAATAGTAGAACTTCTTCCAATGCCGCGTATCCGATCTACAGTACAAATGGTTATTTTCAAACAAGTGTTGCTGGTACCCCGGCACAGAATCAACCAACAACCATGGTTTCATCTAAAACTGTTGGACCAGGTGTATCCATTCCTACAAGCTTTTTCACCCCCACAAGACAGACACAGGGATATCCAACCATGTCATATGCTACAACGCCACCTTACGATCAAAACTACATGCAAGGTACAAAGTGATGTCTCTTTTTTTTTAAATTAAATTTTAATGCAATGCACCCAGATGTGGCCTACTTTAATATTTTACTCTGTCTAATGTCAGATGATTTTACTCATCAGTGGAAGAGTACTGTCAGTTAATAAGTTAACAAAACTATCTGTCAGTGTCTCTTGTTAACCCATTAGCTTGCAATGCACCCAGATGTGACCTACTTTAGTATTTTACTCATCAGTGGAAGAGTGGTCATTAACAAACTATCTTTCATGAACCTGTGAACTTATAATGTAAATTATATTTACGACCAGGGACATACCGAATGGCAACACCAAACCAGCCAAATGCAGCTGGATACAGGACAACTGGTTCCTCCAATCAACCGCAGGACCATAGAATGTTACTTACAGATGAACCGAGGGTATCAAACGCAGGCATAACACCAGGTCGGGTTGCTGGAAGCGCTGCCCAAATGGACACAAGATTTCAAACAAAGCCTCACCGAAATTTAAAAAATCCCCTCCACGTGCAAACAAGCCCCGGCGTTATCACCCCTGAGATGTCAAGAAAGTTCAGTGGTCCCAATGAACACCCAGATGATTTGGAGAAGGTGCTAGGTGGTATGGCAATTTCGCATCGACCTCCAGTAGCTAATGACGATTACATAAAAGGTTTGTAGAATTTTCACTTGAAATGTTTGCGGATGAACCTTATATGATGACTATTATCAGTGGCGTAGCCAGCCTGACGATTTTGTCCCGCTATGTAAATTTCCAGTTATTATGATTATTCATGTCTTTAGAAATCTATTGTTTTCACAGTTAGTAAACACCAAAATATTAGCATAGCGGGACAAATCGATAGGCTGGCTGTGCTACTGTCTATTATGCAAAAGGTTAATTGCTTTTTCAAATTGAAGCTGCTGTGGTAGTATAACAGATGAAAAAGCCTTTGAAGCATTTCTTTCACCCAAACACAGTCCCTGCTAAACTTTCATCTTTCATTCTCCAGCCTGTCTGTCTCAGCAGCAGAGAAGATTTGATGATCTTCAAAAGGTTAGGCTTCTATGAACTTTTGTGACCTTGTTGTCAGTGTTAATAAGTACTTGTCTTTATTGCAAAAACAATTCCTTTGTGGTCTGAAATTAATAATTATGTAGGATTTTGCCTTGTAATTAGACACAAAACAATGAATTGGTCAAATGATTTCTCCCTAAATTTTCTCACAAAACATTGTCAAATGTGTTGTATCTTGTAAGAAAACGAACAATTTCCCCACAAGTTTTGAAATATGTTCAGGCAAACCTATCATTTGAGGGCTTGTATTGTCTAAATATATTAGGTATTTGTCGTGTAGAAAGATTTTCATGTTTCAAAACTTTGGAAGGGGGGAATTACATAACTAATACAGAATAACCGCATCTGTAGACAACACCCTTTAGTCTGAAATCATCCTTTGTCAAGACTGCTTAACAACAGCCTTGTAGCTACAACCACTGACCTATTCTAGATAATATAGATCAGTGGCTACAACTCTTTAATTATATTTTACAGGAATATATACATCAAAAAGAAAGATTGGGTATGGTTATCAAAGATATCACGGAAAAAGATGGTGAAATTATGATGAAATTTCTAGTTGCACCTAATCCCACGGTAAAAATATATCTTAATTATTTAAAAATATCTTCATTACTGAGATTTTGGATTAGGGCAGGGTTAGGATTTGGTTTTGGATTTAGTTTCTGGTTGAAATTAGGGTCAGATTAACATCAGGATCAAGTTAAGGATTGGCAAGTCTTAGAATTAAAGTTAGGATTATGATGAGATTAAAGTTAGGATTATGATGAGATTAAAGTTAGGATTAGGATAAACTAGGATTAAAGTGAGGATTATCAATAAGATTCAAATTTAGGATCAGGGTCAGGGATAACTTTAGGATTACAATGAGATTGAAGGTAGGATTAGGATAAACCTGGATTAAAGTTAGGATTACAATGAGATGAACTTTTCTATAGGAATTGATTATAACTTATTATTTCTAGTAAGTGAACTTGTTTGTTATACAGAAGCTTCAAACTGAATACAAACCATTTCCACATTTTTTAGGACGGGGAAGTGGCAAAGCTCTCGGAAGAAAATGATATTTTGAAAAAATATATTGCTGATATATCGCAAAATATTGACAGGGTAGATAGTGGTCTAGGTATGTTAAAAAATTTCATTTGTTTGCGATGTGTGATTGTCAAGAAAACTCAATAGGAGACGTAATTTATTATTGCAAATTATTGCTCGTTTAAATGGTGAATCTCCCATCTTGTTCAATGGACCTTTTTCATAATGACGTCAAACGAGGAAAGTATGATGTTACACGAAGTTTGATTGGCTCGATAATTTTGTGGAGCCAATCAAATTTCGTGTAACATCGGACTTTCCGCGTTTGACGTCATTATAAGAAAGGTCTATTAAGAATCTTTTAAGATTTGATTAACTATCCAGTAATCACACTGAGATCAAAGGAAGTCTATTAATATTTATAGCTCTATGGTTGTAAGGCCTTGTAAAAATGTCTAAAAAGTAAAAATTAAGGGGGGAAACTACAGATTTGGAGCCAACTATAATCAGAGAGAAGCCTCAATTTAGAAATACTAAGATTAAAGCCAGGTTAAACCAAACCACAGGATATTTTAGAGTGCTTGAAAAAAATGCTATTAAATTGCTCTATCTTGTTTTTAAACAACCAACCATAGGTCACAGAATACCTATCAGGACGATTCCCCCCCCTGCCAATGTCTAAAATGGCACCATTTTGAATATTGGCAGGGGGGCGATTGCCTCTATTAACGCTACTTGCTAAGTGATGAATCACACTTAAGGAAAAAACCCAATAGAGTTGTCACATCTGATAGGTATTCTGTTTCCAAGGAGTTAATTCTAGCAAGCTCAGATAACAACAATACTTGTGGTATTGTATTGTAAGTTAATTTCAGTCATTTGATCTTACTGTAGCTCTTATACCTCCATTTGACTCAGATCTCCACGATACTCAAAGAATTGACAGGAAAGGTAAGGCAGAGAATAAAATTGAATACTTGGTGTGATATTTGAAGATTTTACAGTACAGTTGATTTATGATACAATATTGAAAATCTATGGGTGTATATGCATAGAGTTTTTAGCAAGATGTTCCAGATCAGCAAGTTTACTGACAACTTTGCGTAAAAAATAGTAGTTAAATTTGTTGCTCAAAAATAGTTTATTCTTATAGATTTTGACAGGTCACAAAGTGTACCTTGCCTTCATGTTGACCCAGGTGAGCTCATTTGAACTCAATAATTCCAATTCATTTTAATTTGTATTGAATGAAAAGGACGAAAACCGATTTTTGGTATCTTGTCATTCTAGTTCGACCCATGCCTCCACTTTCAAGACCCTTGTCCGAACACGATATGGTAGGAACTAGACCATTCTTCAACAACAATCAAAGTAAGTACATTAAACGTTTTCTTTAACCCTAGATAGCCCAGAAGTATGTGCATCCAGTTTCATATATTGCAGGCAGTGATATTTGCTTCCAAGTGTCACTGTCCAGTGTCATATATTGCAGTCAATGAAACACGCTTGCAAGTATGTGTGTCCAGTGTCATATATTGCAGTCAGTGACACACGCTTGCAAACATGTGTCTCCAGTGTTATATATTGCAGTCAGCAACACATGCTCATAAGTATGTGTCGAGTTTTTCAGTTCATGGTATTACAGTGACAAATGTTTGCAAGTATGTGTGTCCAGTTTCATATATTGCAGTCAGTGACAAGTATGTGTCCAGTTTAATACATTACAGTCAGTGACACACACTCACAAGTATGTGTCCAGTTTCGTACACTGCAGTCAGTGACACTCACTCACAAGTATGAGTCCAGTTTCATGTATAGTTATTACAATCAGTGAGAGCATGCATCGCTGACTGCAATATATGAAACTGGACACACATACCTCTGGGCTACCTACATTTTGACAGCTTCCAATAGACCCTTTTCAATACGACTACATCAAAATTCACAACTTCATCGTTTTCAACTTAGAGACATCCCAAATGTGATTATCATCTCCAAAAGACTGTATATTTTTAAACATAGCTCCTGGAAGTAAAAAACTTGCAATCCATTATGACTAAACTGTTTCTAATTTGAAAACAATGAAGTTGTTGTAGATGTTGTGTCAATGTTGAATACCACCATTTTGACAATTTAGAGCATGAAAGACCCATGATAGAAGACTGGAACTTTATCAATCCATCTATAATTGCAGATCCAACTCCACCAGATGAAAATAATGGGGAAGATGGTATGTATTATTTAATGTATATATAGTAAATCATTAGGTTTCCTCCTGTAGTAACACTTGATCAATGAAAGATGTTCCTTACTGGATCTCTAGGAAGAACAGTTTAGAACTGATAGAGTTATCCAGTATAAATAAAGTTAGTTAAGTTTAGGTTTCCTCCTGTAGTAACACTGAATCAATAAGAGATGATCCTTACTGAACCTCTAGAAAGAACAGTTTAGAACTGATAGAGCTATCAGGTTTCCGCCTGTAGTAACACTGGTTTAATTTTGTTTAGAAACCCAATGGAGTTGCCCAAGGTGTACCTTCCTCAACCACAACAGCTTAACGGTTTGTGAAATGTGCAGTAGTTCACGTAATTCTGTTAATATGCTGGAAAATTATTGAAAACAAATTTGCGAAAGTGCTAGAGAATTGTACATAAAGTTTGAATAACTTGCTTGCATTTTGCAATGCATGGATTGCCATGTATTTTAAATATGGGACTGTATATATTTTTACATAAATTAAAAATTGACAGAATACAACTACTAAAAAAATACATTTGAACTATTTAACTTACTCAACAAATTGAGGTACATAGGAGATATTCTGTATAAATTGTAACAAATTACATTTGAAAAATGTATGGTAAAGTGCAGAGTATGGTAGTTCCCAAACATAGTGGTCTAGTGTAGGTAGTATTTTACAATAAGGTGCCATGGTTTGTACCTGAACTACCTGAGAAAGATATCTTAAACGTGGTGGTCCAGTGTAGGTAGTATTCTACAATAAGCTGTCGTGGTTTGTATCTGAACTACCTGAGAAAGATATCTCAAACATGGTGGTTCAGTGTAGGTAGTATTCTACAATAAGCTGTCGTGGTTTGTGTCTGAACTACCTAAAAAAGATATCTCAAACATGGTGGTCCAGTGTAGGTAGTATTCTACAATAAGCTGTTGTGGTTTGTGTCTGAACTACCTGAGAAAGATATCTCAAATGTGGTAATCCAGTGTAGGTAGTATTCTACAATAAGCTGTCGTGGTTTGTGTCTGAACTACCTGAGAAAGATATCTCAAATGTGGTGGTTCAGTGTAGGTAGTATTCTACAATAAGCTGTCATGGTTTGTGTCTGAACTACGTGAGAAAGATATCTCAAACGTGGTGGTCTAGTCTAGGTAGTATTCTACAATCTACAATAAGCTGTCATGGTTTGTGTCTGAACCACTTAAAAAGTAGGTACTTCTGAAGTGTGATTGTCATACAAATCATTTTAAATACCAAATTTGTGCATAAACTTCTAGTGAAAGATTTTTCAAATTTCAAGAATATTCAGTTTCATCAAACTCACAAATTGATGGATCTGTTTCAAAAACATCAACAATCGTTTCAGACCATTCTGCAATGTTAGCATTTTCTACAATGTTGCTATTTCCATACAGCACAGGCTGGTGGTGTGAGATACCGTTAACATATTGTGCCAGTTCCCTGATTGGTCTTCCTTGATGCATATTTGACGCGTTTGTGTGATTATACTCCTGAATTCTTCGAAGCCATTCGTTCCAGTAGTATTCACATGTCTCTGGTCGAAGCCATATCACATCAGCAGGGCTGCCATCCAGGTAAGCCAAAACTATTAGCCCATGGTCTATCTACATGCAAAAAATTGTTAGAACATTGTCAGGTATAGCTGGGTTTCAGTCATGTGACAAATTTAGCCGTTGGTGCATGGTCAATGGTTTTGACCCAATGTTGAGCAGATGTTATGTGCAATTTAATGAAATTTGTTCACTTCAACAAGCCATAATTCGGCAATATGTGTGAAGTTGATCACCAAGTGAACATTTTGCTATGTATTAATCTTGAGTGAAACCCACCTATTGATAAACAGAGTGTCAACCATGTTTTAACTGGATTTAATAATACTACAAGCAGTGTATTCATAGTTTTTGTCAAAATTGTGTTTGTTTAAAACTCAAGCAAGCTTTGACAGACCTTGCGTATTTTAGACAGAACATACAACCCTTTATGGTATACTTTTTTTGCTAGTAGGATGAACACGCTTTACCTGCAATGGATGGTAGTTCTGGTCATAGTTCACTGCCCCAGCGTATGCGACAGTCTGATGCGGATAGGAGAAGCAGTCTTTGGGCTCAGTGCGTTTGCGTTCAGATGTCTTCCATTCGATAACACAGAGTTTACCCTGGTACACCACAATACCATCCAGCGTCCCTGCATAACGTAACTGCGGGTGAACGACCCCACTTTCCAGGGCCACAACAAGCTCAATGTCTTTTAATACATTCTGAACACTCTTCCAATGACCAAGGTTACACTCTCGTACTGAAGGCTGGCTTCGTGTTAGGAGATAATGTTTTATAGCCTAAAATTTGAAGGTGAGAGAATTGTACCATAGAAATCGTAAAATAACATTTGAAATAATGAAATACGAGCATTTGAATTTCTTGCACAAGTTGTGCTCTGAGTTCAGTGACATCATAAGTGATTGCTAAACCATATTTTCTATTGTTAGAATGACAACCTTGTCATGAAGTTGGCTAGCAAAATACACCCAGGTACTTTTGTTTTAGTAAAAGGTGGTAGAAATATTGGGTTGTCTTTGTAATAAAGTCGAAAATATATACTGGCTTATATACCTGATGAAAAGTTGTTCCTCTGTTTGTGATATTCATGACTTTATCATTGTAACCTTCCACTCCCAACTTTTTTATTAAACCCCTTCTCCAACTTAGCAAAGCATAGAATTCATTTTTTGGCCGTGTTTGGTCCAGAATTGTCGTGACGCTTGGATGATCTCCCGAATAAACACGACCGTTGTTATTTTTTGTAGCAGACAGTGAAACTTGTAATGGAAAATCTGTCCTTCTCACGTCCAGGTTACACTGGTTTTGTTGTCTGTTTGGATTCATGAATGGTGTGCTATCTTTTGTCCTGTCATGATAAGTTGAACTTGCTGCATGTGTTAAGTTATGAAACAAAGGTTTGTACTGAAATACCTAAACAATTTTATAAAATAAGTTAGGCCATTTATGTGAAATACTAAAGTAGGGCATGTCTGGGTGCATTGCAAGCTAATGGGTTGACAAGAGACACTGACAGATAGTTTTGTTAACTTATTAACTGACAGTACTCTTCCACTGATGAGTAAAATCATCTGACATTAGACAGAGTAAAATACTAAAGTAGGTCACATCTGGGTGCATTGCAAGCTAATGGGTTAACAAGAGACACTGACAGATAGTTTTGTTAACTTATTAACTGACAGTACTCTTCCACTGATGAGTAAAATCATCTGACATCAGACAGAGTAAAATACTAAAGTAGGTCACATCTGGGTGCATTGCAAGCTAATGGGTTAACAAGAGACACTGACAGATAGTTTTGTTAACTTATTAACTGACAGTATTCTTCCACTGATGAGTAAAATTATCTGACATTAGACAGAGTAAAATATTGATAGTTATAATCAAGTAATATGGGTTTATAATTGACAGATGAAATATATTGGTTCCACCAACATATCTGAACCTGTTTGACGATTTTGTACAATACCAAAGGAGTATTATAATATCAAATTCATACATATATGCTCAAAAAAATCGTTTGCAAATGGTGAAATGCAGCCAGTCGATTTGAGCTTAGAAGCACGTGGTAATAACAATAGTTCACATATAATAACCATACCTTACATCGAAATGAAAATCGATTCAAAATTTTGACTATTTTCATTGATCTACCTAAAAACTTGCGAGAAGCTAGTGAAATAGCTCGAAATACTCAAAATATTCCCCTTTGCAGAAGAATTCAGCGAAAAATCATCACAAATCCTGTCAAAACAGTTATTGTTTACAAATTTCGCTGATTCAAAGGATTCCCCGAGTTCGTATCCAGGCGGATGTTATTTCGAAAAAGGCGAGAAAATGGTGACGTATTCGCGACCGTTTCCCGATATTTTCGAAATAACATCCAGCGAAACCCGAAATCGCCTCGAGGAACTCGAAGAGCCACTTTAAACAGGTCACCTGCCGGTATAGTTTATACACCGGCGAGCATTTGCGGCCTGTCCTGTCTGCAAATATCGTTGGAAAAATCATCGTTTTAACACGTTTTTGCAAGAAAATCTGCAAATCTTTGCTTCCAGGCTTAAAATTCATCATCCAAGCCGCATATTTTTACGTGAATCGACAACGTTCGGATAAAAATTAAGTTTGTTTGAACCGTAAAATCAACATGTCCACAAAGACTTTGCCGATTCTGTTTTTAAATCTCGGAGGAGAAATGCTTTATATTTTGGACCAAAGGCTCCGAGCGCAGTCCATCCCGCAAGAAAAAGCTCAAAAGGGTAAGCATATTTGCAATATATTTCTTTCCCGTGTGTAGTTCTTTTATATAGCGGCCAAAAATGTTTGCCATTTGCAGAAACAAGGCTAATTTGTCCCTATGCAACAAAGCCATAACTTGTCCCGTTTGAATATACGGCTTTTGTTTTGTTAATTTACGTTAGATTTGTAGTGTTATTTCGTTTGATCAAATAGCTGGGTTGTTGTAGTCTTTTAGATGTTTCTTAATGGGATTTTAATAGGTTGTGTGAAGTTTTTTTAAGTAGAAGATGGGTTAAATTTTTTGTTTTGTTTCCATGTTTTGAGGTCATGGCAATCAGCTAATGCAAGCTTATAGCACCTGCTTTGTCTAAATATGTCAGACGACTTTGTTCATCACTGGAAGAGTACTGTCAGTTAAAACAAAGTTATCTGTCAGTTTCTCAAGGTGTAAACCCATTAGCTTACAATGCACCCAGATGTGACATACTTTAGTATTTTACTCTAAAGCCAGATGATTTTACTCATCAGTGGAAGAGTACTGTCAGTTAATGAGTTAACAAAACTATCTGTCAGTGGCTCTTGTTAACCCATTAGCTTGCAATGCACCCAGATGTGACCTACTTTAGTATTTCACTCTGTTTATTGTTAGATGATTTATTCATCAGTGGAAGAGTACTGTCAGTTAATAAGTTAACAAAACTATCTGTCAGTGTCTTTTGTTAACCCATTAGCTTGCAATGCACCCAGGTGTGACCTACTTTAGTATTTTACTCTGTCTAATGTCAGATGATTTTACTCATCAGTAGAAGAATACTGTCAGTTAATAAGTTAACAGAACTATCTGTCAGTGTCTCTTGTTAACCCATTAGCTTGCAATGCACCCAGATGTGACCTACTTTAGTATTTCACTCTGTTTATTGTTAGATGATTTTATTCATCAGTGGAAGAGTACTGTCAGTTAATAAGTTAACAAAACTATCTGTCAGTGTCTTTTGTTAACCCATTAGCTTGCAATGCACCCAGGTGTGACCTACTTTAGTATTTTACTCTGTCTAATGTCAGATGATTTTACTCATCAGTAGAAGAATACTGTCAGTTAATAAGTTAACAGAACTATCTGTCAGTGTCTCTTGTTAACCCATTAGCTTGCAATGCACCCAGATGTGACCTACTTTGGTATTTTACTCTGTCTAACGTCAGATGATTTTATTTTATTTTATTTTATAAATTTGCCATGTTAAAAAGTTAGAATGAACTACACATAAACTACAAATGAACTACACACATGCAATGGCTGGAATCACCACACAGAGATATGTCTCCAATAACGGGGTTCCATAACTAACTT